ACCCCACCCACCCCACCCCACCCCACCCCACTCCAGCCTCCTTCTGAGATTGATACTTACCTTTTCACTCTTTGTTATTTTGTTCTTATGCAGGTCATTCCAAATGAGGTCCCACTCGTCAGTAGAGAACACCGCAGTGGAATGTACTCTACAACTTGGTACTTCTTGGCAAGATTTTCCATCGAGGTAGTTATTTTATCCTCCATTACTAATAATCTTGGAAACAGCACAGGAAGTGGCCAGAGGTAAAGTACTGTTGCCAAGAACCTGCAACAAAGTACAGGAATAAAACTTTCTAGGAAAGGAGAAGGTAGGAAAAACATGGACATTTCAGCATTGCTGTGTGTAGACATACAGACTTATTTTGGATGTGGAATGTTTTTCTTGTCCATATCGTTTAGATTTGTAATTGGAGAGAAAAACCTGGTTGTCTGACAACTTTTCCTGTCCTTTTTTTTCATTGCAGATAGTTACTCATGTTTCTCAGAGTCTCGTCGTTTTTGGAATCGCTTACTACATGATTGGTGGGCACATTTTTTATTTCAAATACAGTCCAAATTGTTTTGATTTTTAAGAATGTTGGCAATTTTTGTAAAATAATTGGAGAAAGTTAACGAATTTTTTTATTTGTACCAAAACAAAACACAGACTATATGCTCCTTCTTTAAAGTACAGCTTATCAACTAAACCTATGATCTTGTAAAAATGAGAAATACACATACAGTATGGGGTAGGTTTGGGGCTCAGTAACCAAGTTGTGGAATTTCCTTGTGGCCTCTTTTCTGTTCCATTTTGATATTTTTTCCTGGAATTGCCCAATTTAGCATTGGGTTTTAACCAGATGTCTGCTTTCTCTATTTTTACAGGGTTGAACAGGAATATATTAAGCTTCCTTGTTGCCATGGGAACCACCGCCTTGATGGCAGTAACATCTGTAAGCTTTGGTAAGCCCTGCCCATAAAAACAATATTAAACCTCTGATCAAGACAACTAATTTAAATTCAAAGATAAAAATGATACCTTGTATGCCTTAAAAGCTAATGTGAATCTTTTCAAACAGTTTCTTTGATAACATGTTAAAGCATCCGAGTGTAGATATCCGTGTTGACAGTTGCAAAATTCCGTACAAGGTTAAAAACACCTGTCCAAAGAATCCCCTGCCCAACACACACAGTCACCCCTACCTGTTTTACATACAAAAAGTGGACGTTCTTTGTTCTCCTGTGGTTAAGGAAACTTGGGGAAAATGCTCCTTTTTCTCCCACTAGGATAACTTCTTCGAGCTGGATTTTTTATGATGATTTCCTGGACTGTTCTTTTGCCATAGATAACCCCGACCCCAAAATGCCTCCGAAGCTGTTTTTCAGAGAGGGGAAAACATTGTGTGGAAGTGTGCGAGTCCACACAATGCCATTGCACCCTGCATTATGTGGACTTCTTTTGTGCAGAAGTCCACTCGATGCATGCCACGCCTGCACAGTCGCACACTCACAAAAGAAGAAAAGAAAACAAAACATGGAACATTAGTTTACTCTCTCAATATGACGTCGTTCCATCTGATTGCAGGGCACAGCAGGCATCAGACTTATTATGCCCCTCTTTAAATCACACAAGACACGAGCAACAGTTATTGTTCAGTGAGGACAGGTGCATTCTTGTTTTATGACTGCTTTGGGGTATTTTCCCGGACAAACTTTGTTCAAGCTGTGATACCCAGATCTCGGAGTGTTCCCTGGGTGGAAAACTCTGGTTTCTAGAGACTTTTTTCCCCCAACTTTAATCACACTCACGTTGCCTACGTGTCTCTGTATGTTCTTAAGCATTCTGAACATAATGCCTTATGTGAGTGCAAGGTCGATGAAATTAAGTGTGGTTTGACAGTATTCAAGTGGGAGAGTAAAACCTAAGTGATTGATCGAAGATTTACTTGAAAAGACGTGACCTGGTTGATCTATGTAGGTTGGATTCCAGGTGCAACTTTTTTTTAGGAGTTTAAGGATTGGCTGCAGTAAAAGTAATGTTTGTCTTCAATGATAGTTTTGTTTATTTTGCAGGTGTCTTTCTCTCAGTAGTCAGCCCAACTTCAGAGATCGCTCTCAATCTCATGATTCCAATCTTCTTCCTCTTTACATTATTTGGAGGTTTCTACATGAATCCACTGTAAGTGTTAGTCAAAGCCTGCATGCTACATTTGAGAGTAAAAGAAGAGTGAAAAAGGATGGAAATCTTTTGAACCGCTTGGTAGTTCCGCAGTGTTTCCCCTTTGGTGCGCTGCCTAAATTAGTTGTACACTACAAAAGGGGCAGCCATTTTGCTCGCGGAGTGTGGTGCTGTATTGTTAGAAAAAACTTCCTCTGTTTTTTATGGGTGGTAATCAGAGTTCTTCAAAGTCCTCTTTTTGGCCCCCAGAACCACACCGGTTTACTTTATTTGGGTCCGATTTGTGAGCTGGTACCCGGCTGTGTATGGGATGCTACAGGTGAACCAGTGGGTTACCATCCAAACTTTGGGTAAGGAAATTCTTGTTCTAGATGCATGTACAAAAAGTAAGGAAAAAAATGGCAGATTCTATGAGTTTAAATTTTGTACAAATGAGGGAGGAAAAAACTTACAAAAGTTGTCTCCCGCGGTACTAAATGTTGAAAGATTAAAGGTGCATAATGAGGTTTCTTTGAAACTTTGTATTCTTGTCACTGATTTTTGTTCTTGCTAAGACTGTGAGTTGAACTGCACTCAACCTTGTTTGGAAAATGGACAGCAGGTTTTGAGCAAATACGGCTATGAAGAGGTATTTCTGAGCTTTTAAACAGGATTCCATTTCACCGCCAAATCATTAGTTTCACGGTCAACATCTGCCAGTGATCACGTGACCCCCAACCCTGTGTTATCCGCGGGGGGAAACATGTTGAGCTATCCACATGTGCAGGGAATCTGGAGGGACAGATGGGTGCCTTTCAAGTAGACTGAATGCAGTTTTTGTTGGATGGCAAGGTGTCATTTGCAGATCACTAGAATAAGATGGGTGTTGGTTTGGCATTTTTTGTAAGCATTAATACTTGCATAACAGAACTATTCTGAGCATTTGAAAGTTCTGGAGAAAGGGATCACTGATGAAAAAGGACTATTTCACTTCAATTTTCTTCCAGAAGTTACAATTGAACTCTCAAAAGTCTGTGTCTGTGCTATTCTGGTTAGGGATGCTGTTTTTCTGTCAAGATATCTCCCAGGAGTGCAACAAAAGTAATAAACACCTGTCCTGAAATATGTGATAAATCATGAAAATGTCTACCCCCAACACTCATAAACAGGTGGTGGTTAAATTTATCTGAGGAAATGGCCCTGTAAAACCCGCAGACAGCGACTGCGGTCAAATGCTGTTTTTCCTGGCATTCCATGCCAAATGGTACCAATTAGTATAACTTATGGTTAGTACCTTTAAAGCTAAGTAATCTCATAAGGAAGCCGTTCTGGCCTTGAGGTGAGATATAAAACGGGTTGCATAGTGTTGACAGGTACGCTTAATAAACCGGGTCATTATTGTAGAACAGTTCATTGTTCAAAATCCCCGAGAAAAATGCACCATCTTGCGTGCTTATTTTATCCAGGAAACTATAAGCAATGAACATTTTCACGTGAAGTCTTCATGTATATATGTAGGTTTCTTGAAAGGCACAAATGGTGATGTAACCACTTTGTTTTCCGAGCTGAATATTTTAGGCCTATCCGCTCCACTCATTACTACTTGTACAGAAACCTCACCTACAAATTAATACATGTACTCATTCAATAATGATGACCTTCATTGCAAAAACTGTGTTCTGCGACAAAGCTCAAATAACCCCACTTTTAAACACTCTCTGGCCCTCGGTTTGTGAGCATATTGAATACCAAGCATGTTTATGGTATTGATAAAGTGTTAGCGATTGCCTATTGACGTTTGGGAATTGGACACATAATGTTCAGTTTATGAAGATGTTTATTTGCTAAACTCAGTTTTCAGTGTGTTGAAATGAAGGTTAGTCCCCTGCTGAAAAGTTCCAGTGCCCCTGTATGCCCCCTTGAGAAACGAGGGTAATAGTTACCAAACTTCTGCTTCAAAGAACACTTATTCACTTGCATGCAGTCGCTGCTATCGAGTTTAACACATTTGACTTGTCTACTCCCTTGACAGGTGTTATGGTAGCTAGATAGTTCGTCTGACAGATGATCGCTGTCAAGCCGACATTAAAAACCAATCTTATATCAGATACCACAGGGTTAGACCACATTTATCTGACATGATATAAAAGTCAAGGGTACCGGATGAACACCAACGTGACCTTATCAGCCGAACTGTCAAAATGTGACTCGTTCTTTGTTAGGCATTTAAGTTCCCACATGGTTTAGTGTTTTCGAAGACAGTGGTATACGTGCTGTGCACAAGGGCATTAGTGGATGGTGGGCCGGGCAAAGGGGGCATTCCCCCCCCCACCCCAGAGCCTTTTCTCAATAAAATGCAAATTTCAATTTCCTTCCTTTAAAAAGCGTGTGAAAACCACCAAGTGCAGCCTCACTCCCCAAAATACCTCAGAAACAGTAGTACAACAAGTTTAACCCCCCCCCCCTCAATTTGACTTGTCTTTATGAGGAAGAGTATCTGCCTCTGTGGTGAAATTGTCTCCATAAAGGTATCTATGAAAAGGAGCATGGGCGTAAATCCAATGGGATGGGGGTATATACCCCCCCCCACACACACCCGCACACTTTTAGGGGGGGACGGGCTATTGAAGCATCCCCTCCCCCCTTTTGGCAAGCAAATATGGAAGCGTGTTATGGGGAATTTTTCAGACTTTGCATCCAATATCACTCAAAAAAGGAAAAGAATTTGTTAAAAGCCATAAATTTGTCATTCTGAATGCATACATAATAAATACAGATGTATACCAATATCACGAACATCGATCATGTCGAGTCCTATGGTGTCAACCTCCTCCCCCTCGCACTTTTCAAATTTCCAGGGCGAGGCAGTCATCCCCCCCCTCCATCTTTCCTCATCCCCCAATTTCTGGCACAGATTTACGCCATTAAAAGGGAAACTATATTAATTCCGTTAGACTTCAAAGCGTGTTACTGTCGGAGTCCACTCTTGATTCCGCGCGCTTAGTTAAGAGTTTAGAAGTGAAGGGTTTTGACAAAGCCAAAAGGGATGTCACTACTTGAGATGTTTCCCCCCCCCAAAGTGGCACATGACAAGAGTGATGCCCTAGCAATTTGTTTTCGTAGTTGACATTTTAATCAACATAGTGGTCAACATTTTAGTCAACGCAGTACATGTATTCTGTAAACCTTGTACGGAATTTTGAAACTGTCAACATGGATATCTACACTCGGATGCTTTTAGTGTGTACCGGTATCCGTCGTTATCTTGACGTCACTTTTACTGAATGGAAACTCTCTTTCAAGTGCTTTAACAAAGTGTTTTGGAATGGAATTTCTGGTTAGAACAATGACATTCCATTCCACAGAGTTCTTGGCATGACGCGACTAAAGCCTTCCGATTCGGCTCAGAAGACGAAGCTCGCATGTCCTCTCAGAGATTGTCTGAGAGCCGGGATTCCTCGAATGTTTGATTTGTTTTGGCACTCTAAACACAGAAATTCATCAGACTTGAAGAAACGGAATAACAGAAAGGATAATAACAAAATGGATCAATGGTTGGCTGAATCGGTTCATATCAAATGGCTATGATGCCTTACACATGCGTTTTCATACTACATCAGTACGCACGTTATGGGAAAAACTAAATCGATTTATCTGGAAAATGTTTCAAAGTCAAATAACATATCATTAGGACAGTAAAAACTTTGTTTAATGTCGTTTGGTTATCGCAGACGTGTGAAAGGTTACTTTTTTGGTAGTTTTGTAAATGCGCGTTAGACAGTAATTATGCAAACGGTATTGTGTCACATGATCCGTAGTTATGTATTTTTAAACCACGTGTGATAACGATCATTACTGTTGCCTGTTGGGATGCCGAAGACTGGGAGAGGTTTGACCACATGCCCTTGGCAAAAATGTTTTCCTATAAAGTTCTAAATGTGGCGCAAAAGCGATTACCACCAGAGGTAGATTGGTTGCATTTTTGTCTTCCTGTTGACAGGAAAACTTTGTTCTGGATTTGTCGCTGGTGTCGCTGATGTCTCTGGGATATTTTCTACTGGGCGGCCTTGTAGTCAGGATGCGGTTGAGAAAGGAAAAGTGAAAACGACTAAAGCAGACGATTGATAGCCGCAGCAACATCGCTGTCGACAGTATTCAGGTTTTCTGGCTGCTAGCCTTCAGAATGACATTTTATTCCTTGCAGGATTTTTCTCAAAAGCCGCAACTCAAGTCCACCGAACTTTCAACATGAATATTGTCCTGTTTATCGTACTCAAGTTTGCTTCAAGTGGGTGTTGTAAATCTTTTCATGGTTCTGGTTATATTTCAGGAGAGAATCTGGAAATTATAGTGTGATGTCCAGAAGAGCTAATTATATTTGGTGATGGCATAGTTTCCCTTTCAAAAATTCTGCAGGGATTGTTTCTATACTGAAATTGTTAGGAAGGATGTGGTCAGATGACACCCTTCTCTGTTAATAAAACTAGGAACCATTTGCCTGAAATTCAGTTCAAGCCATTGACTCCTAAACCTTATTTACCGTCGAAAGAGGAAATATTGCATGATCTGATTTCTAAGAATTATTTTTCAGACACAGTACCGTAAATCATGCCATTCCAGAATTTCCTGGCTACAGATGAATTTCCAGTTTTCAGGGCATGCATTTGGTTGTGAAAAATGTACATGTGTTTGTTTCGAGTCCATAATTGCTTGCTCATTTATAGCCATTAGCGGATTGTTTTGTTTAAACTCGTGATATTTCTTGTTCCTTAGTTCTTCTGCTATCAAATAGGTTTATTACTTAGTCTTATTTTATAATTTTGAAAGCCAGAATGGCACCCCCTCAATGCACAAATCTTTGTCCGGATTGTTTGCGCCCCCTTTCAATAATGCAGGATCCGTAGCTGATGTTGTTGTAATAAATGATACTTCTAAACAAACAAACAAACAAACAAACAAACAAACAACTTCGATCAGTAACTGTTTGGTGACTATAGAACGTAACACTTTCAAGTAAAATGTTTATTTACCTTATTTAGTTGTAAAGACACGGTGACCATTTCCCGAACCTCGACCCCAACGTAATACGTTCAAGTAAAATGTTTATTTATTTTATTTAGTTGTAAACACACGGTGATCATTTCCCAAACCTCGACCCCGTCTCCATTCTGGTTGGCTTGTGCTTATGACTCAAATTTTATGATATGAAGTCCCTGACTTTGCTTGGGATCTTTTCCCCTACAGTAACGCGAGATCGTATGCTTCAAATAAGCCCAAGCGTCCTTTCGTTTGCTTTAAAGGTCTACATAGGGTTCAGGGGCGCAAGACAACTGCCACCTACGGCGTCGATGGTTGAGAAGCGACACGGAAGAACATGCCAGTTGTCGGTATCTTTAATCCTAAAATCACGCGAGGTTTGTCATGATGAATTCTGTGACGCAAGACGCGTTGTTTGCCACGTGAGTGACGTAAGAAAACGATTTGGTTTCTCCAAAGACACCACGACGCGGCAAACAAGAAGATGGGACAAACTTAGCCTCCCGGCCAATATCTGTAGATTCCCAATCAGATATGATAGCAAGTCAGGTGCTGGTCTAAATCCTGGCAAAACACCTGGCTATTAATCAGTCTTACACTGCCAGAGCAAACACATGAACGAAAACATGTGGCAATTTACAAGAAGGTAGGGGAATTGTTTGTTACGAATTCGTCGATAAAAGAGAACAAAAAAGGATTTGACATTCATCCCAGAATAAGTAACATTAATCGATACATTGTACACCTTGCATACATACATCTTTGTAGTAGGGCCTATGTACTTTTATTACACAAAATTGCAATCAGTGGTTTCAGCAAGAGTATTGGAGTTACATGTGGAGTCATATTGAAGGTAAATGTGATGTGTAGGCCCTATGTTTGACATCCTTGGGAAACAAGTTGGGGCGTTTTTGTTTGATATGGGCTGCTTAATGGTGCGTTAATGGAGATCACTCGACACCGTCATCAGTTCTGTCACCTCGTTAACACCATTCTCTCACGTGTGCGTTAAGACGCATATAGGTAATTCCAGAAATTACGGGTCCAAGCGTGACATTTTGGTGTCCCTGTTACATCTGACCTTTGTTATTTGACAAGAAAATATCACCAGAATTGATTTCAAACTATTAGGCCCCTACTGTTTGTTTGGCAGGTAATTTGCATTAATTCATCACTCTTGTAAATTAGAAAATGTGTTTTGAACTTACAAATCAAATGCCAGAGTGTGACAGGGACACACACAAAATGGACCCTAAATTTTTTCAATCACCCATACGTTTGGATATAAGGCTTCCGGTTCATGCCTCACGAAGATACGACTGCATCTGTCCCTCATTTGGGATGTTTCAATGTCTTGATAGACATCGGACCTGCGTCATGGAATGGCGTAGTGATGTTAATTCATCAGGCAAGTGCCCGAAAAATTCATGTATGATGGTCTTTTCATATTTTGGAATGAGTTCCAGAAAGGCGCCCTGCTTGAGTGATTTGTTTGTCACTTTGTATCCTTTCTCGAATTGCATGTTTTGCCAGCTCGTCTACTGACGGGAGATCTTTTAGGCTGATTAAGTCTTGCAGTGTCAGCGAGCCAAGTCAAGAGTATTGCACTGCCAGGGCTGGCCCGTTCTCACATCGGAAGCTTAAATGTTTAAAACGCAGAAAGTTGGTAATTCTTCTAATTTTTGGCGGTTTATGACGCAGAGTGAATATAGGACGACCCAGATGACACAGATTTACTGTCATCTGAACAAAAAAGGGCAGATCAGCAGAGGATCAAATAATCTAACATAGTTGAACTAAAATTACTCTACCTCTAACACTTTGTCATAAATGCAAACACTACACTGCAAGCATACTCCCACGTTTTGTAAATCAGTTTTGCAATATGAACGCTCGTGATTGGTTTCACTGTCCTGAATCAACCTCTTATTAAGATCATATGTCACCCACTTGTACTTTTCTCTTCCAAAGTAGTTCTTGATTAATTTAATTTACACTCTCGAAGCCTGGGTTTGGTTATGTGGGTGGAAAATAGAAGTGTTCTAACGGTCGATCGATCATGGAAAATAAAATGATGTCAGCTCAAAGTACAACCTCAGCTTTCTAACTCCGATAAAAGGTGCAAAACTTCTTACTTCGTTCAGCGCTGCTCTGTTTGAACCCGTTTCCATTTTGAAACTTGACCCTTGATGAAGGGGAAAAATGAACTAGCAGGCTACTGGTTTCCTTGGGAAACACAAGACCGTACTGTCTAGAGTATGGGGGCTTTTGGTGGTTTTTATTTTCAAACAGTGCACTTTGAGTTTACCATCTTCTTCCAAGCGGGGTTACTGAACGAACGAGACAACCCCACAGCATTTGGTTCAAGTCATCACTGTCCCCACTCCCAAGCCTCTGACGCATATGCACACTGAGGCTGATCCTCTTGGATATGTATTTTTTCCTCGTTCTTATATCGGGGTCAGCCTTTGGCTATCAGCTACAGATCTTGGGCTGCTCTATTTCTGTGCTCAGTATTTATTCGAGATGAGTAATCATGATGATTCATAGCTGGGGAATACGTAGGTGGGCTTATGCACGCTCCAGACACTTTACTGAAGTCGACTAGTCTTTCCTCTGCCAACTATGGGTACGGTCAGACGCGCACGTATGTGTGTGCTTTTGACACGGAGACCACAGTGTTGATGCACGTTGTGCGCGCTATGCGGCTTTTTTTCTGAATTTAAATACTTGACTCTGTAGGAAGCGGTTGCAGCTAACCAACACTCCTCTTCCACGACGCAATGTACCACTACAACCCCGCCTCCACGAATAAAAAGGTTTTGTGATGCGGCCTAACTCGTTTCCCTGGGTACGTTCTTTCTGTGCACCGTTGGTTCCCATTCTCATCATGATTGCATGATACCAATCCCTTGTATTTTCTACATATAATTTGCACCCAACCATTAGGGATCTTTCAGTTTTAAGTGTGTATCAATCACAACAAAGTCTTAATGAAAAAATCTCGTACGTAATGTGACGTACAAGAGCAATCTGCTGAAGATGAACGTCTTAGAATATCAGTCATTTGCGGTTCGACCTCGCGTGACGTCAGGCGCTTAGATTTATTCGAATGACCCTCCCGTTGAAATACTGACTGGCTTATAATGACAATGTGGAGTTTGGCGCCCTCGCACGGCTGTAACGAGAGAAATAACAATTATGGCATTAAAAAGGGTAACCCCCTTCGAACTGCTTCTCTGTTTCTGTTTACTGGGTCAAGGCATCTTATTATTAATCATAATAATAATAGCTTATTCTTACATAGCGCACATATCCATCACAACTGATGCTGAGGTAGTTGTATTATCACCTGCACATTGGGCTCACAACAACTGAGCATTCCTGAAACCATCTCAGCTCCCTGGGGAGTATATTAGCCTGATGCTGCCCTATCAGGAACACATGGCTAACATAACCAAATCTGCCCTCACAGGCACCCATTTACTCCTGGGTGGAGAGAGGCATATAGGAGTAAAGTGACTTGCCCAGGATCACAACATGCTGCCACCAGCTGGATTCGAACCCCTGACCCTATGATCAGAAGCTACAAACCCTTACCACTTTACCACATGCCTCCTGTCTGCCCTCACAGGCACCCATTTACTCCTGGGTGGAGAGAGGCATATAGGGGTAAAGTGACTTGCCCAAGATCACAACATGCTGCCACCAGCTGGATTCGAACCCCCGACCCTATGATCAGAAGCTACAAACCCTAATCACTAGGCCACACGCCCCCATTGCCATCAACTTCGCGACTTAACTGAGCAAGGGGGAGGGGATTTATCTTACTGTTGCCGAAGTTGAACAAAGCTAGCTCTACTTTAAATTTTAAGGATTTACCCAAATTGATCAGTGCATTCCCTTCAGCAACCAATTAGCATTGTTTATTTGAACAACTTTTCCCCCAAGGACGCACAGATGAATAGTTAATTGTTTCACGGCATTCCTGAATAATGTAGGAATACAAAGCTTAAATTACTTTTCTTGACTTACAAATTATTTTAATCACAGTATGCGAATAAATTCACACAGTGTGCTTAGTCCCTTTCAAGTTTGTTCCTTGCTGGCAACCGTTCCATTTTACATTAGTGGGCCAGTTCTATCAAGGACCACTTGTCAACTAGTGGTTGATTCGTGACGTGTCTAGCGCATGTGCAGTGAAGCTGAAGTGCGAACGACCTTAGTCAAGTGTTGTCAGGTCATTAAGGCCGTCAAAGCGAAGTTGACGTCACGAAAAATTTGCAGCAAAATTTCGCTCGAATTGAAAAGTATTCAAGTTTTGCGAATTCGTACGGCGAAGAAATGACATGACGTCACAAATTCGCGTTCGTTTTGGCTTTCACGTGAAGTGTGAACCCGACCTCGTTCATATGGGAACGATCTTGCCGCGCCATGTTGGTTCCCACCATGCCTTGCGCGAAGGAACGCGCACGCAGCCCATGAAGTCGAGGATGGTGTGAACCGGCCTTTAGGCCGGAGGGGAGAAATGGTGGCCGCAGGAAAGGCGTAGTAGCAAAAAATAAAAGTGACAATGGTCGCTTACTAGTGACATACTGGCATTTTTCTTATAACTGGTCCTCTCTTCAAAGTGCTATTAAAAACGGTTTATGGCAACAACGATGCGACCAACCTCGACAGGCTGATCGCGAATAGTTGAATAGGCTAGTCCAACCATCGTCGCGTAACGTGCGTTCGATCAGAGCACCTTCATGCTCAGAGTTAGTCCAACTATGGTTAACTAACTTGCCCTGTAGTGCTTCCCATTTGGACAGAGGGTGAAACCACTGACCACATCCTCCAAATGAAAAGGAACGTGATGTACACGTTTGCTTTCAACGTGTACAAGTAGAATCCTCTATCACATGTGTTTCATGGACTGTGTGCCCATCTCGTGCAGCTCTGCACACACGACACGGTCGAGTCACCGTATCGGCCCCTTTGAAGTACGTGTATATGTCGACATGTCACCCCAACTGTTTTGTTCGGCGCGCGCATTCGCCAATTTGATTGGCAAATGCGTCCCGTGAGGGGATTGCACCGTTGCCCCGACACTAATTTGTTTTGCGGGATCAGCTGTTGAGCGCCATGCAACGAGGGCGCCTCGTATGTATAAAAGTGGCCGGGCACCCCTTGTTTCTTCCCTTAAGCTTCTCGCGATCAGCTGTCTAGCTCGCTCGTCCTAAGCTGCAGAGAGGAGTCTGATGAGACTTGGCGTGTTCAGCATCGCCTGATCAGAACCTGCGAGAAATCGCCCCGCAAAATGAAGCACCTGCAAGTTGTACTACCCGTTGCCCTGATGCTGCAGTTTTTTTATCTGGCGTGTTTAGCAGTGCAGCTACCTAATTCAAAGTACGGTCAATACAACCTGGCCGAGAATGGGAACACCGTCCGAGGCAAACCGATGAAGGGATCACCGGGGCAGTCCCGGCCAGGTCCACAAGAGGAGGAGGAGGACAGTGAATCGGAGGGCCCTGGGTCGGGACAGGCAACCATCACAGATTCTGGTGTCCTCAACAGAACTGCCTCTGCGGACGAGGACCACAGAGCTAGATGCGGCGCTTGCGAGATGCGAGAGCACCAGAAGGCCCTGCGCATCCAGTCCATTAAGGAACAGATTCTGAGGAAACTAAATCTCAAGTCGGTTCCGAACATCACCATGCCGATTCCTAAGATACCACCTTTGCAGCAGCTTATGGGAGGGCAGGACCCAGACATGAGCGCTATGCAAGGGGATGCACCTGTCCATGGACAGTTCAGAATGGCCCACACGGACGAATACGACTCATCACCACACTACGGGGCCACCACCAAACGAATTTTCACATTCGCAAAGCCAAGTAAGTACATTTGCACGTTGCTGCCTCTCAATATGATCATGCTTTATGTGTAGGTAAAAATCTGGCATGAGATACAGACGCCCTCACACTGCAAGCAGCTTTAGTGGATACCTCAAACACACAGAGAGAGAGAGAGAGAGAGAGAGAGAGAGAGAGAGAGAGAGAGAGAGAGAGAGAGAAGACTGAACTGACAGCTTGCTTCTTTACAAATCAACCACAATTAGGGACGGAGTTAGCAGAGGGAGGGCCGTTCTTTCACGTTCAATCCATTATATATATCTCTTGCATCTTGTTTATTTTGAGTTTTTGGTCATTTTTGGTCTCACCCATCTTGATCCATCACAAAAATGTTTCCTTCATGACTGATGGGCCTGGAGTTTAAGCAGCTACAGGCTTTCCCCACAGGAACATTGCCTTTTCCAACTGAGTCTTGTTTTGCCCAGGACCTCGATCGATGTGAAGTATTGTCTGGGGGAAAAGACAACACTCTACGCTTTGTTCAGAAACACCTTGTGTTGACGTGAGAACGTAATTGGACTCAACCAGCCTCCCCTTCTATTAACCGCGCAATTACAAAAGTAAAATCTTTTTCATCCCCCTTCAAGTTTAAAACGAGAAGACAGGTTTGACAAGATAAGTTTACTTGGTACTTGTAGGAGCGAAGTCCTTACATTGCATGCTTAGTAATTTCTAAATTTGACAGAGGGGTTTCCCTGCGACATTCTGTGGTTTCCACCTTAATTTTACTACCCTGGATACGCCCGCCCCTGGGCAATGGACAGACGGCGTCAAATTATGTGGGTCGGTGGAGTACGCCATGTCCCTAGATCACTCCATGTATGGCGACCTGGTCTTATTAAGGGAAAAAGCTTCCTCATTGGATTTCTAAAATAAGCCTGAGCAGGTCTCTAAAACACAGGCTGGCAGACATTCGTTATTGGCACCGGGCAGATTGCCATTAGCTTGGCTGCCAAGAGATGAAACATGATACCAGAATTTTAAAGACTCTGTTGAGAAGACAAGGAGAGAGCATCCAGGGAGTATCACACGATAGCGAATGGGTTATCCTCTCTGTCATCAGTTTGGTTATGGCTCCTTTACTTACAGATCACAGTCGTGTTTAATTCGCTGTCCTAAATTGGCAACCACCCGCAGTTCTCCATTAAACCTTGTCATCACCACAAAAAGTTTTCCCGGTTTAAACAGTCACACCCCCACATTAATGTCGACTCGTTTGCGGGGTATGTCTGTCGCACATTTTGCCAGGTAATGCATTTCTGATGATTCCAGTACGGATTCCCCAATTGGCTGAAACTGGATTCAGGCGGTTACAAGTTGGAAACGACAGGTGTTGATGCCCGGGTAAGATACGGGACACACTTGTCTATGCTTGTGGAATTGACATCGATTACCTTGAGTTCTCCCAAAGAGCCGAAAGTTTAGCTACAGCTGACAATGTACGAATTTAATCAGCGAACCCATGATTTATTAGCAATCGAAAATGCTTGGATTTTTTTTCAGAAAGCTGTGGCGCATGTTTGGCGATTTCGTGGTAATTATTAGGATCCGTTGAAAATTGTTACCGACTACACTTGTTTATGAAGGAAGTTAGATCATGCACCGAGGACTCGAAATGTACACACACAAACACTCACACAAACACGTTGGAATTGCATGAAAATGTCTATAAAAGCCTTGTTTCCCTGTTGGCTCGTTCATCCTTGACCCCAAATTGCTGATTCACACGTCCCGCTGATTCCCGCAGCGATTGTAACAATGATTATTCGAGCCTCAAATTAATGTTCGGGGAATCCAGGATTGATTTTACATGCCCTATAATAAAAATACTGTATCTATGATGGTTAGAGTGGTTACATGTCCCCAATGCAGCTAGAAGGATCCAGGTACTAGAGTCATCATGTTCACGCTATTGTACGTTGATTGATCCAAAGTTAACCCAGGTATGTATTCACGCAAAAAATGACAAGATTTAAGGGTCAACAAAAGTCAGAAATGAAGGGAAGTGAAGTCGGTATTACAAAGGGTCTTTTTGTGGCGTCTTTCACATTGAGTTTTAAAATAAGCCGGAGTCTTCCTGATTCAATGCCCAGTTGCCCCGAAGAAAACCGTCGAATCACCAGATGTGACTGGTTGATGAGATTGACAGACATCGAAATACGCCTCTCTGATTAGCTGGGATTTGGGGGTGGTCGTCTTACCTCAGTAATAGGTAACCGTTTGAGAAAATCTAACTCTTCTTTCAATTCGGGAGAAGACTTAATTAACATCATCTGTGAAATTTTTACACTTTGTACCCTATGCCACGTTGCAAAGGTGATCTTTGCACAATCCGAACGTGAATCGTCACAGCTCAAGTTAGCTCAGAATGAAACATTTGAACTTAATCATTCCAACGTCAAAGTTTTCTTCTTGGTTGCAAAAGTATGACTTTGTGACACTCCAGTTGAAAGAAGTGGAATGTTGAAAAACATGGTGACTAAGCTAGGACTCGAAATCAATCGCGTGGGAGTCCCCACGGATGAACGTTAAAAGGTGATGCGTCATTTCATCCCCCTCCTTCCTGCGACGTTTTCTCCAAACGTGCCCGTGTCGAGTTGTGAAATGTCCCGCACTGTTTACTGGACACTCTCCCCACACTCAGAAACACCCAACACTGGAAGTGCAAACTCTGCGGATACAAGCCTTCCGAGTAATGACTTTTTTCTGTTTGTCGTTGTAACACGCCCCAGTAGTTACTGGTCGTCTTGGTGATTGAAATTCCCTAATTTTGACCTTTTTCGTGCTCACTACATTGAAATTTACCTTGAAGAATTATGATGTCGTTGACTTTTAGAATTTGAGTCATCTTTCTAGCCCCCTTAGATCAGCTGACATCTCACAGCCAAAACATCATGAGGAAATTACCAGTGAAAGTTAACTTGCGGCACCTGAATCCTTTTTCGAAGTGAAAATCGAATTTAGTTTTAAAAAATACGGACAACTTTGTGGAGGCATTTCGTCACACGACAGTATGAAACCCAAGACAACCTATGTTACAGGGCAAAATAAATCTTCACAAGATCCTTCTTACTTCTTTGCCGCTAAGATGTTTCGGGTACGCATTGTTATCGTCATTAATGTTAGATTTACTTCGCAAGAGACAGATTTACAAACGGATGTCCTCTACGATTCAAGTCTGCCGACTCTGAAGCACGACAACCCACAAGATGGCTCATTTATTTCTTCCGTTCGTAACAGAGAACTCGGATCAAAAGAAATGAGGTCACAATTGACGCATTTGGCTGAGTGACTTTCAATCCGTACGATGCTGTGTTGCTTCCTCATAGAGATTGGAATCTCCACCCAGACATAATGAACAAGCGAAGAAATAGAGCAGAGTCCATTTCTCAAGAATTTCTCCTCCTGTACAGCAAAATCCAAAGTCCGATATCTTTCTGTAAACTGACTCATGACGTCACGGTGAAGAAAACAGTGTACATGAGACGAATCTGAATGATAAACCAAATGAGCAAAACTGTAGTCTTGAGAGGTGACGCTATACAAGGACAATTCCGACTCTTGATGCGAACTGGAACTGGACCATGTCAACTTTTTTATCCTTTTGTTTCAAATAGTTTGCCAAGCCAAATACACCCCGATAAATTCCACCGTTGCCATACAGCGATTTGTGCACAATATGTGAAACAAAATGTGAAAGCGTATGACAACGTAAATTATGATTTAAGGAACAAAACTCAACCAAAGCAATTTGTCCATGTTTGGTGAGTGTAAGAAAAATCACGAACAAGATGCTCGTCATTTGGATTTTTTTCCAATTTTGTGGGGATCCTTTAATCCAGTTCTCTTTGAATACCTCGTTTTTAAAATTGCAACGCTTAGGCCTATTCTATTCTTTAACCAAAAACTAAAGGTAACCAAGCATCAAAATCCGTTGAGATAACTATCGCTGATGGGGCCAAATGGAAATCTCGTAGCGAGAAACTACGTAGCTGAAAGAGAATCCAAATTTTAATTTTCATCACACGTTCCGAAATGCACAAGCATAATACTTGTAGGAATATTCATGTCTAGTCTGCAACGGAAACCGGGAATGTGGTAGAGGGAGCCGTACGTGGGTATCCCTGGGTCATCAATAGATTCTTGGGAAGGCACCCCGAGGTCTTAATTCGTTCGCTGATTAATAACATCCGTCGCCTGGTGCAGAGCAAAGAAATAATAAAAAAAAAAACCGGGGGGAAAGAAAGGTCTTCGAGACATGCCGGCTACAGATGATGCGGTCAGCACGGAGGAATAATGTTTTCAGGGTCTTGTCATATTTGCATTATGCCCCCTATCAAGGAAACATCAGCCCACGCAGTCAGAAGAAAAAAAAATCAGCATTTGTTTTAATTAGTGAGATATAATAGACAACCTTTTCGCCGTGTTAGTTTCACGACTTCAAACATCATACCTACCTGTTGAATAATTTTCTATATCTTACGATGCACAAAAAACGAAGGCGCAGTATTATCAATGCTGAGGATTCAGAAATCTTTAAGATCTATTCAAAACTTCGATTAGTGGAACTGTTCATCACTCAGTTAACAAAGACGATAAAACGACAACGTTTTAGTTTGTTTTGTTTGCCTTCCACGTATCACAGCTTTAAAAAAAAGTGTGAATCACGACTACTTACTTGGCAGTCCGTCGTCTATTACATCCAACCCCATTACGGCTTACTCGTATGCATGTTCAGAAAGAGCCTGGAGGGATGCGCTACTTAGGAGTCTGTACTGATGGTAATTAGGAACGATTGATAATGTAGATCGTCCTTCGGTTCGGGAAGGCCAATTCCGAGGTCGGTCTGTAATCATATGCCCAGAGTGCCGGGCAGCCGTGTTCTCTGTCTCTGATGACTGAAGTTAATTTCAAAGATTGTTTGTCAGCTGATTGAGCCATGATACCCTCGGGTGCTTCCTCTTGCAAAGTGGAGATGGCGAGGGCTTCAAGTTGACCTTCCTGCAAGAGTTTCTCTTTCCTCGTTGCTTTGTACCAAGTCTAACGGTTAAAACCTTGGGAATTCGAATACCGTACCAAAAAACCGTGAGCAGCTATACAGAAGATAATGAAGTGTTGACCCATTAAATGAGGGAAACTATCAACCTCTTCGAGCCTCCTTGAAGATGATTAATGACAGCGCATTTGCCATAACTGACAGGTGGAACCATGGTGGAACATTCGTTCCGCCCTTGAAATGCGAAAGGACGGAGTATAGGTGAATGCTGGGAAATTTCAAGTTGACTCCGATATTGATAGAAATGGACAAAAATTGAGATTGTACACTTGTATTATGTGAAACACAACGGCTTAACAAGCAGAACTATTTGAATTGGTTTCCTTCTCAGTTGTGCGGGAGGCACCTTTGCCCTCATATGAAAAACAAAATGGCGGAAAAGGAGATCTTTACCACACTGGTTTTAAGGGTACAGTCCACTAATTCCAGCCCCATTGAAAACAGTGTAAAATCAGCACTGTTCATGGGCCCAATAACATCCACGCCAACATCCCTGAGATTTCTGAAACACAAATGAAATTCTTGTCTGGTCACTAATCTTTTAATTTCTTTTCAATTTTTTGTGGGTTAACCAATTACATTTTTAATTATTCCCACAAAACAAAATCACCCCCCAAAAAGTGATTTTTCCGAATTCTGATTGCGGCCATTTTTCAAGTGGCAACCCTCACCTTTCTCGGGCACTTAGGACCATTTTTCAACCGTAGTTTTTAGCCATTCTGCTCTCATATGAAAGCTCAAAGACCCAGGGAGTTGATCCTGGCAAGGGATTACACAATCTCACTATTTTGGGAGCCAAACAATCTCCTTTTTCAAAAGATACTAACGGAACACAAGACTGGCGGTCTCTTTGTGGAGGCGCACTGTGCGAAGTTTGATCTTGCAACCCAAGCTGCAACCGCAAAGTACTCGATACTCTTTACAGCTCTAGAGATATTTGCGGTTATGCGGTTTGTTACTAACTGCGGGGATGCCCCAAGAAGAGAGGCTAGTGATCAGCTCAACCGCAAATAAATTAGATTACTGATACATCCTCTTGACAGTTCTTTCATTTGAGTTTGACGACAAAACAGCTCGATCTGGGAAGCAACAAGAGATTCTGTCAGTCAGAGCATATAAGAATCGATCTACATTGTGAAACAATGAAATCTCCAAGAAAATTTGATAATATAGGCGTAATAACAATTGATTGCTCTTTGGTTCGATCCGTCGGCGTTGTGCCGATTTCGTTTGGTTGGAGGAAGAACAATGTTTGGAAAGAGTAACAGGGTCTTTCTTGGCGTAAACACGAACCTGGCGTAAACAAGTGAGATTAGAAATTGAAGGGAAAGAACACTTGCGATAGAGGATTTCAGATAGTTTCTAATGCTAGTACTTTGTATTATTGATCAATCAGTTACGCTGAGGGGAGTTTACATTGTCGTATTTGTTTTTTTAATCCTTTCAGTCCAAGCCTCTTTTGAGACTCAGGATTACTTTTGGATTACTCTCCCTGTCTGTTTCTTTAAGTTGCTTGATGCTCTACTTGACAAGTATTGTGAATACTGGCATAGTGCCTTACCTGACGTCTGTCAATCAGGATTAGCGTGTTTACTTGGTCCGTCCTCCGTTTATCATCAATAAACGTGTTAATAGGCATATTTGCTTTTAACGGTTGGTGGACCTCCTTACCCAGGGCAAACCTACAAAACCTTGATCAACAACACGTTGATAAGCCGATTGGGATAAGTTACCGGGTGAACCGCATCCTCCAAAGTCTGGGCCGCTTTCAGACGGAGTCATAAATCCGAATATAACTTTCCCTTCCAAGCATGTACACAACAGCAAGTAGTCTGCTGACTTGCGGCCATCAACCGAACCTTATGATCCATTTCTCGATAAGGAGAAAAAAAAATCATGTAATGAAAGTTCCAGGTGAAGCATAGTGTTTCAGCTACGCATTTTGCGTGTATTAGGGAAAAAGAGGCCATGTATATAAAAACAGCTGTCTCGCACACCATAACTACCACTGAGCGAACAGATGTACCAGCTTGCTCGTTGGTAACAAGCAACTACTGCAAATTGTCTTGATAAGACTTAGAGCACGATAAGAGACATAAGCAAGTCACTCTGCTTTTATTCCACCTGTACTTACTTGGTGCATGCTTACCATGAACATCGACGGCAACAGGATAAGTAGGTCTGATTAGAATCTAAGCACATTATTTTTGTTCCTTAAGCCTAAATCTGGGCTCCGCTAATGAGACCGATGAATGGAAAGACTGCCACCGAGTTAAAAAAAAAATCGATATGATGATGCAGTGCTCGCAAGTTTGGTCATTGTTTTAATCAATCTGTTTCACGCTGGAGTTACAATATTTATAATCGTATTCCTCATTGCTCTGATCGTTTCAGCACCTCCAGAATTGAATCTAGAAGATGCCTCGATATGCTTCTTCGATGTCCAGGGCAAGACCGACGGCTACGTGGTCTCAAAGGCCACCCTTTACTTCTACATCCAACCGGCTAAAGTTCTTCAGACCACAGTGCACACGATGAGCGTGAGCCGTGTGGTCATGATGAAAGGCAGTCGGGGGCTGATCAAGCTGGATACGGTGAGGGAAGAGAAGATTGTTCTCAGCTCTCAGCACGGCGAATGGCAGAGCGTGGAGCTGACCGACGTTGTGACCGAGTGGATTGAGAACCCTGGAACAAACTCGGGGGTGAAGATCGAGCTGTACGATGATGGACGAAACTCCGTGGTTGTCACTGGACTGACGGATGATGAAGAGACCAAGGTTGGTAGTTAATCAACACTCACGAGTTTCTGCATCTTCACAACGATGTTCCATAGTTTTTTTTTAATCCTTGAAATACAATTCCCTGTGAATCACACTGAGGATTCAATTCGTCTTTCCTCTTTAGAAACCCTTCTTACAGTTGAGGCTACATGATGCCAGGAGACGACGAAGTCGGCGCGCTGCAGGCCTGATCTGCATGGAGAATCAGCCCACGGAGCGCTGCTGCCGTTATCCTCTTCGAGTGGTCTTCGCCGACTTTCAGTGGGACTGGATTCTGATTCCGAAGGCCTACGAGGCGAATTACTGCTCTGGTCTGTGCCCAAGGATGCGTCTCCAGCAGTACACTCATACCAAGATCATGTCTATGGTCAACCCTCCTCCCGACGGCTACATGGGCCCGTGCTGCTCTGCCAGCGACATGGCCCCACTTACAGTGCTCTACTTTGATGAAAACGCCGACATCAAGTACAGTCTATTAACCAATATGAAAGTTGAGTCCTGTAGCTGTGCATAAATGGGCAATGATTCTAAAGTGGGCACACTACATAGGCCTACATGGCTGGTTTGTTTCTAAAGCACGTGAAGTTCAATCCCTGGCAGTACTATCACAACGCGGATGGATATCAAATATCCAATGTGCCAAGCCGGCACTATTTTTTGTTGTTGTTGCAAAACAGTACTGTGATCCAATAGATGTCTTTTGATGCAAAATGTTCGCATGTTTTGAAGCTACTGCCAACCTTGAATATCACAGATTTATCCATATTTAATGATAAGGCAGACTAAAAGAGAAAACTGAACTGCAGTGCCGGAATACAGCACACGTAGTTTGTTGGTTTCAAAATAGCATGGTGTCTGCATCCCACCAATGTTCGTTTGCTGGTGCTAAACGAACACTAAAAGAAGTTCAGACATTGCTACCAGGGGGACATATTGATTCTCTGTTAAATAAAACGAACGAAACAACTTCCGACAAAGTAGTTCCAACAAAGTACATGTGGTATCGTGCTCCTTTGGTTGATGATTTACATCAACAACTTCTTGGGACTTTGCCAAAAGATGGTCGCCTTGTCTTTGTGACAAAAAGCAAATTACAGCTTTGTTTATGCAAATTAATAAGATACATATGTAATTCTAGCTTTTAAACATCTGACTGGTATCCTGAAGGTTCTAGCGACGACATCGCACTCTATGAAATGTTACAAGAAGCACCATCTTTAGCTTACGCGTCAGGTAAACACGAAGGGGCACCTGGGTTAACAGTTTTGGCGAAATATTTGTGGATGTTGTCAGCCATGTTCGTTAGCTGGTTCCAACGAACTCTAAAAGCAAGCAGGGTCAGCATAATAGAGCTATTCAAATCTATATTTTATTATTTTTTTATTTGTTTTACGAGCAGGTTTGCAGGGTGTTGGTCTGTCGTTCATGACCTTTACAATAAATGCAAAATTGTGTGAATGGTAACAGTAATATCTTGCTATAGTGCATGAAGGTAAATCCACCATTCACTTGTAATGTATGATTTAAAATTAAACTTAAAGTGCTTTCGCAAATTTGATAACAACTGAGGTATTTTAAAGGCCATGATGTCTTGTAGTTCATTTAGAAGACTTTGACATTATATAAATGTAATGAACTAACAAGGTGGACAGGCCATTATAACATTCTTAAACATTGATTGGAAAGAATGCATTGTCTGCAAGACTTTCACTTGCTATCCAAATATTTAGAGTTTTTAAGTATGGGTATTCAACTGTAGCACTGCTTTCTGTTCATTTTCTTTTCAACTTTGTGGTTAAGGTCTTCGACGTAATGCAATCCCTAATCATGCATCTGCCAAATCTCCAAGTAATGCTCCAATTCATATATCGTATTTAGACTGTGCCTAATGAATTGTCCGCATTGCTGTTGGTGGTTACCTAGAAGTGTGTGAATAAAGGGAATAATGCGTACACCCGAGCTATTTTAGTTCCAATCACCATGGACAAATGAAGATAATTGAGGTTCCCTCCTAATTTTTGACACTCTGGTAAATTTACAGTATTACAAAATACTGCGTGGTATCTCACACTGGTAGGAATTCTGAACGTTCCTGACACCTGCCGTTCAAAATATTGAAGAATCTGAATAAAATTTGTCAATTTTTTTTGTAATTAAGTCTGGTGTCCTTTACAAGACAAGGGACTTGAAATGCACAGGTGGGTAGACGAGCTATCAACAACACAAACAGAATGAAACTAACGTTGCACTTGAATCGTGATTAACCGGGGGGGGAAAGGGGCCACGCCCCCTCTTAAAGCAAAACTAATTTTGACTCCAAAATGAGAAAGGCTATTTTTTGGTCTATCTTCCAAAGCGTGTGAAAAGCTCCAAAATGTAGCCTAAACCCTCAGAATGACCATAAAAGGTTACATAAAGCAATTCCAGATTTTTGCCCACGCCCCCAAAATGTGGCTTTAGGATCGCCCCTTGACTTACACTTGGTTTTATTTTTGAGGCTGAAATTGGATTAATAAATAAAATTGTGCAATCTTTGAACGAGGCTTGAAGGAGGTGGACAAAGTACTTAGAGGATTAGCTAACAATCATAAGTAATCACATTGAGTAACGCTTTGCAGGTTAAGTATTTTGGAGAAACCGACGACAATCGTTCGTACATTTTGATCTATGTAATAGGCTAACAAGTTAACTATTCAGAATGTGCTAATTCAAAGTTGCAATCTGTCAAATTGTGACCCTTGCTCCATGAAGTATCTAAGCATTGATGTAACAGCCGTTTCACAAGTTAGCCATCTTAATGGACATTTCGATAAAGCCGTTTTGATAAGAAGTAGGCCCCTATTAAGCGCTTGTGGACAAAACGTGTATGCTTACAAAAAAGACTCTACGAAAGCAGCTAACTTTACAAATAAAAGGTTTTCATGGATAACACCCCCGGATGAAGGAAGACAATATACCTGTCCTTGCCCTTCGATTGTGTTGAACAAAGCATAGGCCAAAAATCAACATACCCATTATTGCAGTGCATGTAGGAAAGCTGGAAGTACTCTGGCAGTGAGTTATTGAAATGAAGTGAACTTGCAAAACCATTGTAGGACTTGATAGCTTAACTAAGCCAATGATTCACGGTGAAAAGGCAGCGGTAACTCAAGTGAAGTGCAACAGGTGTCGAAATTCAACTTCCGTGTTTTGGGCTTGAAATTTTGACCCATTTATTGCACCAAGTAAGATCTAAGCTTTCCCCAACAACCAGTTCAAACGTGGGCCAAGGAATATTATTAATGATTCATTGAATCCGAGTGAGAAAGAAGCAGTTGTTAAACCACTGTGTTTCTATGATGTTGTGTCAAGTTTATTCATCACAAGTGTGGCAGGCTGAAATTACACCATGCTGAATTTACCTACAGGCTGCTTGAGCTTAAAGGACTACACGCGCATGCTCTTTTTGCCAACTTCGTTGGGTAATTTCGGCAAGGGGCTGATTCTGCAGCACTGAACTACACGATTCATTATATCAGTAGACACTAAATCCAAAATAGGTGGTTACTTTTCCGAGGTCTTTCAAAGATGGTTGGTTACTAATTGTTTGGAGCAGCATACAGAGCTTTATTCAGTATTAAAGAATATGCACACCTAGTCAGTGTGTAAGAGAAACTGAAGGATTTTTTTTTTGGACTCGTTGCTTGTCTCATCATTGTTTATACTAGTTTTTTAGTCTTCCTGATTGTCCCTCTTTCCAATCCATAACATTTTACCCTGGACTCCTAAGAGATGCTGCCAAAGTCTCTCAACATTCAAAAGTTGGTGACTTGAAACAAAACGTTCAGGATCAAGGGACACCAGAACGCTCAAACGATTGACACGATTGGGCATCTTTAACTATCCAACCTTGGCAAGATTTGTCTCTTAACTGTCAAAATGCACAGAGCACCGAATTGTGTTTAGTCGTGAGGGACCGGCTTCAACAAATCAATCGAAATGTTGCGAACCAGTTTGAAAAAAATCATCGCATCAAAAGCGAGCACACTGTTATGAATGCATCGACACGCATGCATAACTGTATAACAACTTTAAAAAACATCTTTTTCGTCACCGACACAAAAGCGCTTGACACCCTTACTCCTCGGGGTGGAGGAACTATCGGAGGATTTAAAGCCTGTTGGGGTTAAATGCCTAACTTTCTGTTTTTTAACACCTGTTGATGTTACATCTACTCTCAATACTTAGCTTACATGGCAATTTGTGCGACTTCTGGTGTAGCAGAAAATCTGACAAAATGGAAAACCAGATAAATAAATATACATACTTCATTCCACGACTCTGATGGCCATTCTTACAAACTAGTTCAAGTAATGTTAAAGATCTGTCACTTTTACGAGTTCATCAAGGAATTAGCTGATCACGAGACAATAATAGCCCTCACATTTACTACTCTAAGGTGATCTGACCTTCGTGTAATTGCAGACGACACAATGTGTTTTTCTTTCCCCTTTATGTCCTGAAAAACAAGTTGGGTCGGGTTTGCTTTACGATCGACGAGCGAACAATATTACCACTGGGGAGGTGGGTTTCAGCGTGACGAAGCTGCTACACCTTGTTCGGTCACCTTGTTATTATTTTGGTATATAAACGAGCAAACGATGCCATGAATTGACACTTGCCCTACAGCTTGGTGACCCGCGAAGCAACCAATCCAGGGGTCTTGGTGTTTTGCTGACATCTCAAAATACAGGCCGGGGAGCGGTAAACAGCTATTGTGAGTCGGACAAAAGATCAAAGGCGACCCAATTATTACCGGGGCTTTGCTTTCACGCTCAATTGCAGGTGTCGGGCGGGTTTAGGGGACCCTGGCGACAACCAGAAAAACACAATTTGCGTGATCTGTTATCACCATCTTTGCCCCTGATCTGTTTTTAGCCTGCAACTTCGGCCCCGCGTTGTTTCTCTATAACCTTAGCGCCACACACCTGCGTTTGCCGTAAGGCTTGATGAGGTCTCCACCAAGAAATATTGATCTTCAAATAACCATGAGTAAATATGCAGCTTGATGACTCAACACAAACCAAATTCAAGAAGGTCGATGTTTTTTGTACTTCTCTTCTTCAACGCTGTATGATGAAATCTAGAACCAACAGAAGAAACAAATGTTGAACAAGATTCTAACACCACTTTATTTTTGGCTTGATATTTAACAAACACGCGTTACTGACCAAACAAATAAAGTACCTGTCACTGCCGAGCACGAAATTTCTCTGAAAAGTTTGAGTCACTGAACAAATCCATCCGGGGTATTAATCTTTTGCCATTAAACGGGCATAACCTTGAAAATACTGAGACAAAATTAGGGCATGGATATGAAATGAAATATAAATTACAAAATAATTCTAACAAAATACACAAATACTGCGTGTCAATAACTTGAGCTTGTATATTTACATGACAAAACCAAACTATTTTAATCTCGTGAAATATACTTTTAAATCTTACCTCTTGTGGTTAAAAATATACTAGGAAACAAATCTGCCCATCTTCCCGTGGATGAACATTTTAAAGAAATCTTGGCCTTACACTTGACTGGAACATGTTGAAGACTTACTTAATGACGCACAAGAGTACAGTTATTTTACCGATGGACGCGTAGTTTTCTCTCTTTTTTTAAAGATTATTTTAAGAAGCTCTGAAGGAGCGTAGTTATCTCATTTATCTCAGCATAACATCACGCATTGCTAGAAACAGGCCGTCGGTTGTAAGGGCACTCAAAGAAATTCCAACGAAACTATTTTCGAGCTTTCTTCGAAGCAAACTATGACGTCAGCACACCTCTAGGAAGTTCAATGGAGCGGGTCAGTACTTTACTAGTATCACGCTCGGCTTGACAGCTATCACATTTTGTTGTTGACATTTCGCTCATTGTTTGGAGAGTGGAAAATGACTTATGTCACCAAAAATTTGGTCTAGACCGAGTCCAAATGGGCCAAGTGCACGTACTTCAGAGAATTTTCTAAATAGAAAAAACTTGCTTTAAAACAAACAGGGGCTGACACGAATCAGGTGTAGTGAATATAGTACTTATGTTCTCGTGAGGTCTTTACTCCATGTTTGTCAAAACATAATTGACAGGTGTAATCCGCCCACAAACCTATTAACATAACTCGCTGATTAAAAGATGTCAGGTTCAATTTTGGTCCCTGCAGATCACGATAGACAAGCGGTAATTGCAACATGAATATTAAAACTGGAACTCTGGATGTCGGCAAAGCCAAGGGAAATATCTGGGGATAGTAAGGCATACGTCTATCCTTTCAACTACGATGCATGTATTCGTAGGTTCTTACTGGTACATAATGTATTAGCAAACACCTGTCTTACCCTAATGTGCTTCATTACATAACCCCACTGCCAATGAATAGGCATTGATAATTACAGCTTTTGGAAACTGTAATATCTCGCTAGATCTGAGTGACACGACGTGTATGTAGTGGTGCATGTACAAGGAGCTTGCGAACTGGTTGCTGTCAACTTTGGTATAATAGTGTGACCAAGGTGAGTCTTAACATTCAGTTTGGGGTGTCAGGTGACCGATCACCACCTGGGCCGTGCCAAATATCCGAAAAACCGAATATTCGATCGATTGTCGAATATTCGAATCGTGAATTATTCGAATTGACTCAGCCCTAATCACCACCTGAAGATTGCACTTCCACAGTACCAGTAGTAATCTCTCCATCTCTTGCCTTATCAAGCCTTGCTTTCAAAACAACCTCGTATTGAGCTGGTGTGAGGAGTTTATCCATCTGCAGATCACAGCCCCCGAGCTTCGGCAGGACTATGGCGATATAACCTTCGCCACATGGCTAGACAAAAGGAAAATGCGACCATCAAAACTACTGCTGTTCAAATCATATTAAAGTTAAGTACCGGTATAGGCTGGCAGACAACCAACCTTGGAAAAATAAAGACTTACAACGAGGCACTTGTTCACTTATTAAAACGGCAAAAACAGCCTTAAAATGGTATATCTTGAGATCAACAAGAAACATTTCGTTCGACCACAAGGGATAAAAGAAGTTTTAAAACTGAATAATAAAAATTCGAAGCATTGCAATAGCGTCGGAATTCCGACACGCCAAACGAAACAAAAATATTGTTATTTGTTAATAGGTTAACATTTTTGTTTGTCAAAGTAAGACACCCAGGGGAAAAACGACAACCAATAAATCGCACGAGGAAAGCAAACTGCGTACCATATACCAGTCGTTCTGATCGCCTCATTAGAACCACGTGTTCAGGTAAGATACAGGATAAACACTTTCAAGGTTCAAGATTTCTAGAAATAACAAACAGGTCTAGCTTCCACAGAAAACTATCAGCCGTAAACATATCACAGCGTCTACTCCTGTACTTACCATCGTGATGGGGGGTTAATTTCCAGACATCGCCAATCTATATACAGCAGGGATAGACAGCACTTCGCCGTCTCAATGTCCAACGGAACACCCCCTGATAACCTCGTATTCATATCTGATTATCCCACATAATGTTCATGAATGTATCGAAACCAGAGAGCATAAAAATAGCCTGCAACCTTTAGCTGTCTGGTAAAATAGGGTTTCAGTTGCGCAACCTAACCATTTGTTTGTTCCTTCAATTTTTTTATACTCTCATTTCAACTGTCTCCAGTTTTTATTCAAGTGATAACATTAAATGTTTCGATTAAAATTTCACCAGCATTAATTAAAATGGAGTGTCACATTAGAACACTAACATGGCGCACAAGCGATTGTCTTTACTAATTTTTCCCATACGGGCAATGTAGAATATTCTACAGCTGAGCTGGCTGTGTGTTGCGCAAGATCTGCCGTCAGCTGATGTATAAAATAATCCGATAAGACGCCCTAACTGTGGTGGCACCGCACTCACACGCACATTCTTCAGCTTGACGCGTGCGTGCGTTTAGCAAATCACGACACCCTATTGGTCGAAGAGGCGCGTTATACGCGCGTACCACCTGTCCACGAGCGTTGTGCCACCACAGTAATGGCTTCTGGCTGTGGTCAAATTACACTATACAGAAGGGCGGGCGAATGCTCGTTTGGTCACGCAAGTTACGTGAGCAGCGCGCTGACAAGCTAATTTTAAACCAGAGGAAAAGAGACTCAAAGTCCCATGGTCCTTTGCGGTACTCTACACTATACAGTCGGTGTCCAATTATTATACAGAGCCGACCACCAAATAAATATATCCCTTCGGCGTTTATGTAACACCACGCTATATGCAGCATAAGGACTAATTTCCAACAGTAGAATGTTATCTTGTCTTGATTAAAAATAACTGATGGGCAAGGGCAACTAATCCAGGACCATGGACCAAAATGTTCTATTCATGTGTTTTTCTATTGCCAGGTACCATTTCAATCTATAGGGCCTAGCAGGCATCACAAAATCACAGACATGGGCAGCGGTTTATTTCAAGTAGAAATACTTGCCACAGTCTCTAGTACAAAATAGTTGCCAACTTTATCTCATGCTATCTGTATTTCATATTACGCAGGTGCAATTATCTAATGAGTTTATATATATATAACGGTTTAAATTAATCAGGTTAAGAGACCAGCTGATGAACACCACATTTTCCGAAATTTGTCCTTAAATTAACCTCTTTCGTTTGCTTAGGCCTACTTGCATGTAATACTAAACGTAGTTTGATCGCTTTCGGGTTTAATGCTTGGCTCAAGGTTTGAAACATGCAAGCAGTACGTCCCAAATAAAGGGCACCAGATCAAGTTTATTCGACAGCTTCAACCGGAGTCCCGCAAATGTGTGTGCTGTAAAGACCCAGCAACCTGCCAAGCAAAGGGGCAACATACCTTAGTTTGGATGAGTTGAGGATTTTCGAGTAACGTTTCATTGACCTCGATGAGTTTAGCACTGATGCAGCTGTACATCGTGTAGCAGGTGCTATCAGAGCAGGTGACTTTACATAGTTCGGCAGTCTGGTTCAGCCACTGCCCTCCCTGAAATTCACAGTCACAAAAACCTTAAAGACAAATGGCCAGCATACTACTTAGGCGGTCCTGGATCCCTTCAAAGTAACAAAACCCAACCGGGTTTATGGGGGATTTGTTAGATCATTTTTTTGAATAATATTTAGGTTTTGTGGTTTTTCTTCAACACCCTGTAGCAGAGGTTGTCTTTATTTAATCTTCTTTATACTTGAGCCTCGGAGAGAAGAGTGAGATACAAACAAGTCCCCAGTAAGAAGTCTTCAAATATATCTGACATCTCCAAAAAAAATCAAGCAGATTCTTCACAAGTAGTCACATAGAGCCGAGTTGCTTGATTTGAGAAATCTCTTACAAATTGCCTCGGAACAATTCTTTTTTTTCCCCACATGACCTAAGAGGTTGTCAACACCATAACAATCCATGGCGTCATACACACAAAGAGTGAGTCCATTTCAGCTAATACAGGTCCCAGTAAAAAATGGAGGGCCCTAAACTTAAAGAGCAGTACACATTTCCCTAAAATAAACTCCAAAGGATGCAGTGATCTCAATGGGTATTTCATATCACTCTGACCTTTTGAGTACCTTTTCCCTCGGTTATTATTTCCATCTTCTGCCATTTTAGGCAATTACTAACCGAAATTTAGCCCTCGTGGTTTAGGGTTCAATAATTGTCGTATGCTTAACTAAATTAATGTGATCTTTCCGTATAGCTGAGGACTACGCTCTGCTGTCTTGGAGATTTACCCCTAATGAGATTTTTTTGAAACCACCTGATTAGAAAAAAATTAAAACTTCGGATGTTTCTTCAAAAAGGTCAGTGTAATATACCATATCAAAATTCCTTCATATCACTTTTTCCTTCAGATTTTTCTTGTTAAGATTATAGTTATTATTAAAGTTAAGATTATATTATCTCGTTGGAAATACTGAACATGTCTTTCCAAAAAAGAAAATCAGACGCCTATTACAACCAAAAAAATAAAAATACTACGAAATTATTATGCACACAACATTTTTATGACGAAGAGGTGAAAGGTGAAGCCATTGAATTGAAATCACAAGATCCTTTTGTAAATCTGTTAACACAGCAACTGTCCGAATATTACACCGACTGGAGTAAACGGACTTCAATGGACAGTGTCAACTCTTGTCTATTGTCACAGCTGGACACATATTGAATTATGTAATGGAAGCCGAGTGTCATATCAGTCCATTGTTTGAGACTTAGACGCCCATAAAGCCATTAAATTAGCGGTGATTAAACAAACTCTAACATTTATTGTAAATACCATCCAAAATTTGTCTGTTATCGTGTGACCAGGCCATGACATAAAAAAGATCCAATTGAGCGTTATTTGCACTGATAACATCAGTGAAGGGTTGTAAACCTATAACTTGCGGTACGGTAACATCGCGTGCATCGCACTCGCGTCACGATTTCACCTTTGAGCCGGCAAGCAGTGCAACGCGTTTGATGGACGCAAATGTATAAATTTATAACTTCACAATGCAGTCCTCCAACGACGTAATTGAAAAGTACAACCCAGGCTACTAACGCTTGGCGATCACCTTTAGAACACATTCACTGTCACTTTTCCCCTCGACCCCCTTCTTTATCACATAATTCGCAAAGAATAGCTTGCAGCCATGAGTCCAACAGCAATGTTCTAACCTTCTGATGGCAGCAACACACTTATACGTTTCTTCCTTTCTCTATCTTTTCCCCCACATTAGAAAACAATTTGGGATCCAGAAGTAAAATAAGTTCCGAGTCGAGTTCGTTTTTCACTTCCAGTTGCTCGGCATTCGGTAGCAACAATTATTTCCCGTGTCTTGGTATACTAAACTACAAAGACGTTCATTCTTCAGTACTACATGTAGTGCACGTGTGTATTCATACACCAAATATTTCTTCTTTAACTTAGTACGTTTTCAGAGCGAAGGCCTGGCTGAGTGGAGGATGGAAGCTAAACTGATTTGGTGACATGCCGCGCTGGACTGGAGTCTCCTAAGACTTTGCCACCCCCGCCCCTTTCTAGGACACGGTAAGACCACTGCAACTCAAATCAACAAACAGGAGACGGAAACACAGACCAGAGGGAGTGGGGGAAAGCGTGGAGCAAACACCTCCGGGATGTGAGGCAAAACGAACTCGTGCCGGTGCGGCAGGAATTCATTTGGAGACCCGGGCAAATATTGAAAGACACCCACGCCCTGTTGAAACCCTAGCTCAGGAGCACTCGGGTAATGCCTAGTTACGGAACCTTCGGGAATCTTGGGAGATGAATTGACAGGGGGAGAGTAGATGAGCCTGTCATCCTTAAAGGTACATTGCAATTCATTTGGGTGTTATCTGTGAATCCTTCTGTTTCCTTGTAAAGGGAAAAAGAGGGTATGGGTGAAGGTAATAAGATATCTGAGGGGAGCTGTTGAATTTTACGAAGGGCAAGTTTATGGGTAAGTACCTAAAAGGAAGTTATTATTGAAACGGGGCTTAGTAATGAATTAATCATTATTGGAAAATGCAGTGAGTTTTATCAATATTCAGAAACACGGAATACTACGGATTATGCGGCAAAAATAAAGTTGGTAATTTAAGAAATGTTCTGCAAAAGATCTCACCTTTTTCCGCTTCCCAATTACTTTATTTTTCATTCGATTTGTGCTGGCTCCAACTTGGAAATCAACTTTCTGGATTTGTTTGTTTTCCCGAAGCAATGGATGACCCTTCGCAATCGTTACAAGACAAACTCTGCAGGAAAGATTATTTCCAGATAAGACAATGCAGTCTGGCTTCCAAAATATTTACGAATCTCTCCATTTTTCCCCTAGTCTAAAACTGTGAATGCATTACAAATTATATTTTTAAAATTCCGGTTGATAAAATTACTGGATGCTACTCCTTACTTATTGCTGTGTTTCAGAACACAGAAATCTTCGCAAGACTTGCCATTCACATCTGAAAAGAAATATATGAAAGTACAATAGTTCTTCTTTAATTTAAACATGTGTTTAAAGACTTTCAAGCGTAAGATAAGCGATTTAAAGCATTAACAGACTATCTGTATCAATGCCTTAACGGGTCGAGTGAAAATTCAAAATCAAAATGGTAACAAGAAAATGTGATGACAGCGTTGGAAAGAATGGCGATAGAAGATGCAATTGGGAAAAAGGGTGACTTAGAGTGAGGTGAAGCAACAGGTGCCAAACACCCCTTATCGTCCCTTTCTGAAGCCAAACTTCTCAGCTTCACAATTTCTAAACTGTCTCATCTTGATGGTTATTCATACATTAATGTCAACAGACAGTCGATCAACCGACTCACTTTTAAAGACTAGACAACCTGTGGAAAACGTCTAGTCAATCTACTCCTAATTTGCTCATGACAGCTTTCAAAGGCAACATCTCGATTACAATTCAAATGGGTGTTAATGCATCAGGTATAAAGACATGATTCTAATCGGTCACAGTGAGTGAAAGAGTACTTTCTAGATTCAACACAATGAGTAAGCCTGGGTGGTGTACTCTTTTCATGCGATGGTAACTCTTTGACAGGAAAGCAAAGTGGGTGGCCCAAACGTCTTTCAAAAATGGTTTAAGCCTCAGGCATTCTTATGTCTCTCCTGAGAAAATATGTTGACATTCCTCGAAACATGTTTGCTTAAAAGTAAACAGTCTTTTGTGGATAAATAACCGAGTAGACTAAGCAGCAAATTCAGCAACCAGTAACCAAAAACCGGTGCATGGGGAGATTTGGAAACATAACATTGGTTTATCATGGTTCCACAACTATTCAACCCAACTGTTTACTTTTACCTTGTGAAAGCTACGAGGTAAAGCAGCTTTGCAAAGATGACAAGAACTTGTATCCCAAATCAGTATGTTTTCCAGAACCATGACAATAAACATCTGTAACCCCCCCCCTCCGCACTATAACTTCCTCATTCCACAACCTATCAAGGGTTACATCTGTTACCCAAACGTTTTGAACACGTAGGCCTACATGAGATTCAGTCAGTGTCGGGAAAAAGTTGATAGAGGGCGCTACATATCAAGGGCGATATGGAGGAATGTGGTAGAGAACGGAGTGTACAAGCTAAATCTATGTGCCTGTACAACTTACCAGGTATTCAGATTGAAAAAAAATACTTGAAAGGGTTTTATATTCCACAAATCACGAGGTTAAGGAATTAAATAAGGCATAAACAAGGGTTTTATAAACCCAATAATGAAAAGTGCTGGATGAATATAACACGAAACAACTCTGATTTTGTTTAAAAGTTGCAAAGTCAAAGCTTAGTTTAGAAATAACAAATTTATAAAGAACTTTAACCGACAGTTTAATCCAAATGATAAGAAAACGGACATGACAGATCATTGTTGTAATGTCTATGTAATACTTGCAGGCGCGGAGTGGAGCTGCATGATGTAGGTGGTTTGTCACGTCATGTGTTTCACTTCTTCGATCCATTCCTTGTAAAACTTAGAACTGACTTTAGAAAACTGCGAATGAAATATCCACAATGAAGTCCTAACCCAGTTAGTGTGTACTTACCAATTTTGTATCTTGTCGTGTAATATCTTTCCACAACAGACGGATATGACCCCGAGAGAGGAGGTTGTTCACCGGAATCGGTGACCTTCGTATCCCATTCCATGGACGCCGCCATCTTGATCGCGGAAAGAAATCAGTACAATTGAGGGCGCTATAACAATATAATAAGCGAAAAGAAAGCCCAATGCATGAAGAGACCGCCAAACGTCAAGCAAATCACATTGTATTCCACTAAAATGAGTATTTCATGTTGAGTAATGATATGCATTGGGATTCATCCACCTTTTTTTCCAACAAAGCGTATCAGATTGTCAACAATCGTAGTTACATCGTCCGTTTGACAAAGTTTCATTCAGATTTATTCAGTGGGTGTAACTAGGGCTAAATGCGTGCCCTGGAGGAGGTTGTAGGGGGGGGGTACAATTTCTGTTTCAAGGGGGCACCACAAGAAAACAAGCTACAGCTGCACACTTATGTACACTTAACAAATATAATTCACAGATCCCCCCCCGCCTAAGTGACACCACTGGATTAATTTGAAAATAATCACTGTCAATCCTCCACGTCCGGTTTACAATCTACGCCAACCTGTACATAATGTTTGAAAAGAGTCTCAAACTAATAGTGAAAATTTGAATTCATTGCCTGCTTGGTAGTTCATCAATACACACTCGTCAGTCAACGTTCAAAGGAAGAACTCGTTGAAACGACCATGGGACATTTCAACTAACTCGAGCGCACTTTTGAGTTGAATGGCCAGGCGGTCATTCCCCCAAACTCAAGTGGTAAAGTCGACAAACTTCGAGTCTGGAAAGGAGTCTAAAGGTTAGGTTAAAATCATAACAATGGGGCAAGAACAATAGTATGTTTGCTCATTGTAGCTTTACCTTGCTCAATATTTCCACATAAGCAATCACGTGGATATAAGACAACATTAAGGGCAAGAGCAAGGGCAAATTGTTTAAAGGGATCCGCGAGAACAACCCAAAACACAAAGGCTAATTAAAGTGGTCCCGTGTTAGGGTGTTAGAACGGCTGGGGAAATCGACAACCTTGCAAGCAGTTCTGCGAAGATTGCATGAATCTAAACACGAGTGGATACCTGCACTGTTTAGGACACAGGAATGATAGCCATTCATGTCCTTCAACGAAAAATTCTAGAAAAAGATTGGTTTCTTTTCCTCAAAAACTAACTAGAACTATATCACTGTTAATTTCAGCATGAGAAATAGGTTTGCGGGTACACCATCGAATCAGTCTCTTTTTGGGCGAGGTGTGGTTCTTAAAAGAAGTGGCATTAACCCGGCATAATTATGTTTAGATAGCCTTCTATAAGATTGATAATTCTGATGTTAATACAGGCCATTCACAACAGCGCGCCTCCAAGAGTTTGCAACGCGTTGACCAATCACGATGCGCAAAATCTGTCGACCCATGCGCGTTTGGAAAGGGTCGACACATTTCGCGCGTTATGAATGGTCAACGCACTGTAAACTCATGGAGGCGCGCTACTGTGTATCGCCCGTATTCTAGCAAGGTTTTAGTACAGGCCTAAGTTTGAGATTTGTATCACTAGTTGCGCCCTTTAAGCGACGCAATAAACACCTGATTTATTCTTTTGATAAGGGATCAAAGGTTATTTTTCATGGCCCGGTTTCCGAAACGTTTCACGTTCGTCCTCCATTTAGACTTGGCCGGGCGCGGATGTGATGGTCGCATTTCACGCTCCATCGAAACGTACTTGCCATAAGCAATACTGGTACTAATAACCGTTCGTAAAAAGCCGCGGTGCAATGTGTTGTGATCGAAAACCGAACCCTTCAGTTTGGAGACTAGCATAATAGAAACTGCGAAGCTCCCATTTTGACAAACGTTGAACACGCACTGGTTATGTTCTACCATCTTGCTCGACAACAACTGCCAGAGACACCGACTCGACCCTGGTGCGTACTCAACTTGCATCTGGACCACATCATGGAGCTGTTCTCATGCACTACCCTCGTACTTGCTCTCCTGATCTTATTTGCTGCTTTGCTGTTTTCTGGGTTGCTTTTTGTGATGGTGTATTTGACATATCTCCACCGCAAGTTTGCCCACATCCCAGGCCCGAAAAGAGACAGGTACGCATAGGCATATACATTCAACAACTTACCTTTGAATCACACAAAACTGACACCCACACACTTTAAAACAGGTGCATATTTCCCAATCTTTGGGGAGATACCCTAAGAGATGTATATGCTCAATTTCATGCCTTTTGCAGAAAAAGAACAGCATAGAAAAACCATAATTGCGCTTCGAATTTCCGGTCTTGTTTAAACGCAGAAATTAATTTTTTTACAACAAAATTTTTAAATAGTTTCTTTACAGGAAACCTGACGAGTTTACGATTGCGTGTGCATAAAGGCAGTAACTTACCTGAGTACTTGTATGACCTGTAAGTATAAAATGGTATTAATCCACCTGCAATGGCTTAAAATGTTCCGCAAATTCGATCGACGACCATTGAAATCTATACAAACAACCATAACCCCAAAGGTGTTTGCAAAATCATATTGAAATGGGAGGATTTTGGACTGTGTTATAGGGTTAACTAGAGGTTGGTTCGTAACGCACCTAGCGCATTTACAGTAAAGTTGACTTGAGAACGACCCTAATCAACCGTTGTCAGGTCATTAGGTTGAAGGGGAGAAATGGTGGCCGCAGGAAAGGCCAACCTACAAAAAGGAAACTGAAAATTGTCATTTACTAGTGACATACCGTTTCCCCGGCATTTGTTATTTAACTAGTCCTCTCTGCACCGTGCTAATATTAAAAACAGTTGACACACTGTAAAAATTTTTCTGTACATTTTCAAAGTACTTTACCGACAGCACAGGCGCCAGGAGAATACTGTTAATGATTTACAGTACTTATTATTACGGTAAATCGCTGTGATTTATTGGACAGTAACTAACTGTAAAAGCAACAGTAACTTATCTCATCTCAATTAATTACATTAATTTGATGTAGACATTAGACACAGCAAGCTAGCGTTTCATTGATCATGGGTTCATTCTACATTTGTATTTAGGTGTAATTTTCAAATATAATTACGTATATGATACACATACTTCGTACACATTCTTCAAAAGCCGTGATCACAGCAGAACTTTATTTACGTTCTGAGGGTGCACTGGAATAGTGTTTAATTATGTGCATTGTTAGGCTCCAAGTGCAATCATGGTTGGGGCATGAAAAAGAATGATTTTTCATTTTTCACGTTCCACTTATATTTCTCGTGTCAGTATGCAAATTGAGGTCAAACCTTATACCGTACAACATTAATTACTGTCAAATATACAGTATTAGACTGCATTCACAAACGCACAGTAAATACTGTAGAACACTGCTCATTGCACAGTATCATTTTACAGTGTAGCAACCGATGACGCGACCAACCTCGATAGGCTGTTCCATGGCTGTTCCAACGCGGCCGTCGTCGACTAGCGTGCGTTTGATCAGAGAAAATATGGTTAACTACATGCCCTTGACGGCACTTATATCCGTAGTCGTAGACTAATTTATAAAGTCGATAAATTCGGTAGTAGGGATCTCATGATTATAAAATGAAACCCGTTGAACTGAGTCAAATTGAAAAGAATGGAAGGTCTTTAAGTATTTTGAGGTGTGGTTATAATACAGGTGATTCACATTGGCCAATCATAACGCGCGAAATTTGTCAACCCTTTCCAAACGCGCATTGGGTCGACAAATTTCGCGCATTGTGATTGGCCACTGCGTTGCAAACTCTTGGTGGCGCACTACTGTGAATCGGCCATATTGATATTCTACTTTTATTTAACAACTGCTACAGGATGAAAGAATACGGTGCAGTGTATCACATATTTTTGATTCATCGCCCTATTGTCTTGGCCCTGGATGCGCCATTTCACAAGGTTTGTAATATTTTGAAAGGAATAAACTTCTGCGTCTTATTATTCACACCCTTTCCAATTCTTACACTCTTGCATACTGGCCGCTTTTGAAGCATTTATATAGATTCAATGATAGATTTTTGTCACCAAAATTTTAGGAAATCTTTACTACAGTGGCTCACATTAAACCCATCAGTGGCTACAGATACCTTTGCAGTGTCTTGGGAACAAGGTTTTTGGGGAACGGCCTCATCACAGAAACCGTTCCCACTAAGCACGCCAAGCGACGGACACTCTTCAATCCCGCTTTCCACAGGAAGTAAGTTTTTTAATTAAAAATTGAACCCCAAGATTACCTGGATTCGAGCCTGAGACTGCATCACAAGTCACGTGCATGTAATTTGTAAAAAGGAACGAGCACAATATTGGGGGAAGTAAATATGAATGATGCAAACTTTCTGCACGCCATAGACCTGACAACACTAGGAACAATGCCCAAGCCAGTGGGTAACAATAACTTTACTCTAATAAGAACATCATTCAACTTGCTTGATTTTACTTACAGATACTTGATAAGCCTGATGGACCAGTTCAACTTCAGCGCAGACGTGCTAGTGAACCGACTTGTCACACTAGCAGACGGGAAGACCGAAGTGGCGATGCTGGACGAGTTTAATCGACTCACCCTGGATGTCATTGCCAAAGTGAAGGAAAAAAAAGAATGAAAATCTTTCCGAAAAGAATGGCCCTTTTTTACTGTCACACGTTTCACGAATTATTGCCAAATTCTTAGAGGGCCCAAAGCCATTAAAATGTTGAGGCACATGTAGACTCTGATGAAAGACAATGCAAATGGACATAGACCATTTTTATCAAGCGATGCAACTGCAGAAACGTATTTTGATCAGTCATTTGACATGAACCTTTATGAGCTAGACACAATAAAATGTAGACAACGCGAAGAATAACAGCGTCTGAAAACCGTTAACTTTCCGCTAAAATCTGAGCCATAAACCAGTTAGGACATAAATAGCATTTGTACAAGGCTGCGTTTTCAAACTTTGAATTTAAACTGTATTTATTCACTTGTTTTCTGAAGTCCGTTGTACTTTCATTTCCAAGGTGGCATTTGGTCTTCAGCTGAATATTACCGAGGAAACAGAATCGCCCTTTGTCAGAGCAATGACTACTACGCTGCAAGGCATACAAATTTCATTCAGAGCTCCCTGGAAGGAAGTAAATCAAATTAGTCTTATCTTTATGATTAGCTTCATGATTAGCTTCTATGTGAGTTTTATTTTAACCAACCAATGGGAAAAATCAAAGTTGCTTATTAAAATCACTAAATCTAAAAGAGACGCGCAAATCCTCTTAAAATTTTTACACAAATGAAAGCACTATATTAAAAAAAAATTGACTTTTAACCGATTTAGCACAATATCAGACCCTTGTCTGATCGTCTATGAAGATTTCATCAACCAGTGAAAAAACCGTAATGATTTCTCCCCTTTGGTGTTTGCGTGTGGGTATTCGCCCAACCACAGTTCAGCCCACTTCCGTCAGATCGCCAATACCGGCGACAGGTTGCTGAGGCTATCACATTTCTTCGTGAGACGGGCAGAGAGTGTGTGAAGCGCCGGCTGGAGGCTAAGAGGAGAGGGGAAGACCTCCCTCAAGATATCCTGACTTACATCCTCCAAGCCTCGGACGACCTTGAAGGAGACGAGAACTTCAAGATGGAGGAGATGTTGGATGAATTTGTCTCGTTTTTCTTGGCAGGTTAGAAGTCGGGGTTAATTGAACGGGAATGGTACCAGGTTAGGGGCAGAAATACACAAAATGGGGAGGGCAGAAGTTGAACATTTTAATGAAGACGCTTCATATTTTAGATAAAAAACCAATCGTGTTGTTGGGCTTTCTCATATCCAGTCATTGTGTAGGATATTTCAGGCTTACATTCTACCTAGGCATTGTATTTTCGGTTTTCATCTTTGTCAGGACAAGAAACAACGGCCAACACCTTGGCCTTTGCCCTCGTTGAGCTTGGTCATCATCCGGATGTCATGCACAGGTAGTTTTACAGTAGTTTCCTGTAGGAGTTCAGCCTCGTTTGTATCTTTTTCGAAAGTGTTACACTTGGACGCAGCCAATTAATAGACCCCTTGCAGCTGGTACTCGGTACTTATTCCTTTAACATAAGAAGGAACCATTGAAAAATGGGAAGTGCAATCCCTCAATGGATTAATTTATTAAGGACAGTCTAATGGACTTTCTGACTTTCCAATCTAAAGCAGTCTAAAGTGGAGGTAGAATTTTCTTTGACACGTATGTTTTATTCCCTTTCGTTGCATGATTTAAGTGGAACAAAATAATGGAAATGTTTATCCCGATGTATCTTCCAAACAACGGTAGTTTTGTCTTATCTCGACAGATTGAAAACCGAAACCCTGGCAGTGATGGGAGACAGTGACTACGCTGAATACTCTGACCTCGGCAAGCTAGACTACATGATGATGGTGAGTGAATTCTCACCTCTGAGATTTGTGCACAATGAACCAGAATTTTTGCTGGTTACCTGAGTAGCTTCTCTGTCTTTATTATAAACTGCAGGTGTTGAAGGAGACGCTGCGATTATGGTCTCCAGCTTTTTCCACAAGCCGTGAACTCGCGTACGACGTTGAAGTACGAGGTTACAAAATACCAGCTGGAGCCACGATCTGGGTGAGGCTGACATTTTAGTTATTACATAACTAACTTTCAGTCACATGGAAAATTATATTTTGGGCTTAGAACTAACAAAAAGAGAACACAACAAACGTTTCTTAGGCTAGATTAGTTTTCCCGAAATTAATGGTCTATCGTGATAAGTGTTTCTAAAAAATGGAAGCATTTTTGCAGAATGCGACTTATGAGCTATTTGAGAACTTCTGAAGATCTTCCTGGTTGATGAAATAACTGAAATATTTTCAAGCTTATCAAATTCTGATGGTTTCCTGTCGCAGCTGAATTCCTACGTCATGGGAAGAAATGAAGAGTATTTTCAGAACGCACTTGAGTTCGATCCGGATCGATTCAAGAGCAACGAGGACCAGTGAGTAAACCTTTTTCTTCATGAAGTAAACGAAGACTGTTTCTACCTCATTTGCGTATTTATAAAACTCGCCCACAAAAGTATTCTCTTGGCTTTTGAAATTTTAACGGGCACTGTCTTTTTATTTAGAAAACAAACCAGTTTTAAGGATGGCAAAAATAAACTTGTCCATCTGCAGTTGACATAATAATTCAAATGAATAGCCCAAAGCAAAACAAAACACCAACAAACCACCCCCCCCCCAAAAAAAACGAGTGAGTTTATATCTTTGTCTTTGGCAGGACCCAGTATGCGTACTTTCCGTTTTCAAAGGGACACCGTTCTTGCATCGGCCAACCATTCGCTCTGGTGAGCTTATTATCATATAAATACCAGTTCTAATTATTTCTTCCTTAAAAATGTTTCTTGGACGGAAAATAAACAACTAAGGAGAAGAGTGCCAAGTTTTGCTTTCGATTGTTTCTGCAGATCGAGGCCCGAGTTATCCTGGCCAAATTACTGAAGAAGTTCAACTTCAAACTAGTTCCTGGTCAGGGATTCGAGATACTGCAAGAGTTAACACTAAAGCCGAAGGGCCGATGCAAGAATTACATCACGCTCGCCGAGTAAGACCGAGAGCAGAGTCGAATAAAGCACTGAGTAAAAAAGAAATAAATAACGGCAATTTTGGAATTATAGCCATAGGGGACCGTCTGGTCTAAAAAGATCTGATTATGTTTATATTGCTTGCAAACTGTTTACTGTTTGTGTTTGTTTGTTTGTTTGTTTGCTTCTTCACTTTGGGCCAATCACAAATCTCAATGGAGGATTTACATACACGAGTAACCTCGTCATTTTCAGAAACACAGTGGGAATTACAGATTGAAACAATATTTTAATTCACACAGTTTTTTTGCAAAAGGCTGGTTAAGGTTTTAATTAATTGGGCATGTAGCAATGTACTGAATTACAAGTACTTCACAATATTTCACATGAACACTTCAGTTTATGGAATTTAAGAATACAGTTTGACCAACTTTATTTTTCCTTGATCTGCTCGTATAGTATAAGCTTTTTATAAGTTTTTATAATTTTCACGTTTTAGTCGAAAACTACTGTAATCATTTGAACTTACGATCTTGCGCTATGCAGTTGTATATCTTCGACATCTGTGTCAGCTAGATAATAAAAGCAGCTTATGACCCTGGATACTTTATTGATGCTGTGAATTCAAAGGGAGGGCTGTGTAAAAATCAATAAAACAGCGTTCTTTGTCAACACGCTTTTCCTGCGAGTAGTTGCTTAAGGGAGCCATTTTCGTATTTGAGTTCTGTACACAATACATGCACTGCATGCTAGAGCCGGGCGCACATCACATTTCTGTTTTCTAACGCAGAAGTGACATAGCAAACACAAATTCAAACAAATATTTGAACGTCTTATTGAAGATAATGGCAGCGGTTGAAAGACTTCGCAAGATGGATGCAGACTTTGAAGACATAATATTAAGGAGAACAGAAGGCTCACACTGACACATCAAAGAACGACTCCGTTGCAATATAAAAGGGAGCATTCTCATTCTCAGTATAGCAAGATATGTTGCGACTTAATTAAGTGAGCATCTTAACTAAATCTTGTGATGAAGACGCTTTTATGAAGATGAGAAAAACCTTACAAGACACTTCGTGAGAATCTCAAGATGTCCTTTCAAGTCAACTGATAACAACTTCCACCATGCGTTCATGCACTAATCGTGAGCTTCGGCTGATGTTGTACTCGTTCTTCGCCGGTGCAATCGTGGCCAGCATTGCTTGGCAAATCATCTACCATCGACCGCACGCTAAGTCCCGGACAAGATGCCGACCTTTTCAGAACATGCAGGAGAAAATCTGCCCGCAGTGTCCGAAGATTGAGTGTCCAAAAGCCCCGTCTGCAGATGAAGGAGCTATTGCCCAGGTGCCCAAGACCCTGAAGTCATTTCTCAGCAGACACTGGGAAGGCATGCAAAACGATGCGGTGGTGGTTGTCAAAACTCAAATGAAATCGTAAGTAGGATCGTTTCACTTCAGTTGAAAAGTCTAGGAATAATTATTTCAGTGATGGGAAATTTTCCAGCCAAGACCATCAGTTTGTGAATGTACACAAAGCAACATCCAAAAGGCGTGGAAAGCCCGTTATTGGCCAGAGTCTACAACACTTTTCTTCATTTTTAACATCAACACGAAACTGTTTAAGTTTCATGAAACGCAATTTCTCTTCACTTGGAAACTAAAGTACGTCGACGGCGCTCTTTCATCTTTTTATCTTTTTAGGAATTAGTTATGACGATATCGTTTATTTTGGTCTAGTGTTCCGGGTTACATCGTCTCCCTGCATCCGAGCGAGAGAGATCCAGAGATTAGTCACAGTTTGATAGAGCGAGGTGACTGGAAGGAACAACTAATTGTGCGCATGTGCCGTGAGATGAACAAGGCCCCCAAAGATGCCTACTTTGTTGATGTTGGTGCTTACGTTGGTGAGTCGATATACTAGACATTTCAGAAGGGGCACCCAGAGAGCCAATTCAACAAAATGCAATGTTTTCGACAGACTGAGGCCGTGTTTGAATTACTTGGCTGTGGCCTGAAATTACGCACGAGTCTACAGCAGTGGCCACAGACAGTTCCCCATCAAGTCGTGATTCAAGCCATAGCCTAGTACTTTGGCCCAGACGCGGGCTTAGGCCAAGTACGAAACGGGCTCAGTTCTGGAGCTACGGCTTGGCCTGTTGTCTGCTCGTCTCCGCGTACTCCCAATCAAAGATACGCATACGATCTTTGCTTCCAATGGAGTGAAAACCTAGATTTACCTCCTGAAAAACAAATTCGGATGCAGCCTGACTGGCGCTAACGACAGATAGAATATTTTCTGTTCTATTTCCTGTTTTTTCAAACCCCTCCTCACAGCTGTTAACCAATTAAACAGGCAGGGCTTCAGCCGAAAAAAACTTAACTAGAACTAAGAGAATGATTAAGTTAAAAGATAAATGTACATTCTTGCTATCGAAGCATTTCTAAAACCTTGCTGAACAGTTTTTGTTGGCATTTAATAGGGAAGCTTGATGCAAATGATACTCGTCATCTGGCAACAGAGGCGACTGGTAAGCTATAGTGATAGGCCAGGCTTGTTTCGTTTTCATTTTTGACGGGGCTTTTGTGCCGTCATGAAAGGAAAAACAACAAATGTACACAGTCCAAGAAATGGAGAATTACACTTACTCAGAATTGAAGGTCCTCAGATTTGACTCAACCGTACTACGCAGTGAAATGCCAGACGATCGTGGAATTCACGAAGCTCAGTATCTTTTCCTCCTTCATGAGATTTTTTTTATAATTTATTCAAAAGCCTGTGAACGAGCGGCCAGGTTAAACAGCGAAAACGCCGGCGTGACAACAAACGTGCGTATCAGTGCCAGTCAGTAGACCTTCCAATTTCGAGTGCCAAACTGTTCACGTAACTCCAGTCAAAATTACACTCAAACACTCTTCAGAAGACAAGCCGTCATCTTCTAGTTGTCCTTGCGAGCACGGAAGCCTTAAATATTCCTAGGCTTCTCAAAATATTGACAACATACTTCCTGAAGCCGACCTTTCAACGCTCAAGTTAAAAGTTGTGACAAGAAAATGGCGACGTCACTTCAGACGTGCACATTTTATACCGCACACACACGGCAACAGTGTGTTCTTACGTGAAGTACACGCGTGCGCAAGAATGTAATCTGCATATCTTTTAAGAAACAGGTGCGTTAACAACAGAAAGTCCACCCAGATGTTTAAACTTACAGAAATTGAGTGAAGTGAATTCACTGGAAAGGAGGATTTGAAAAACAACTGCATCATATAGATTTTCCCTCACTTTGGTATCCAGTCCAAAAACTAGACATTCGAATGTTGCTAAAGTAAAACACATGCAAACAATATTTGGAAGGCATGCTAAAAGTTTGTCTAAGGTTGAGTCTTTAAAACTTAAAATTCAACTTGAGTTTTGCATTCCCTTCCAACAATCCCGAAAAAGAAACAAACGCATACTGCCAGAACAAAAGTGTAGAGTTCAACCGTTACATTAAAAGAATTGATATCTTGCTACCTTCACGATGAAAAATGTCAAAACTCATAGTGAAAAAAATGGTCAATATTTCGCTTTTTGTTTTAATTCGTACAGGGACTCTATCTCTCGGGGTCTCAGCTTGTGGTCATAAAGTCATAGCATTTGAGCCGATGACTCGGAATGCTTTCCTGCTCAAAGAGAGCGTTTTCCTAAATCAGCTGCCGTCTGAGAAATTCGTCATCCACAACATGGCGCTGGGGAATGTGCAAGGCACGGCTTGCTTCCTGGCTAGCTCCAATAACCAAGGAGACGGAAGATTTGTCTCAGGTGAGATAAGTGAAGGCAGATGAAACAGTGACGAGGGAGAGATGGGACAACAGTTGAAATTCAGAGACCATAAAGTGTTACGCAAAGTCCAAAGGGGGGGGGGCAAACCCATTCATGTTAGCGTTAAGATCCCCACAATTGAAACAATCATGACATTATGATGGTGACTAATGGTTTAAGAACCTTATGGTCAGCTGAAGACCTTGGGATGTTTTGTTCAATTTCCCCAATTTTTGAAGAATTATAAATGTTCTTAGAAACAATGTCATACATGTGCGATTTTCTTTAATGAATAGGTGGGGATGAAGGGCATGAGTGTAACTCCCATGAAAACACTATCAAGATGTCTCGACTTGATGATGTGCTCCAAGATGGCATCCGCGTCTGGGCAATGCACATCGACGCGCAGGGTTTTGAACCGGCCGTCTTGGCAGGCGCAGAAGAGATTCTAACTAGCTCCAATCCTCCACAGTATCTGCACGTCAGATTGGGGAGCGTTTACAGCACGGAAGTGATGGAGGTGTCAAGGGGGGTCGTGGAGACCTTGGCTTGGTTAAAGGAGATTGGGTACGGCTTGAGGAATGCTGCTAACGAACCAATCAGAGACTTGCCTAAGTTTGTGTGGGGCCTAGGCCATGAAGAGAGTTATGTGTTCGGAGTGTTCGGCATGAAGTAATGAACAGCATTCAACTGGTCCCTGGTTCGAATCCATGTTATGAATTTAAATGCGAGTCTTAACACAGGTGTAGAGCAGCATCACGCCGTGTGATATGGGGCTCATTGCAAAAAGAGTAAACTGAAGTCTGCATGCCAGACCACCTGTTTTAACTGCATTAGTAATCTTTGGTAAGACAGTAATTATCCTACTATTTTCTATCCCATCGACGTAGACAATTACCTAACACTAGCAACTTACGTTGAATTTGTCGTTTATTGACTCCGGAGCAAAATATTCAGTTAAAAAGTATCATAAGACGATATCAGTTTGCAAAAATCAAAAGCACAGCCAACTTCGAAACTTTCATTGGTGTAAACAAAATAAGAAAGTGGTCTTGTGGTTACAAGTGCCTGAACTGAGCTCTTAAAATGTGTTAAAAAATCAAATCAAAGAAACTCGCTGTTGGCCTGAAGGTAGTTGCTTGCTTCAGACAGTAAACAAGTTTTAAAATACACATGAGCGGAGTACTGCCAAAGTTGCCAAACCTGGAAGGCCACTCAAAGGCCACGAAAAAATGAAAACCCGATTTGGACACGTACGTCTTCAACTGTCCTCATCTGAAATTTGAAATATGAATCTTTCAAAAGAAATGTGTCCGTGCCAATGAATAGAAAAAAATTCATATCTATGTTTAAAATCGAAGAAGTAAGTTAACTTCAAAGCCATTCGGCATTTGCATATTGTGTTGATGTTCCAATCCTTGGTAGTAGGATTAAAGCTTTCAATGCAACCCATAACGTGGTATCATTTGCTCCTTCCACTTTTTTTCACAATTTACAAGTCATTTTTTTAAAGAGTAAGAAATGCCACCTTTAAAAATGGTCTGAAGAATTGAAATTGTACATTGGTGAAGGAAATACAGGAAGTTGACTCTTCTTCGTCGCCGACTTTAACTCTGGTTCCAGAATTATTTGGAGGTTTCTACCACATAAGAAGGCTTCGGACTTTGGCTTCTAATCACAACATGAAATTTCAAATGCCATGCAGAAAAACCGGCGCCACACTGAGAGGCATTCGTAGAATAATGACATTTTCTGAATCCTGGGTCTGTGAAAAGGTCCTCAATGTTCCACTCAAAATAATTCCACATTGGTTCCAGACCAACATGAATCAGTGATGGTCCTCATGAGATGTTCCTTCAAGGAGTAGAAGAGGTTTCACTTATGTATGTCCATGAACTGAACCTCACTGAGAAGCAGGTAACGGCGGGGGAGAGGTCTCGGGGCAGGAGAGAGTACTGTGAAGACTCGACGGTCCATGTCAACATGAGTGCTGATGGTGTCAAGAAAAACCAACAAATACTGTAATTCAACAGTCAAAACTAAATGTTGGTGTTTGCAGTATGTGGCGGACAGTGGAAAACCCCTCGATAATCAGAACAGACAATCCTAGAGTCACCTAGTTGATTTTCTCTCGCGTAAAAACACCAGCCATTTTTCGCCCAATGAAACATTCAAACAAACTGACATGAAAAGGACCAAATCTCAGTGACCACTTTTTCAAATTTACTGTTGTCAATAGAAACTTGTGAGAAGACACATTACAGACACTTACACACAAATGAAGCCAGCCACATTTGTCTTCAGGAGATCATCATCTTTGGTCTTCGCCAGACTGACACTGAGCAGGTGGTGAGACAACTCATTACCTAAAAAAAAAACGGACAAATTCCTTACGTTTAAATTCAAGAAAAAACAAGTCTCCGGAGAGATGATATTCTTGTGATGCTACCACTTTATAAGCATTTTAACATCAACAGCTACAAATCTTTCCTGATAAATTAGTCAATTATGGTTCATTTGGCCAAAAAAATTGGTAAAAGACAAAGGTTCTAATACTTACTCGGTTGGACTGCAACCATCTTAGTCTGGTTATCCTCTGGGGTCATGCCGAGAGGAAGACAAGAATTAGGGACTGCTGGAGCTGAAGAATAAGTGACAAAGTCAATCCAAATCAAAATGAGATTTTTAGACAGATCAAAAATATCCTTGCATCAACTCCAATTTGCTGCTTTATACAGAAAGAGTAAGAAAAAAGTAGAACCCTACCTCCAATTTTGAATATTTCGACATCGGAGAACCTGACCTCAAAAGAGTGTGGATAGAAGCAGTTTTCAAATCCATAGAAGTATTCCCGAACTCTGCTGTCTCGTGCAGCCACACGGAATGCTCTTGTTCTTTCAACAACCTGCGTATGAGATAACATTCGACAGGAAATTATTATCTTTGTTGATAGCATATTGACAGTTATTCTATGGTTATAAACTGAGGATTTGTTGGAACAGATCAAAGGTGCTGGGGATTACACATCTGGCAAAATACAAGCATGGAGAAGAAAATGTGGAAATGGAAGGACATGACATGATGGAGGGAACCAGCTACTGCAACTAAACTGAGTGGCATTCCAACCTAAAGTTCACTTGCTGAATAAAATGAGTCACTCACCCCTCCTGACTTTTGTTGCAGCACCACTTTGACAAATGGAGGCATATCTCGTACTAACTCATTGTATAGTCTTTCTTGATCCAGCACGATAATAACATCAACTACACGAAAAAAATTAGAAAACAGTTGCCACAACTGCAAGGTATGAAGAAAAGTACAAGAGAAAGGGTACAAGGGCAGATGTAATGCATGAAATGTGTAGTTTAAACATAAGTGCTGCACTCATTTCCTAAAGAAACATAACTATTTTAATTTCTGGATGATCACTTGCATGTTGAAGAGGAACTAACCTTCAAATGCTTTTGCTGCGTGTGTAATGCATTTATAGCCATCCCCTTTGATCCAACCGCAGGTGTTGATGATGCAGCCACTGACACTGGCTGCAAGAGAAGAGCAATGAGGTCAAAGGTCATGTAGGTTAAAGTGCAATAAGAACCAAGGTCATCTTAGGTTGTTAGATTAGAAGGGGTACAGAACCAAAGTATGTCAGACGGAAAGATAAGTGAACCAACCAACAGATTTGGGAAGATTTAGGAATGAAAAGAGACATCCACAAAATATCCTGTGGAGGGTTTGCATTAATGACGGTAATATAGGTGTACAGTGACGTTTTAGGCTTTCATTAGTTAACAACACAAAAGCTCCCTCTCTAAAGAAAAACATGCCGATGTTAAATAATTCAAATTCTATATATCTTGAAGTTTGGCGTCCAAAGTCCTGAAATCCAGAAATTTCAAAGTCCCCAAATCCAAAAAATCCTAAGAAATCACCCAGCTGATAGAAACAGTAGCTAACTCCTTGCAAAGTACTCTAAGGATACCTCTCTGATTGGCCACGCATCGTCTGTTGAAGACCTCTGCCATATTCGATACCAGTAAAGTATAAAGCTTGAGATTTGCTCCTGGTGACAATGCTCCAAAATGATACACTAGGGGACCAGCCAATGAGAATCCTTCTTCTACATCTGCTGGCCGCTCAATTAGTAAGGCACCAACGGTTCCTGGAACAGAAATGACGCCCTTACGGAGAAAAATAATGTTAATGGTACTATTGTCTAAGCAAGGCTTTAAGCAACAACTTTCAAATGATTCTTTCCATGTACGCTTGAATATAGCGCCTGCCATGTTTATTCTTGTATATTCAAAATTTTGGATACGATAAGAAATGACAGGATGTACCTGACCGACGTCAATGTCTACAAATGTTGGTCTTCTTCCAACTCGGACTGCGTAGTTGAGTAGTAGGCGGCAAACTGTACTTTTGCCAACATCGGTGGGCCCAACGACCATCACCTGCAATATCATCATGGAAAACAAGAACAGAAACAGTCAGGAAGTAAAACAGAAGCAACTGCAATGCTGCCCCTCCCACCAAAAGGTTACTCTTTTTCACATCCATAACGTTAAGTTACCGTTTTATCCAAAACTACCTGGCACATTGGATACTAAATTGACTACATTATAAGAAGTCTGGAGAGGTAGAATCACAGGCTTTTATGACTAATGGGAACATACCATACAAAGGACTTTTCTTAAAAACTAACTGCTACTGTTGTCTCATTTCTTCTTCCAGAAAAATTTGGAAGAACAAAAAAGTTTTACCTTTGGCCCTCTAGTGCCCTCCTGCTCAGCCTGCTGCCTCATCTGCTCCAAGGCTGCATGGGTGTTGAGGTATGTCGTCATGGGGGTGTCTCTAGAGATGTAGGCTACCTCTGTCTTACCCTTCAGGTGCAGACGGAAGGTCAAGGAAAGACGTTACTGGGATGTTTTAGAATTATCAAAGAATAATGGGTCCGTAGATGAAACATCTGCTTAATACTTTCTGAACTGCTGTTGGCAAGCAACAAACCTTGTAAAAATATATCAAAACCTTAATAAATCCAGAAACAATGATTTCTCTTCCATCTGGGCTCATTTTCCATCCCTTCAATCTTTCATGCCAACTTCCGTAATTTTATTACATTGTTTGCAGAAAAAAGAGTCTGTTTTGGACTAAACTCCATTCCTGTTTCCAGTATTCACATAAGGTACTGGCAAGTTAGGCAGCTTGAGAGGCAAATATTCAGGGAGGTATGCCATTAACAGCAGCTTCCCGACCCATTTAGACCCTACTCACCTGGAATCCATTTTGATCTTATGCCCTAAATCTGTTTTACATATTGCAAACTATCGATTAGGATGGCACCGGACTGTTTTATACTTCCATGCATTCCAAGCCTCCCTTTCAAAAATGTTTAGAATCTGGCAAGGTACAATTCTATGTGTTTATTCATGAATTTGAAATTATTCATCAGAGTAGACAGGTGGACATTGGTCATGAAATTTCATTTTATTGCTTCATTTGTACTCTCAACATTCAAAAATGAAGAGTTAACCTCGTTTTCAAATTCAATATGGCCAGCCCCATGAATAAAGTCTATCAGAGATCATCTGAACATGAGACTTTTGATTCCTGTCTTAGTGACAAAAGGATATATTCAAGGAGCAGCCGTGCCATGTGTAGACGGCCACCTTTGCTAATGAGGTGAATTTGTAGACACGACTCTTCAGCAATTCTGTTCCAAAAACCTCAGCTAGTCCTTCTTTTAACTAAAGAAACATAAAACGAAAGAAAAGTTACAATTTAACACAAAATATTACTGATTCTGTAACAACCTCAAATGAAGAACATTTCATTTGCCACACCTAAGAAAAATTTCAGTAGTTATAACACCATCACTATACTATCAACTTCAGGTTTCTATTGTTTATTTTTAAAAATCTACTTTTGGAGTTAAACAGTGATCAATTAATTAAACCTACCCTTAGTTCCACAAGTTCATCTTTTTCCACTTCAAACCTCAACTCTGAGTCTTTTTCAAGTTTATATTCTTTTTCTCCATGTTGACTCTGGGAAAAAAGCACAACACACATCTGAAATACAAAGGAATGTTGATGTTTGAATTATCAATGTAACACTGCAATATCACACAGCATCCCATCTGCCTCCACCTGACTCCAGGCCAGGTGGTGGCGAGTCATGCATAAACATTGACTTTGTGTCCACTGAACAAACACTACACACCCATACAGTGTCCTGCTCCATTGAAATACCGCAAGGAGTGTGTCAATCATACTGTAAAGTATACATATTCATAGCTTGTGCATTATTCATAAGATGGCATGATTTCCCTTTTTCTCAATTGTAAATGTAAGGATTTGACCTTTCCTCCTGATTTCGAAGACAAATTACAATTGATTTTGTACAAAAAACAACATACATTTTGTTTTAAGCATAAAATGCTAAAAACTACAAAAAGTTTTGAAGGAATACAGGTATAAATCAGATCCTTAATTTTAGCAACTGTGAAGAGATGAATACCAATTTTGAAGTGGTCTCAAAGTTCCATTTATTGCACACCTCCTCAGTAGGAATATCACTGACCTGCAAACTCCACAGGAGTTGCAGTTAGTGCATGATGAGTTGACTTGTATGAATCTAATGATTAATACAGTCTGGGGGCAGGGCCGTCCGAACCCTAAACCCAAACTCTGATCTCTACCCAGCTGAAGAGGTTCCTTGAAGAAACTGAAACCAGGAGATCGGGAATGAGGGACATTGACAGATTGTGGAAGACTAAATGTTCCAAATATGTGACTTGTGGGTTAGTACGCAACAGAACTTGAAGCCATAACTACAGTAATGCAAGCACTGATGATGTCTTACACCAACTGGTTATTTGCTGACATGTGTTGAACTCATTTGCATCAGAATCAATTAATTTGGACGAGAAATAACAAATCAAATGTAATTTGGTACTAAATTTCATTCTGGAATATATGGAAAATGTAGTGGAGCTCCACTGATTCATTATTTTCCGTTAACCTGTGCTTTTAAGACTCTTCTCTGAAAAGCTCAATAAAATTCAAAACTAATTAATTATTCAGTAGTACGTTTTTGGCTGGTTTACGGTCCAGATATGCTTAGCTGTACCAGCCGTGTGTGTCCTCCAGAACCAAAGAGAATAGAAAAAGGAAGATTTGACCAAAACTTGAAAGGAAAATATTGAAAGAAAAAATTAAATGTACCACTCTGACCATAGCATCAACCCACAATCACGCGAACTGCACACATCTCCCTATTTGGCTGACTACGTGACTCACTTCATCACATAGCATTATCACTGATGTCACTCACGTTAACACATTAACTGCCGGTTACTTGTAGTCACAGGTGTACCCAATTCTGCCACTAAGTACGAGTATACTCAGAGGAAATGAAAGGCCATTGTAATGTAAATTGTATACATTGGCATCACCGAAAAACACAAAAAATATGCCGCTGGCAGTATTGAACCATGTCTCGCTCTCACAGTCGCCATCTTTAAAATAAGGTCTTTGAACATTACCTCACTTGACCCCTCATCGTCTCGACGGCTGTTCCATGTCAAGGCATATCTAATACATGGACTGAGCGATAAGATAGGCCTACTACATGTACCAATGGGCTCTTCCAAAACTTGGGCAGCAGTTTAGATATGTCTTGACATGGAACAGCCGCTTGAATGGGTGAAGGCAAAAAGACTGGAAAATACCAGAACAACGTGAGCGAAATCATTTAATAAACGAAGTGGCTATTGTTACGGCAGCCGTAACGCACCTCCCATTTTCTATCATTACGACACTGAATTGCAGAGGTGTGATGACGTAGCTGATCATAACAACGGTTTATATAATTTTAAAATTACCTGTTTATGTTTTATACAATTGTTTTTTTTTTTGTTCGTTTCTAATTATATAGGCCTAAGCAGGAATCTTTTTTCTTTTCTCATTGGAGGCTTTGGAGGATTTTTTGTTAAGGGAAAACAAGTCCGAAATCTGCACTAAGTTGGTGCGCTTGTGCAGTTGCAGTGCCGTAATGATAGAAAATGGGAGATACGTTACGGCTGCCGTAACAATAGCCACAGCGTTCAATAAATGGCGCTAAGAAAGCAGAGAGGCTAAGGATCATTTCTGTGTGCAAAAATATTGTGCCTACGATTATAAGAGGGTGCGCCGAACCTTTTCACCACGCCGACACTCAAATTGTGTATACAGATGTGTAGCTAAGCATGGATTCCTCCATGGGCTAAGGATGGAGCGGGAGTGAGAGTCTGTGCCACAGGCTATCGTCAGTGCTGGCATTTAACATTTATAAATTAATGCGAAAGGGTCATTATTACTCTTACATCATCTTGTGAACCTCCGGGCTCTGAACCACTTGCTTCAGCAGCGGTAGCCATTTCAAATTTGCTTCAGCAATTTCCGTCTATTTCTAACGAGATCCCTAGACCAGACGCAGAAACTTTCGTGTGCACGGTGCTCAAGCAATCGAATGCAGGCACCCGGATCCCTCACCATGTGCCGTTGCGACTGCCACCGATGTTCGTTGCTTTATCACCAAACACTCATACTAAAACTATCACCAGTTTTCAGTATCTATGAATCGGTGTTCAGCAATGACTCAAATACTGAAATCACCGCAGATATTCTGAAATGTCTTGGTTTGGGCATGTTTTGGATACTTAATTCCGAAGGAAAATAAGGACGCACACACAAATTACGAGTACGCTGTACATGTACACATGTACATGTACAGTACGAGGACTGTACTGTACATACGTTGCGCGCGCGTCTGCTGAACTCGCACCAGACTAAATGCTGTCCCAATTGCGAATGGGGCATTATTCAAAGATAATTCAAATTCAAAAACGACATTTATTTCCATACTTTTATTAACGTACGAATAAAAGAAAACAGCTAAAATAAATACGAACCATAAATACAATGAAATAAAATAAGAGAAAATAGAGAAAACTTTAACAGATAGTATGGGGCTGTTCATATAATCAGTCCATGGAGCTGTAAAAAAAGGATAGCTCCATGATCAGACAATAGGGGAAGGCGTCATACTGAAAAATTCTCCATCAGTTCCCTCCATGCCAATATTTTGTTCATAATTTTCAAAATGATGCACAGGGAGCCGTCATAGGAGATAAGAACAAACTACTTCTACCATGAAATAATGCTGGATTGCATTTCTTATTATTTTTGTCGACCAAAAGTTTCTGAAGCAAACTTGTGGATAAAAAGGCCTAAATCTATTTTCATGGAATGGATATTGGGAGCATGCATTAAATATGTTTTTTTTAATTATGCTTGTTTATTCGTTTATTCCATGTTTTACTGACGTGTTTTTAATACCATTTTTACACTCAATTTGGAAATATAAAATTGATAAATTACTATGTAATAACTTATAAATTTCCCCCAAATATATTTTTTCCAACATCAGAAAAACGAAGAACAAGAACATCCAGAAAATACACTTTAATTTAACGAAGAGTCTGTTTTCTTTTCCTCTTTAAAGTCTAAATCCATGATACGGCACAATTCGTAAAGTGGATGTTGAATTTTTGGGGGGCCACTATATTTTTCTTCTCAGGGAATGAATATGTCAGATTAAAGGAGGGACCAAGTAAAGTCGAACTTTCTTCGGGATTTTCTCTTTGTCAGTCCTAAAATTTCTTAAAGAAAATAATGGAAGTAGATTGAAATTAACTGATTTGTATGAGCTTTTAGTTCTGGGGATTTACTCCGGAAACATGATTTTTAAGTTCCCAAATAAAGCAATCAAGAAGCCGCTTCCCTGCACAGGAATGGTATTGCCTGAGTTACAAATGCAATGGCACGTCGAGAAATTTCGGTGCCGAATTTCCCCGGCAACTGGCTATAAAAACTGCCGTTTCGCAACTTCTGTAGATGACGGAAGTAAATAAGTTTCTAATTAAACAAGTTGTACAAGTTTCGCCGTAAGTTTGTTGCACCTAAACAGGTAAGAAATGCTGACAGTCTGTAAAAATAGTGAGAGTTTAAACGGGGTTTACATGTCGTATTTTTATTTATTTGTTGAGGCACAGCACAAAAGCCCAAGGCACCGACACGGTATGCCGTCGCATTCTTGGCAATCCTTTTGCCGTTTCTCCGGTCGCAAACAGTGTGCGATCTGGGTTCAATATCTAGCTTACCATCTGTGCTGTACAATCAAAGTGGAATAAAACACTTGCATGTAAATGGGATTAACGAAACAGTTGATGTTTTTCAAGGTTATGCCGTCTGCAGTTTGCAGAAATGTAAAAAATGTACCCGAGTGTTCACTGTAGGCCCATGGAGTTGGCGCGTCAATCGGAAGGAAAAGTGTACGTGTGTGACGTGCTTGCTGTAGGCCTACAATGTATAGATTCAGTCAACCGTCGTCGATCGTCTATACATCATGGCATGCATTCTAAACTAGGCCTATAGTATGTTGTAATTGTTACGTTTTTTTCAAATTACTGAAAGAAACTCATATTGTGTTCTGCTTTCTGTTTCTGTTTTAATGCATGGCGATTAGCTTCCAATATTCATGTATATACATGTATCTAAGTCACATCATCTCAAGGTAGTGTCTTCCTGAGGCATTCTTCACAAACAAAGCAACATTGTGACACTAACAAGGGGATATTTATATTGTCACAGAGGTATAGAGACTGTGAGTTGAACTGTGAAGGTTGAGAAAACGTTAGATGGGTCTTGTGGCAGTTAATTTCAGAATTCCATTTCTACAGCGTGGTGTGTGTACGTGCATTTTGAGTCGTCAGACAATGCGCTCACATCACTTCAGTTTTTACTGCGTGAAGTCAGACATCATTTTTTTGAATGGAATTTGGGGAAAAGTAAAGTCAGTCTTACGCTCATTTATCACAGAATTTATTGTTTGTTGTATTCAACTATTTTGAAATGAGTCAAACTTGTGCATGAGCTTTAGAATGTAATTTGTAAACATTCAAGTCAAACAGATGTGATTTGACAAGGTTTTGAAGAATCTGTCCAAATTAAGAAAAGCAGGATTTTAAATGCATATGAATAACTTGAAGCTATAGCATACATGTAGCTTTCTGTTCAAAAGAAGATTAGATTATTGTTTAAAAGTACCGATGAAAATTAGCAGGCAAGTACAACATCATACTCGCACATCCATGTACAGGTGAAGTCACCTGATACCTTTCAGATTTCATATTTGGCTACTTTCACCAATTTCCTTGAATGCATTAATGCTATAGTAGTACAGTTGCAGTATTTTTAGAATAGATGGAATATTTGTTTTGCTTTAACTCTTTGAGGTCCATAAAGTTTCAGTGCCTGGAGGTTGGATTTTTGCAGATTCAGTGCATGAGCTGTACATGTATTTGTGTGTCTGATGCCCTAATTTGGTTGCAGCCAGTGGAAAAATTTGTTAGTGCATTAGTTCACAGCGTTGGATCAAAATAGTGCCTGTAAATATTCTTGCGCCTGTACCATAGACCTGTACAGTGTACGTCATTACCAGAGCATTAAATTGCTTTGCAAAATGAAGCCTGCTGGGTGCATCTATGTTTGTGCACAGACCTATGGATATCCTGAAACCTTGTATGGGTTTTGTTTATGTACATCTTTGTATTGTAAAAGTTGCATTTTGCGATTTGTATGCATAAAATGTAAGCCTATATACACTGCAGGTACTAAATTACATGTGAATGACAGAAAAATGGGTTGTATTGTATTTGTCAATGTTTGACTGGTGTGCTGCATTTACAGTACATAATTTATTATTTGTTCCATCTTATTTTATGATCTTCTGCAAGAACTCGGTGTGCCAGATTTTATTGGAATGTTGCTCGCAAATGGCTTATTCCAAATGTCTGTGCCACAGAGATGTCAATAATTCTGTGCATGGAGAAGAATGAATTACATGTATCACTTTGAGTAATTTAATATACATTGTACATGTACTCTGGTCTCCCAAAGTCTAATGATTTGATTTCCTTCTCACAGGTGACTACAGGCTTTCCAATAAGTACATCTAAATATTGAGCCATCAGCAGACAGATTAGGTGTCATCATGGTCGAATACTACAACGTACTCGGCGTCTCCAGAAACGCATCGCTTGAGGATATCAAAAAAGCGTAAGTAATCACACAAAGTTGGGTAGCACATGTACAAAAAAACTGAACTACATTAACCTTAACCCCCTAGGGTGTATGGAAAATCGTATTGAAATTGGAGGATTTGGGACTGTTAGGGTTAAAGATGTCATGGAGGACAGGACATGTAAATGTCTGGATATTGAATACTGTACTAATTGCACCTTGTACCTTGTAGATAAATACCTAACATTCCTTATTGGATAGAAATAGAAGATTGATGAGGGTGGTACCAGTATATTGCATGATGGGACTGCTTAACTCCATTGATTAATGCTTGGAAATTTAACATAAATGAATGAATGGGGCGATGTACATGTATTTTGGAGAATTTTTTTGTTGGTGAGGAGATGTTTTGTGAGAAACGCTGTTTTTTTTTATCAAACTTGTCAAAAACGTGTGAACTTTTTCCCCATTTTGGAGAGTAGAACAACTAAATTGTGTTTTAATAATTGTGCTTACATTGTGTACATTTTGAGAAAGGCAAAATGGTAGTCATTTTTATTTTGCTACTCTTCTAGAAAGTTTGAAAGTGAAATGGATGAAGAAATATTTTAAGAGCAAAATTTCTCTACAGAATGTTGTAATATCCTAGGAAGGACAGTTGATTACAATCACAACAAATCAGCCAACTTTCTGTAAATATTTAACCATCATGGATGCTTTTTCTGCTCTAGCAAATGCTCCCGTGCACTAGATCACATTGAGATCATCTGCAAATTCCATAAATTGCACAATTTGTGCACGGCGTATAAATGTACACGAGCTATTGAATTAACATGTACATATAGAGCATATGTCTGCCCTGTGTATACGTTGTACATAGTTGAGCTGGGCTTCCACCACAGACATGACAGAGTGAATATTTTCACATGCAGCATACTGAACCTTTTTGAAATACCTTGGCTATGATGTATAGTTAGTGAAACAGCTTATTTATATCGAATTGGGAATTTATCATTGGAACAGAAGCATTGGTCAAAATGTCATGTTCTGGGATCATGCGATAAGTGCACCGTGTGTTTCTTAAATGCGTGTACATTTACGGTCAGTAATACAGATGGCTGTGAACATGTAATCTTGAGTATTTTTATTTAAAGTAGTCACATTGTTTGCAGTTTCTTTATTTGTAAATAATGTCAATATACTGGCTACAGAATTTAAGGAAGTCATATTTTAATTTAAAATGGCAGCATTTTTCCAACATTGTACATGTATTTTCTCATCAAATTAATTAAGTTCATCAAGTTGGCCCCCATTGTGGCTCTGGGCTTTGAGAACCCTTTCGCCAATCCCTTGACATTTTTGTGATGAATAGTTCAAAGAAACTGTTGTGTAACACAATATGCAAATTCAGTGACCCCTGTCAAACATCAAAGCCTGCATAAAGTTCACTTCATAATCTTCCACAATCCTTTCAGACTTTCCTGTGAATTTTGAAAGACTTTGGAAGGTCAGTTGTCAAAGGTCATCCGAACTATCGTACATTTTCAGTAGAAAAACTACATGTACATGTATGTTCATGGATCCATCTCTGCGACAGGAAAGCCGGATGCTTGAAATTATGAATGTGAGGTACAATCCATCTTGTGTTTTGTCAGGCTGCTGTTTTACTCAAGTAGGTCAGGGTCATACGTGTATTTACTCAGTTTGTGACTCAGAATTGTAAAGCTGTTTCATCATTTTTCATGAATTTAGACATTTCACCAGACATTTTTAATTCCCCAGGTATTTTTTGGCCCGACCTTTCCTGTGCCAGAATTGGGCACTGTTGTGTGAACAAGTTTTGTAAACAGTGTACATGTACTGCACCAATACTGACCAAAAAATATGATGTTTTCATAGTTTCAATTAATCCATGCTAAACCTTGAGCATGTGAAAAATGATATTGAAATTCAGGACTGTTTAACCACCTTGAATTCAGGACTGTTTAACCACCTTGAATTCAGGACTGTTTAACCACCTTGAATTCAGGACTGTTTAACCACCTTGAAGTTGAAAAGTGCTGGAGGATATCATTAACCCTAACAGTCCTCAGTCCTCCAACAGGTGAAGGATTGAGGAGTGTTGGGGTTAATGTGATTTAAATTGCTGAGTATTTACACACAAAGTAATATAAGGGGTTCTGCCCAAACTTTTGTGGTGTGTCCACCTTTAGATATCGGAAGAAAGCGTTGAAATGGCATCCGGACAAAAATCCAAATAACCAAAAAGAAGCTGAGAGGCGGTTTAAGGAGATAGCTGAGGCCTACGAGGTGCTCTCAGACAGTAAGTCACACTTTGGTTTTCCTTAATCAGGCATGCTACTTTTCCTTGGATCAGCTGATGTCCTTGTTTTTCACTTCACATTCATGCCATGGAGAATTGAAAACTACTGGACAAAGTCTTGTAAAGATTGGAATTTCCTTGTTATTTGTCAAAGCTGAAGCTGCATGCCTGTTAAAATCTCAGCCCGAGTCCAAAGTATGAAATGTGTAAAAAAAAATTCTGATTACGTGTACGATCGAATGATACTATTATATTAACTCTGTGCCTTTGTTTTGTCAGAATTGGCACAATAATACAGCAACTCCTAGGCATTTGTATGGTTCTGTTCTACACTGTGTGGATTACGAGGTTTCCTGATTGGATTTGTTTTCTTTCCAGAGAGCAAGAGGGATACTTATGACAGATATGGCATTGAGGGTCTTAAGCGAGGAGGTACGCCATTCCACCGTAAGAATTTTCTGACTTAGGCTTTTAATCAATAAAAACTTGGTCCTGGTTGGGTAAAGGGAAGGATTGTAATTTATAGCCAACTCTTAGAAGATATTGTAAAACAAAACAAAAAACCCCACGGAAATGCTGTTTTTTCTGTTGGAAGTATTGATTGAATGAGTCAGTGTGTAATTACAGTATCATTTATAGTTGTATTTCTTGTATTGAAATCAAATATTCCTCAAAAGTGCCCTAGACACTGAAGCTCGTAAGCCTGAAGGAACCTGTAGATAGGCAATGAGAAGCAGTCACAGTTTTAGAGGGGGGGGAACCACAGAAGCATTTTCTGGTTAAAATCCAAGGAATCAGGTAGGGACCGAAACCCAAAGGCGAAGAAAGAAGCATTACGCCAACCTTACCTGATCCCCTGTAGTACACATGCTTCAAATAAAGCGCATCCTGGGCCATTTGAGTATGTACACACAAGGCCCTGTTAGTGCCATTGCATGCTCACATGCACTGAACGTGTTTGATGAGCTGGCTTGACATCCGGTCCTTTGTTCACGATTGACGTGAACAAACTTAGCCATTGTTAGAATCATCTAAATTGGAATGAAGAATGTTTTTCATGCTGTCCTGAAAAATATAGGTACAGTATTCCAGTGTGAGAATATTCATATGTGCTACTGCGAAATGGGCATAGCTTCTTCCATCAAATAATTGCCAGAAACAAGGGCTCATACTCAAATAGGACAATGCCATGTTCCAAGAGACGTATCTCAATAAGAACAGCAGCATTTCAAGCTGAGAGCCATTTCCTTGAAGACAACTCCAAGGAGGTGCCATTCCTGCAGGGCCATCAAACTCACCGTTCTTAACTTGAGCATGGGTGTCACTTTAGCAAGTCACCCCGCTGTTCAGAGAGGAAGGTAACGCCCATGCACCACCAGTCACCTGCGTGCACATAGGACGGTCCTGCAGTAATGGCTCCTAATTCTGGTTGCCGGATTTATTTATTTTTCCCAGCTCGGTGTTAGTAATTCAACAGTGACCAATTTTGGGCAGTGTTTTATTAACTGTGTAATATTTATGTTTGTATAGGACCCGCAGCGAGTGATTTTGGCTTCCACGACTTTGGCAACTTTGGCGGCAACTTCCACTTCACATTCAGAAGTCCAGAAGATATCTTCAAAGAATTCTTTGGAACCAGTGATCCCTTTGCTGCTTTCTTTGAAGGTAGAATATTTTTTGATGAAGTTTCTTGAGTTGAGGAAGGAGTGGATTTCCTTCAGGATTGCTGTTGTGTTGATTATCCATTAACTTCTCATATGCAGATTTATTTAAAGTTTGTCGTCGTTTTTACAGATTCGAGGATGGGTTCATCACAGAGGGGGCACGGTAACCTGTTCCAGGATTCATTTGGGAGGTCCGGGTTCCCAGGTCACGGGTAAGTCTCATCACATATTTTACCAGATCATTGTGGGTGATTTTTCTCAAGCCTTCTTGACCATTCTAGCACACCAGCTTAACTAGATTTCATGACGTCATTCTGAAAGCATTCTGTTAGCAGTTCATATTTTTTGGTTACCATTAACAGGAGGTACATGTAAGGAAAGCTAACAAAATTGTTGAACACACCTTACACCAGGTTTCCTGTCAAACACCCGTAATGATTGATGTGTATTGCATTTGAATGGTTTTCAACTGATTTCTAATTGTGTATAAAATCTGTTCAGCAATTTTCCATGTCACACTCCCGTACGCACCGTCGATATATCGAAATTATCGATATGGGTTTGATATCAATATATTGCCGATGTTAGTCACTTGGTAAAATTGATATATATCGAAAATAGCAGATTTGGGAAAAAAGTCAAAAATATTGAAACTTTGAAAACATCAATGTTGAGAAATATATTGAAAATATCGCTACTGAGGAACAAACTTTATTGAAAAATATGAAAGTGCATTGAAAAATTACCGTAATTTTTGATAAGCCACGGCTTACGTTGGTTCTCACGCTGAGTGAAAAATGTCCCTGTAGCTTATTCTCCGGGTGGTTTATACGGCGACATTTGAAGAATAAATTCAGTCACCTATCTCAGTCTCGCACTCGATAATTCGCGTAAACTTTAATGAAAATATCACAAAATTGGATCGCACCATTATGGTGTAGGGGTGTACCCTTAGAACACTTTACTAGCAATTCACGCTTGTTAGAATACCTTGAAAAATAAAATGAATATAATTCAATATATCGATAATGTTGATATAAAAATTCGATGTACAGGTATCGGCCATAATACGATATCGACTGTGCCTACACTCCCATGACTTCCATCAGGCTTCATTTCTTATTTTAACCATTCCTAAACTGCTACTAGATCCTTGGTTTGTGCAAATTTGCTGAAAAACTTTATTGAAGCATACTGATCATAATTCTACACCAGTTTTTTATTAACCTATACTGAACACTGCTCATTATACTCAACTGTTCTGCAGTTGTTGCCAACTGAAACCGTGTGCCAGCTTTGTTCACGGGTAAATTCTCACAGGGAGTGGAATATACAGCTCGGTCTGAGACGGAGCATTTTGACTCGTTTCTTCATCTGTTTCCCTTCCATCCTATCTCTCACAATCCCCCTTCAGTCCTCTTACTACCACCAGTATCTTCACTCCCTTCGGAGATCCTTGGAGTTTTTTCCAACCTCGTGGGTAAGAAAAGAGAAAAATAGTGCTCACAGAATCCTGTGATCTCCTTGTGCTAAAGCGTTGTGCTCATGAATAGACATGAGTGTTTTAAGCCTGTTTTGGCTCTGAGCAACATCCATTGGTAGCACTGTGCTGCGTAATCTTGGAAAGCTGGCGAGGGCGCTTGATGTGTGTATTAACTCTTAAAAGTCAGGCCTGCTCACAAGCAGGGGCAAACAAAAATCAGTTTCTGATTTTGTTCATCACATTTCTGGAGACACAGCTTTCTGCCTAGAGAGAATGCATCCATTCTGTGTGCTGCTTCATGATTGTGTAGGAGAGCATTGGGTCAAGAGTTAGCTTGGCTCACAGCAGGAAGATGACGTCATCAGAGTACACGTGCACCTGTAGTAGTCCAACCTTCAAAGATCAAGAGAGCCCTCTGTTGGTTCTTTTGTTTATTATGGTCTTCTGCAACTTGCATTTAGATGTTCATTTTCCCAAAAAGCTATTGCCTTGCTGTTGTCATGAGGGGCAAACAGTGAAGACCATTACCAGATGAACCCAAACGTACAACTTGGATACAAAGATCACAATTTTATTTGTGGAATTTGATGTCAACGGAGGACTCAAATTTAATGCACATTAAGAACAGGGTTCCTGCAGCCTGAAAAAGTCATGGCAAGTCATGGAAATTTATTTTCCAGGCCTGGAAAAGTCATGGAATTTTTTAAAATGACTAAAGTCATGGAAAAGTCATAAAACACTGATTTCTATCATCAGAAATAAGCGCATAAATCTGTCATTGTATTTGCAACCTAAAAGGCCGAATAGTCCAAGAAATTGGGTTATTTGGTTGTGGATTTTCATAATTTGGTCATGGAAAAGTCTTGGAAAAGTCATGGAAAAGTCATGGAATTGAATTGTCCTTTAGGTGCAGGAACCCTGAAGAAGGAACATGTATGCATTAGAGACAGCTGTACACTAAGCATGTAGTGTTTCATTCTCATGTGCTAACATACTGTACTGCCTGTGATACTAATGCACTTACAAAGAACTAATAACATTTCACATGTAATACACCTCTTGTTGTCTGAATGTAAGTTAGATAGTAGACACATTTCAGTAGAAAAGAATAAGTTTGCCTTCTGTGTAAATTCGGTTTAAAAGACCATGAAGTTGACTACCAACTAATTTTCAAAAAGATTGCTGAGTCTATTTGGTTAGCCCTTGTTAAATGACCAATGCTGTTGAACATGTTCTTGTAGTGCCAGAGATGCAAATTAACCAAAACTTGATTTATTGCAGAGTCATCTTGATGTACCATTAGCCACCACCCCACCCCCCTTACAAAAAAACACCCCCTTAAAAAAACCAGGTTCCACATGTAGTTTTTTATTTAGTTGATTGTAGCCCAAATGTGACAACTAATAGTTTCAATTTGCCTGTTGCCCCCTCCGTTTGAAACCTGGCTCCTCCCCCCTTGTTGATGTACCTTGTTCTCCGTGATCTGTCGTCAATGCTTGGATTTTGTCGTCAATGCATGGATTTTGTCGTCAATGCATGGATTTTGTCGTCAATGCTTGGATTTTGTCATCAATGCTTGGATTTTGACATGTCTGCCTGCATGATGGCTGTCTGTGCAGTGCTCATAGTTCATTCTTCTCTTCGAGTTTCGACAACGGTTTTGGTGATTTTGGGCCAGGGTAAGTACACCACTAAAAGGCCTTTTGTTTTTTGAGACAAGAAGATTCAAGTCAATTATTGAGTGTAAAGTCACCTTGTACAATTTCTGGCAAAACCCAAAATTGTAAAACAATGACAGAGGGACTGTTCCATCCCATCCTTTAACTGATGCAAACTGCTCGATTTTATCTACAGGTTCACATCATTTTCGTCGTCATCTTCATTTGGCAGCAGTCCAGGAAATATGCGGAGTGTGTCGACATCAACAAAAATGATTAACGGAAAAAAGATCAAAACGACAAAGTAAGTTGATCTGGTAGTTCACTCCATTCCTCTCAAAGCTTAGCTTGCCTTGTTTTGAGATGATGAAAGCATAGTTTTGCAGATAATGACTTCTAGCCATCTTTTTTGTGGTAGAATTATCGAAAATGGGCAAGAGACAGTCATCAATGAAGAGGATGGAAAGATCACATCAAAGACAATCAACGGTGAACTTCAGCCAATGTTAGCCAACTAAAGCAGCCCCCTTGGTTTTGTCCAATGCTTTGTCACTGGAATCGAAGCTTACATGCTACCTTTGAACTAGCTACTTTCTGGATCGATTGTGATCTGTTGAAAGTTGTCTTTTACAGAGTCAAGTATACAATCTGCACTGTGTGCACGGTTCGGCGGATTTTGAATGTTACTGGAGTGAACAGTCTCGTGGTCAACCAGTGATCCTGCCTTTGAAGAAGTCCAGCCCTTCATCCGCTTGTCCTATTTCATATTCTTTGTCTCATTAGATTTTCAAAGGGCAGTGATTTGTGGGTCATAAACCCTGTAGAATTTTGAAGCAATAGCTTGACAACTTCAGCTACACCGTCGCATTGAGTTCTACATTTAATAGGAATGGTCTAATCGAACATTCATCATCCCTGAAAGACTGGAAGTCTTGCGTTATAGCCGTTTGAACACTGAACCTGCATTTAACACTTTTTCTACCAGTTTTTATATAGAGTTCTCCGAGAGCAAACTAAAGGTTTCAAGTCGTGTACAGAGTATTCGTGCCTGTTTTTGTAACCAGTGGACAGCAACAAATTTGTACGTATTGGCTGACCGTACTTTGCTCCTGAAAGGCGGAAGTTACCGGAAAAGGATGGGAATAGCAAAAATATTAACTTGTCTGTAAGAAATTTAAGTGGACGTTAAGAAATGCACAGGCGCATGAGAATAAACGAGTAGGTTTTAGGGGTTTTATTTTCAAGTGAAGTCAAACTGAAGTTCAGTTGAGGGATTATGACAATTATCCTCTCGAATGTTATTTTCTTTCGTGTTTATTTCTTCTGATGTTCAGCCTTTAGTAGAAAAAGATCAATTGTATAAATTATTTGAAATCATTTCAGACTAAGTTTGTGACTTCGTATACTAATTTGCATGCTCCTAAACAGTTTGAATCAACAAGGAACAAAAGATGTAGGACATTTTCTCGAAATGTTCATCTCAGTTTTACACTGATGTAAACACATGAGGCTTTGTCATGTACTGCCATGTATTACATTGTATATAAACCCTTTATGACCATTGTGTGGTTTCTTGAGATAAAATACCACCCCCATGTTTTGCCAGCACACAAGAGGCAACCGAACCTTAAAACATTACCTTTATTTATTTGAGCGTGAAATTTCAGTTGTATGAATAACCGATGAAGTTACAATGAGGCATATAGTTGGACTCAAGAGATCGATCATCGGTAATGATTTTATGTTGGCCTTCAGTTCATTTCTGTCAGTCTCCGATTAGTTTATAAATCATCATTGAACTCGAGTAATGAACGTGTGCAAGCTACGTGACTTCGTGCTTTTCCCAAAATGATGTTGCCCCGTTGACATCAAATAGGATAATAATACACACTTTTGCATCATTTAGTTTGTGGAATGAATCTAGACTGGAAAGATGATCAATTTCATGTCCTCATTGTTGTCGTATTGACAAGGAACAGTTTGAATAGATTATTGAAACTAATTTGCTGTATTTATGACGCTCTGGCCTAGATCGCATATGTTGTTTGAACATTTTAAAGATTACCTTTATTTATTTATGTAAATATTTTTTCCTGCACTTCTTATAATAGAGTTGAGCGTGCGTAATATGCAGGTTCGCTTACTCGTGTGCGGATAAAGAAACAATAAAACGCGACTAAATGATGTATTTCAGTTCCCAGTTGTTTTGTATTTTTGAACTACAAATTAATTTCGGAGGAGAACTATATATCGAGAATATAAAGGTTGGAATGAACTTCTTTTCCTATTCTGTTTGCCTCTTGAATAAACCATCCTAAATCTCGTTCCGGCGTACCAATATAAATTGTAATGAGATACATTTACATAAATATAAAAGTTACCTTCTCATCACGTGAAGCGCGAACGTGAACTAACTTTGATAATAATGTGTTAGCAGAAAAGACAATGCACACCAAGGTTTGTGGTTTTTCACTTCACTATGTGAGAAGAAATACCAAGAGGGTTATTGGAGCTATATTAAGACATTTATCTGCCTACTGCACCGAAGGGGACCCGATAACTACGAATTAAGATTAAATTAATCCCTCGCTCAAACAGTCTCTGAGCTCCTCAGAGGCAAAGTACATAATTGTGATTTGTTTTTTGCAAGTCCGCTTCATCCAGTGCAACAAAGGATTTTATAGTTAGCTGCAAGGAATGATAGAGTTGAAACAGCAATTGGAAGTTGTTCGCTGCTGCGTCGAAACGTTGAGCGGGCTTGATGTACTGTTCGTGGACCCGAATGTTCTGTAGTTATCCATGTGTCTGAAGTTTGAAACTGGATTGTGACTGGAAATAGTACTTAATGCAATACTTATACCTTGTAAATCATATGGCTGTAGCACACTAAGAATTTACCAAATGCAAACTAGTTGCGCCGAACGCAGCCGCCATTTTGATCCCGTTTCAAAGATTAACGCTATCCCATAAGCTGCATCTGGTTTGCTTTTTCAAGGGAACGAGGATCCAGTCTTTGCCGTCTTGAACATCGAAGCTTTTGATTTGACCGGCTTTAGGAAATGCTAATGAGTTTTACCGACTGATTCTTGTTCTTTAATGACGGTTGCAGTTGTCCAGACTGACTTTGAATATCAGGCCCTTTGAACGTGGATTTGTATGGAAGATTCGTGTGAATTTTAAACTTATTTTGAAATTTGGTAAAAAAGGTGATCACCTTTGAAGACTCTGTGTCACTTTGTTCCGGCGAAGATGTCTAGATTCATTCAAATAACGTTCCTTTATGGACTGCTTGCTTGTAACTCGGTACTGTCGCTCGCCATCCTCAATACAACCATCGCTTCACCAACAAGTTTTGAATCAACACTACCAGCCGATAACTCGACTAACAGCCTCGTTCCTGCCATCGATCAAATGATGAGCGATCTCGAGGACATCTTAAGCGGCTTGAATATCACCATCCCGCTGCCCTTGAATGTGAGTGGGGAGTGCGATCTGCCGACTATTGCACCACCTGAGGAAATAGAGAGAGTGCGCTCTGAGAATGAGGGCTTGCCCATCGAATGTAGAAAGGGTAAGTGCTCCACTCTTCCCTTTTGTATTTTTCATTGCTCTGGAATAAGTATTCAGGGGATGACATAATGGTCAATGGTGTCAGCGGTGGGATACAGATGCTGTAGCGGCAATTTACGCACTGGAGGGGGAAGATTACGTTGTCGTAATTGGTTCATTTAGTATTTCAGGACGAAGGGGGAAAATGATTTCAAACCTCTTAAATAAGTTCAGTTCTCCAAATCACCTGAGTTGACCTTAATATTTTTCAACCAAGAGAAGTTAAATCTCAAGTCAGGGGAAGGGGTCTTGCGCTGTGTTTGTTCAATGAAGGTTAGCATGATTATCTCGTTTGAGGACAAGATGCTACGCCTCAGACGCAGTAGCCACGAGTTCTAGTTTTATTTTTTCATGCCAACCTATTATTTTCCAATACCGGCAAGGAAGAAATGGGGTGCAAACAAAGATTTCAACCTACTTTGCTTAAAATAGTAGTGTACATACACATGTAGTAAACCTTAAATTAGTCATTATTTTGCTGACACAGAAATAGCAAGTAATGTATAAGTTGAGTAATATGGCCATGCATCTACGAGAGTAATACGAGTACATTATTTTAAGTCCTGCATGTACTATTGTTTTACATCAAAGCTGCATTAGACTGCCCTACTTTTTATCATCACTACAAAAACAGGCCTACAATCGTTCATTATTATCTAAACACTGGATTTAACCAAAACATTTCTCATTTATCTTTACCAAAATGCGTTTTATTACATGGTACATCTTGATTTATGTCGTATTGTATCTCGGTCAATCGTAAGTCGGTGCATGTCCATAAAAAACAATCCAGTATACGTCGCAAGTCGAGTCATAAATTATTCAGATGAACTTGGACAAAAGTATTCTGATTACACAGTTCACCGTATCAGGCCCATTTGTGTGACTAGTCTTAAGAACAAAGTGTAATGCAAGTTTATTTAGATTACAATTTACAAAATACATGAATTCTTCAAACTGCGGTTCATGCGAATTGAAATGCCAACACATTAATTGCGGTTTATCAACAAGTAACGCTTACGAATAGCAAAGATCATACGGTTAATACAACTATGCACACAAAAGTTTTCAAAATTCAATGGCAGATCTAACTGTTAATAATGATGTGGCCCACCATTTTACAACCAGATTGAAAATTTATTACCTGTTAAATGGAAAGTACTTGGTCTAATGCACACATACAAACCATACCTTCTACAACTTTCATTGCCCGTTAATACCAAAGCTTTCTGCCAGGAAAATATCGTTTAGTTTGGATCACTTGATATAAAAATTAACATGGGGAGAGGAATCGTCCAAACACCAAAATGACCTGCTTCAGCCTGGTTTTGGAATGGTATGCTTACGAAAATAAAAGATCATTCAGGTAAATTGACATCAGTGCATGTGCTTTTCCTGTCCCCTTCGTGTTACACGCCTCGTCTTCATGCACACTTGAAAATTATTTTGATTCACTTTAACCCAGGAAGTGTGAAAACTGCATCTACCCATAAATAGGTTGAAATAATAAATTTATGATTTATATGTCACTTACAAAATGGATCCAATTGTTAACGATAGTTGTGTTATTTATTAGTCCATACGCCCTCTACCCATACTCTGCCAACTTGTATCGGTCATTCCCAATCGTGGTATGCTTACATACTTCTGAGCCTCGTTGCCAGTCTTGCACGTGAGTGACTTGTCGACAATGGATTTTCGTCGATGAACTTTTTTAGGCTCTCTTCTGTTTGACCAATTGCATTATGAACTGCTCGTTTGCATTTGTAGTAAGCTTCGTCAATGCTGCTATGGAAGTGTGTGGAAGGCCTATGATTAAAATCGGTGCATTTATTGCAGATAAGAACATCGCATGACTTGCAGAACAGGCAGAGTTCATGATCCGGGTGTTCCTTACACTTGGGTACACGATCTTCAAGCTTACCGTCAGGCCCTAACTCTGCCAAAGTCGCAACTTTGTCATTCTGTAAAGATGCGAGTCTGTTATGTGCTTTTTCACATTCCTGACAAAGATAATGCTCACAATCCATACATCGAGAAATGGCCTCATTCTCCTCATCACAGGCCTGGCAAATAATCTTCTGATTAAAACTCTGATCTTCATCTTGGGTTTCCGTTGTAGTCACAACCTTTTGGGAGCAAGGTAGTCTGTCAACCCCTCCTCCGGGCAGAAGGGTTTCTTCTCGACACAAAGGGCAAGCAATGTTTTCACCGTACTCACCTTGTGCCTGTTTGAGTTCTTGGAGACATTTCAGGCAGAAGTTGTGAGAGCAGTTCAGTTGCCGAGGGTCTTTAAATCCAGAGAGGCAGATGGAGCATTCATTGATTTTCTTCGGATCCTCCTCCAGCATGTCCAGTGGTGTCTCCGATACTCCACCCTCTGCCATTGTGTAATCAGGTGGTGTGTTCCGTCAGGGCAAATAGGGAGGAACACTGGCATAGAAAGTGAAAGTAAAATTAAGCTGAAATAATTGAATAAAATGGCTTACAGTGGTAACACCCATGCCTTGGTCATTGCATTGATTCAGTTACATAAGTTAACCTGGATTGTCGTATGATATAGCCTATTTTGATTCAGATTCGGAACGAAAATACGAAAATCCCCGAATTAATTGCACTCACCCAAGGCAGACGGCTGAAAATATTTCTCTAAGGACTAAAACTCTAGGTGAAACTACAGCTATCTGTTACGACATGCTCGAATTCCTGATCACCTCGTTGACAAAAAAGATTGTGACACACACCGCGGATGTGGTCACGCCAGCGTATACAGTGCAATATCACAATACATGCAAAATACATGAACATACTTCATGCATTATATAGAGAAAGATGGCGGAAATTCCATGAAAGGTAACTTTGACCTGTGTACACGTGATCATGGCCCGGCATGATATATTATCTTGAAATATGAGTGACGTATAAGTTGGCAATTAGACTGGAATCTCGTCCTGTAAACCCTTCAAACACAGTTTTATTGTTTTTAGCTGTTACTGATCTTAAATGCGTCTTTTTTTTGCAGATATTTGTTTCCAGTCCACCTCAACTGATCTCAAGGGTAATTTTACCTGGGGAGATACTGTAGCTGGTGACTATGCTTTCTCGTACTGTCCAAACGGCCTCCGTAGACCCTACAACACCAGCGGTGATCGTCCGCTAGCTTTCCGGGCTTGCAACCCGCCAGCAACTTGCTGGCATTTCTTACCGAAGCCGCGTTTTCCCTGCAGTGAGCATTCGTACTGGGGAGACGCCAACACAACATTTTGCAGATGGAATTCAGACATCACCAATGAATTGGAAGATATTCTGTATGATTTGATCGAGCTACTCAAGAAAATGGTACAAGCCTTCTTTTGAACCTAAACTTCAACCCAACCCTACCTAATCCCACCCAGCCCACAGCCCAAGTCCATTCAGCACAACCAACCGAGCTCCGAGCTCAGTTTAGCGCAACTCAACCCAACTCCACCCATTCCCTAAACCCAACCCAACCCAGCTCAACTCACCTCAACTCGATCAAACAAATTCAACCTAATCTGCCCCATCCCGCTAATATGTCCCGAGAGTTCAGAAATCTTTTAAAAAAAATTGGCCAATTCTATTTGAGGTTACAACCCACCCATCCTTACGGATGTCAATTTTTTTAAACTCAATGTTCACCTAAACACTAAGCTCATAATTAATGCACAATGGCCTTCTGTAATCCAACAGGTCGATGAAAAAGAGGCTACTAACGTGACATCAGTTATTACCATCCTCCACAAAACCAACAGCATTCTCTCACTCACTGACCAACTGACTGTTGAAGACGTAACCCTGACAGCATCCATCATGGACCTATGCGTCACTTCTGGGGTAGATGACGTATTTCCGCTGCGCAGTGACGTAGGGTATGAGCTGGTTGCCATGGCTGACAACATTCTGAATATTGAGATGGGGATGCTGGAGACAGTACACAGTGCATGCACAAGGTTGGTGCTTGTAGGGAATCGAACCTACCAGCATTCGAGAGAGTGATTTGGCTCAAATCATCTTAATGAAAGGTCTTCACTTTTCCTTTGATGTCGTCATTGTAGCTATGATGTATTCAATTAACATCAGCGATGTAAAGAAAAAGAAGAAATAGGTTTGTGTGCGATCTTACATTTCAAGATTTGGAAGCCTACTGTAACGGCAGTTGTTTCTAAAGCAAGGTTAATTCACCAAGCCATACCACGATATTCAAAATTATACAGAGAACTTAACACATTTCTCTTGGCAAGGGTCCCCCAGTTTTATCCCAGTATCATGTAACTAAGAGGCACCAACGAGAAATGTAGGTCTGATTTAAGCACTTTCGTTTCACCCTGCACAGTATTGCAAAAAGTCTACAGACTTATGCAGCCAACGTCAAGCTACCGGTCATCAGCCGCTTCGTCAAGCATTCCTTCAGTAACATCGTGTTGGAGATCAACGAACCATCCCGTGACCTCTTCACTTTACCAATAGAATTCAATTTCTTCAAACCCGAGTCACAGGCTGAGACGGTAGCCACAATCAGGTTTCCGTACTTTCTCCTAAATGGTGAGAAATAAATCTGCTCTTGAATATGTGAAAAGTTAGGATTTACCCGACAAGTTATACAATAACTCAGAAACCTATGGCTCGCTAATTGTTCACAGAGCCTTGGTAGATGTGAACTTCATCCCAGTAAAGTTGAGTCCTTGTATTTCCAGTTTTGGCTGTGTTCCTTCAGGTGGGTACCGTTATAAATCATTGGTACGTACTTTCTCTTTACATTTGGCCATCAAAACACTTTGAAATTTGTTTTAATTTTTTGCCCTTTTCTTCTGACCTCTTTCAGGATTTTTTCGAGATGCAGACCCAGTCAGCAACGAGACTGGCCCGGTGAAGCTACAAAGCGTTCCCGTCCCTGTGGTTCGGACAACTGCCACGGTCTACTACAACACCAAGTTCTTCACTGGTGATCTTTCCATTGAACTCCCTCTGGAAGATACCGTTTTACTCTATGCCAAGGTCTACAGTGATGGGGAGGAAGTGAAACAGCTGGAAGAACCGTTCTCGGTGACGTTTTACCACCCAGCGTCGGAAAACAAGGTAGGATCCAAGTCAAAGTCCAATGATTCCACTTTTGCATGTGTATGAATTGCATATTAAAATTCATATTTCCTGTACCGTCCATTTGGTGGATAACGTGTGTTTTTATGTTGTTCTTTGTGTGTAGTCCGTGTCATCCGATGTCCAGTGTGGAGCAGCTCGCCTCTCTCGGGACGAATCACAGAGATGGGGTCTCCTGGACAGAATCAACAAAGGTCCTTGTCGACAAACATAATCCTTGGTTTAACCCTACATCGGGTGAAATTTGTGAGGGAAGGAAAAGCGGCCTTCAAACCAAAGAGTTCCTGTTTGACAAGAGTAGTTCTGCGTGAATGCCTGCTTATCTTATCGGTATTCCAACAACGCATGCCCAATAAAACGAAGCGCAAGCGCGTCCGAGGTTATTCGGACGCGCGTGTGAGGTGCGCCCAATCAGCGCGGCCCTTTGCGGACTCACGCTCACTCAAGGACTCACTCATGCTTTATTCACGAATGACCGTTTGATATATCAAACTGGCTCATTATCGTCAGCTGATGTGACTCAGCTGTTTAGAGGAACTAATCCTTTCTGTACACAACTTGTGTCCTTTTTTTAATAGTTAATCTGGAGTGGGACTCATCTGCCTGTACGCTCAACTACACGAATGCCAACCAGACAGATTGTATCTGTAAAGTTCTTGATCTCCTAGGACTGATAAAAGATCTCATTCCCGTTCCTACTGAGCCACAGGTAAAAACATTCTGTACCAATGAGTCATAATTGAGATCAAAATTGGAGTATGTTAAGCTAACATCCGAGGGCCAAAGTTGTTCTCCTTTACGAACCACCGCTATAGCTTATATAATTATAATTATATTATATAATCATAACTAATTTTCTTGTTCATAGACAACACAGGAGGTTCCTCAGGATCTCTTCGGATTTCTGGTGAGTCGCTTGTAATTTTTGATGAAATTGTCACAAGCTGATTTCAATAGCGCTTTTAATTTGATTATTTAAATCCTTGGATACGACATTAAGTTGAATCAAAATAAGAAGAGTTTTGTTCAGGCAGATCTCTGAGTTTTGAATTGAAGCCAGTACAATTCTGCCAGGTTGCGCGCAAATCACAGAATGTACGATTATTGTTAGAGTTAATCTGAAAAGGTTAAAACTATCCATTGGCTCCACAGAACTTCCCGTATTACGTAACATTGACTGCACTGTGTTACATCGGATACTACATTTCACTTATTAGCCTCCTTCTCGTCGTTGCGACCTATGCTGTGTTCCCGTGAGTATTTTGCTCGTTCCCAAATCAAAATTAGTTCAGGAAAATGTGGAAGTTTGAATTGCCACCTACATCAAGCATCATTTTGTTTCAATAATTAATGCCGCTTTATAAAAGCTCTTGCTCGTAGAAGCTGGAAGGTAAGGAAGTTTTTTGTAGTCACATTAATTATAAATGCATAGGCCTATGTATATTTGAATGCACGCATGCTCTGCGCGTGTGTCCATTTGCCAAAGTTCTTTCAACTCCATTTTTACAGTCGAGTTCGCCGGGGTCGACCAACCTTGATCCTGATCAACCTGTGTGTTAGCATCTTGCTTCTTATCATCGTTCTCGTTACCTCGACAACCTACTCAAGCACTCTGATTGGCTGTCGTATCGCCAATAGTCTCCGGCTGTACTTCATATTGGTGTCGCTTATGTGGAACGGAGTGGAGGCATTCCACATGTACATCGCATTGGTTCGAGTGTTCTCCAGCCCCATCAGATATTTTGTGTTGAAATGTGGCGTGGTTGCTTGGGGTAAGAAAAAAAAAATACCAACTAAATTATGGTTATCATTACCTGACCCTGTGGTGACTGCTAGATTGAAAAAAAAACTTCATTCATATTTGGATTTTCTTTCTAATTCTCTGCTCTTTTTCGATCAGGACTCCCGGCTCTTCTGATCGGATTGCCTCTAGCTTTCAATTTCGAAATTTACGACGGCACTTACAAAGATTGTGACTTTGTGTAAGTAACAATACCCGCTGTGTATGTGAGGGGTTTTTCTTTAGTAAAATCAAAGTCCATCTATCAGATCTTATCTTATCACCAACTTTATCGACGATCTTCCCTTGCTTCCTCCACAGTTGTCAGTTATCTGCTGAGGCTTTCAGCTTCGTGTTTCTTACTCCCATGCTCGCTATCGTAATTTGTAACAGCGTCGTCTTCGTTATGGTACTGTGGATTATCTGCAAAATGTACGCCAGAGGTACGTGAACCTTAACTGCAAACCTGTTGGGGACTTCAAACAACTGAGGGCCCTTGTAAAGTGGGTAGGGCTTCTTGGAAGTCATGTCTGACTCGGAGAAACTGTACATGGCTCCCAGGCCGACAGGTAGAAGATCTGGGTGTGGCTTGTGCGAATAATTATTAGACAACGAAAAGTAGAAGTCGCGATAATCGAATCAGGGTTAAAAGAAAATGGGTGTGGTCAGTTGAGAAGTGGGTGTGGTGCATGATATATTTGGTGTGACTTCTGCTCGAATTAGAAATCCAGAGATTACTAAATGAGAGACTCGATGGTCTCAGACATTCTTCAACTGACCACAACTGGCCGCCACATGACAAGGCTTAAATGTTGGAGGTGCAAATCCCCCTCTATTCATTCCAGACGAGCGGCGGTCCCTCCTGACGCAGCTGATTGGTGCAGTAGCTTTGCTGGTTCTTCTTGGCATTAGCTGGGGATTCGGAGCATCAGCTGCCATCACATATACACAACCAGACGAAGATAATGTATCTGTTGGCTACTTCATACTTCAGGTCAGTGGAATTGAGATCTGTTTCCATGTTTCCAAATACTTGCATTCTCAGTGCTTTTTTATAGACTCATGACAAGACTGACAATTTTAAGATGTAAGCTATAGATGTAAGCAATAGTGTTGCTAGCCTGTCAGAACCGAGGTCTAAACGTTATCCACGTTACCATACCATTTTGCTGGTCTTTGGTTATAAAAGAAACTCCCCTCAGTGTCACCTTCTTTCTCCTTGACAGACGCTCTTCGTTCTAAGTGTGGCTTTCCAGGGTTTCTACATCTTCATCTTCCATTGTGTCCGGTACCACGACATCCGCAAGCAATGGCTTAAGACATTCCGCCCCTGCTGCAAGGTTTGTCGCTGCTCCCGTTGTCGCCAGACCAAACGAATTGACTGTGTGCTAGTTCCTGCCTCCACGCCCATGGCAACCCCAATGACGTCACCCATGACGTCACCTCTGACGTCACCCACATCGTCACCGGACGCATCAAGTGCAGGTTTAGAACTCGACAACGCGAGCCTAGAGTTAAACAGAGTTAAGGAGAATGATACGCACTTATGACGTATAGTTTGAAGTCACTGTCTTCATGAATCAGTCATTGACGTTACAATTTCACCAGGTTGGCCTAATAATTGACCCATTTTTTTCGAACTACCCAAAAACTGCTATTATTCAGTTTTTAAACAAAGTTTAACTTACACTACATTTTAAGAAAGAAAATGAAATATGGAGATTTTCCAAAAGCCCTTTTCCAAGTTGTACCTTGTCGATACAGTTGTCGAAAAATACAATGTACATATAAAATACAGTTGTGATTTCATAGACATTTTTGATTTGTGGACCAAGCTTAAAAATCAAGCTCCTGGAAAAGAATCTTAACTAGAGAATGACAAAGATTACATTTGTATGAAACTTCCTTTTATTTTGAAGCATAGCAACTAGAAAGTGGTCATCTCAATTTTCTTTATTTCCGTTAAATGCTTAAGGATTGAATCCAAAATAAATCACTGTAGATAGGCCCCCCAAAAACTGATGGCACAGAGAAAAAAGTGAAGATTCAAATATTTGATAAACTTATTTGTTTTCTTTTGTGACTGGCACCGTCAATCAGTGTAAAATGTAAATAGGAAAAGGAAACAGCACGACACTCATGTTTGGAATGTGTCCTTGAAGTTAAGGTTGCAATAATAAAGTCCTACATTATGAAAGAAAATCATTGTCTACAATGTTCTGCGTGGTCGCTTTGGACTTTTGTTTCTTCGCGAACTGCCTTGAGGGTTTCTTTGTATCACTGAACTGTAACATGAAAACAACATGTCAAAATGTCAAAATGGAGAGTTTTTCATGATATGACCACAAACAAGATTAACATCACAAGCGCGTATTTTGATTTCGCGTATTTAGTATTTTTGCAAGATCCCTGTCGAAAATGATTCTGCCGAAAAAAATGGAAGGAGAGGTTTTCTGTGATAAACTGCAGATACACCATAATTGGGTGAAACTACTTTGTATTTATTATCCCTATTTAGGTTACAGATACCTATGCGTTTCTAACACGCTGTTGTTTTTATATGCCACGTGCTCCTAGGTCTCATAATCAAAAGCGAAACAATGATTTGTTGCCGCAAAGAACTGTTCGTTATAACACAAAAGTACTGTCTTTCTCAAGCTTGACACTTGCAGTACAGGTAACGAATAAGATCAGCAAACTACATAGAGGCCAGAAAGTTTAGCATAAAAATAGCAACATGTGAATAGTCTGGATAAGAATTTCAAAATTTAAAGGACACACTACGAAGCTCAGCTCTAAGTGTACCATTTCAAGACATAACAGAGGTATGAATAAAATATGGGGACCACTAACATCTACCAGTAATCGTCGAACTAAATCTACGCAGAGGAATAGATGACAGTAATGTAACGGGAGAGTGTACTCGCAACAAAACAATACCTTAAAGTTCTATTTAATAAGCAACATCTGAAAATAAATGAATAGGACTAAAAATAAACCTTAGCAAGTATAAGCTGTTATCAAAATTACAAACAGGTAAACAGACTTAACATTTACCTCACTTTTTATCTTTGTTTCGCAGAAAAACAAATATTTCTTTGTGTCTTGTCATTCTTCGTTTCCATATTAAAAGCTATAATTCTATTCAAGTAGTCGAGGAAATTTTCGAACAGGATTAAATAAAATGCATACACAGAGAGGCTAGGACACAAGCTTTGTTTTTCCAAAAAAATACTCCATTTGAATAACTCCGCCATTCAGGGCGACATGATTTACACCGGTAGAGGCTGCGGTGACCCAGAAAATCGATCTATATGGATGAAAGCAAGTTCCAGATTTCTACATGTAATTATTTGTGTTCAACTGAAAAAACAAAGATGACGTTCGCCACTGAAATTTGAACCTAGACCCCGTGCTCGTCGATAATGGCATGCCAGCGAACGGTTGATGCATCTGGGGAAAATAAAAACAAAATCAAAAGGGACATTGACTTCAGTTATTGCTACTGACGTAGGTATCAGGTGTTTTAAAATCAGGTGGATTAAAAAAAGGCAAAGAAAAGTAATCATCGTGTGTGCTCCCACCCTCGTCCTTAAGAGTCTGTGATAATTTAACGTCTCGTACTCCTGACTCTCGTACCTTCTACACAGAGTAATCAGTCCCGGGTATGAAGTCTGGAACCTCTGGTTCCACGGGTACTTCATTACCAGGCCCATCCTCGTACCAGTCTGGGTAACCGCTACCACTGGCTTCGGTAGGGCCTGGCGTGGGCCCTGCAGTTGTCGTGGCTGGGGTGGTCGGGCCAGGTGGGTTACAGGGAATCGGGGTACCGTCCTCTTCCTGTGGTAATTCTGCGGAGAAAAGAGTTTTCTTGCTCTAAAAATATCCGGACAACCCTAAAACTAATTTGGTTTTGGTAATCCAATTGGAAGCTATTGAGTTATGTGCACAAGAGCAAGGTTTTGTATGTTTTCGTTCAGCATCGCCAGTATCCTCCAGAAAAGTAGAATTTCGATTTCAAATGAGTAGTGCTTAGCAACCAGCGCAACATGGCTAGTAATCTTAAAAAAAAAGGCTAACTTGACCCAATCTTACCACCAACAAGACCCGTGTCGCTAGCCACAATCTTCCATCCCTTGTACGGCCTGTCGTATTCCGTTACCCATCGAATCCAGACCACGTTGGTCCGGGGGATAAAGGCGTCATAAAGCGGCCGAACGAAGCCACTGTGCTGATCCACAATCACGCTGCTACCAAAGTCCTTCTTTCTGCATCTGAATAAAAAGAGGACAGAAAAAATGAATTCCTTTTCAATCAGAATCACCTTCGGATGTTATGCAGTTCACGGATGGAATGCTAACTTAACCTACAGATCTAATGCCCCAAACACTTAGGCCGAGACCTCGATGCAAGATATGGAAATCTTGGGTTTGGAACGCACCTTAACAAAGTGACACTTGACCACCATAATTTATATCAGACGACCAACAAGGTGTGAAATTTACGGCGTACAGCGAGCGAATGTAAAGATAAAAGCTTATAAGGATTGAAATGTTGATTTTGGTTTATCCATCCGTTTTTCTTCAGCCTTGAGTTATTTAATGACGAGATATCTTGCCAAGATGCCACTGTTAGCCTTTCAACAGTTTTGTCCCAAAATGTCTGCACAGCTAGCAAGTCCTAACCTACCCCTCTCCGATGCTGAGAACGCCGCCATAAAGCTCAGATTCAAAATCCGCCACACTAACGCGTAGACGCCTGTTGTTGGGTCCGACAAGCGTGTAAATACATTTCTGGTTGCCTTCATAGCGGTATGGATAACCAGGAGAAGCGATGGAGATAGATGCATTAGATGGCACCATGATATATCCACCACAGTCTGTGTTGGAGGAAAACATTTTTTATGTCACACACTATGACTGATATTCGTTGGTGCTAAGTCTCTCTTAATTATGCATCAGCACATACGAAACTAATGCGATGTACATGTAAGAAGAATAAACAACAGGACTGCCTTTAATTTTCATTTTTTCAGACGGTTTTTCATATTTGTTCGATGGTATTGTATGGCACTGAGCAGATCCCATTTGCCCAACTCTATTAGTAACAACATAGCAATCACTTACAGGCATCTCTTTACCTTCACAAATTTCGATCGATTCACTGTAAATAAGTATGATAGTTTGTAAAGGTTTTCAAGCTTTCTCTGTTTTTAATTACACACAGTCTGGTACCTTGGGTGGGGACAGAGATTATATCCAACTTCCATCCGTTTAACTCCGTCTGGAAGTCCGTCAGGAATCTGACCCAGAGCTTTTTCTGGTCCGTGGTGACGTCCTCGGGTTTTTTAGTGCCACTGTGCATGTTGATAAGGGCCGTGGACTCGTCGTCCGGGTTGGAGCCCGTACCTACGCTGACCACATCCCGGTGCTTCTCGGTGTTGAACTGCTCGAAGTGCAGCAAGACATTCCCCTCGTAGGGGATGTCAATGAACCACTGGCAATCCAGGATGGGCCGATACTTGTTCGGATAATCAGGAGAGGTGATGACAGCCTTACCCATGCTAGGATCGAAGCGAACCGTACCCCCGCAATCTAAGAACAAAAATTATTGTTCCAGTAAGAACATGAAAGATGTCTATGGACATTAGGCCTACGGACTGGAGAAAAGATCATCAAACTGACACCAGACAAGCATTTCCTGTGCGGATAATTTTCCAAATTTTCCAATCAAACCTTAAGTACTACAAACTGGCACACCTATAAATTGATTCAACATCTTGTTTTTTTTTTCAAAGTCAGAATTTTAGTTAGAGAACAATGAGATACCCGTCAGCAGCTCAGTAAAATGACCTGGCTTACCCCTGTCTGGTTTGACCCTGGCCTTTTCTTCTACTGTGGTGTTTGAAGCTGCGAATGGAGAATAAATGATCTACAAATTACATTACGAGTTGGCCTACACGTTCGTTTCAGTAAAACAAGAAAGAGTACTATATCAATGTGCTTCTGGACCGGCTTGGGTTTTCAAATTGCCATTATTAAAGTGGGTAGGTGAAAATTACCAAAATATTTTAAGTACTCTTAAAATATTGTATTTCGGCGACAAAAACCCCAAAAATTATATATTGCGTTTGAGTATTGTCGGTGTTTGGATCAAAGACCATCATGTGCATGAAGGTTGTGTTGAAAAGCTGTAAGCCTCCCTCTCCTACACGCTTTGGGGCGGAGCAACGTTTGGCACCTTTAAGAGGGTGTCTAATAGGCGTCAGTTACTAGTTGATCCCTGTGCTGGGGTTGAAAACTCTTAACCTGTGCCGTAGATCCATTAGTGATTGTTTAATTTCAATGGAAGGCTTATAACTCAAGGATAGATATACTCACACATGATATTACTGTCGAATATCTGTACTTTCCATCCTCGATCGATTACAGTACCATCTGTCTTGAAGTGGATCCACATCTCATTCTCATCCGTTGTGAACTCAGCCGGTTCTGGCAGCGCATCACCGCTCCAGTTCTCGATGACGTAATTGGAGCCATCCCGGGCCGGTTCGGGTCCGAATCCCACCGAGACCGTGTCCCACTGCTTCTCGGTGTTGAAGTCCTTGAACACGGCGGTCAAACCTCTCTCGGGGTCACCTTTGATATTCCACAGGCAGTTATGGTTGAGATGGTAGCCAACATCCGGAAACTGAGGCGAAGCGACGACAGCTGAGCCATCTCGTCTGATGGGGACGTTACCTCCACATTCTTCAAAGACAAGACAGGTGGTGTTAAACATTATATACTCAACTTCGGCACTCACGAGAAACTATAAAAGACTCAGAGTTGCACAATTAAAAACCTGCCCCTTTGGACAATATTAATACTATGAACCAATCACGACGATTTTGGTACTGCTACTTGTAACTTATTTGGCAGGTGGATGTTCATTGACAGTTGTACAAGAATATTGTTCTCTCTGCCTGCGTAAGATATACCTGTCGACACCTGTATCCTTTCAAATTACAACAATTTTTTGCACCATTTCTCGAGGGAGCAATTTACAGGACTTTGGACCATTAAGTTGAAAAGTGTCATACCGTTGTAAGGCTGTTCCCTGACTTTAGCCTTGAAACCTAGTCTGTTGATACTTCGATCAGTCTTCAATCTCATCCATATGGTACTAGAGTCAAGCATAACCGCTTCCTCGGGGCGCTTGTTGGCAGTCAACCGAATCGTAGGCGCACCAGGACTGCTGCCGGTGCCGATGTCCAAAAAATCTGCGTCTGGTTCCAAGTCAAGTGTCTCAAAGGAGACACCAACGCGCTGACCACCTTCAATCGAGATGATCCAGTCGCACTGATAGTTGTTGGGATAATTCTGAGGGTACTGCGGGGAAGTGATGGTTTCCTCCTCGTCGCTCTTGAGTGTGATTTCCCCACCGCAGGCTAAGATAGAAATACCAAAATGTACACTTCCAGAGCTGCAGAATGGTTGCGCGAAATTAGTATCATATACAAATCACAAAAAAGAAAGTATTCTTACGAAAAAAGTGGCAACTTTCTTTTTGTGATACCACATGTAAACACGGCAATTTATGCACTGTATTTGTTTAGATGATTGAGACTTTTCATTCATGAACTAAATTACTTATGAAAAAAATATTTAGGCCAACTTTCATTACGTGGCTTATCATTAGTTACTGTCGCTGTGAATGATGTGCCCCGGGACACCAGGACGAGTTCTAGACTATTGACTCTAGCACCTACTATTGTTCACAGCACCGTCATCCAAAACGTCATTGATGTCAACTCCAGGGTCTAAAAATACAAACCATAATGGACAAAGAGGACAAAATCATTCTGTGTCACATTATATACTCGTTTGCATATTTGCCTGACCATTATAAGACTTCTTTTTCCAATACGAATTTATCCATACTACCCAAACTATCAATCAAATTCTCAAAAGGATGTCACAGATTCGTTACAATTAGATTGTCTATAAAGCCATGTTATACGGCCTTAATTATCCGAAGCAACATTGATGTTAGAACTTGCTTCGGTATACTTCAATGCAAGAAAAAGAAATGTTAGAGGCGAAAGGATTAGAAGAGAATTCGCTTGAAATTCTCACCGTAAGCATCCACATCGGCAAATTCAACCTCAAAACCCTTGTACGTGACCCACATATCGGTTTGAAATGTCAAGAACAGGTTACTGTCGGGTGTGCTAAAAGCAGGTGTCGAAGGAGGCGCCTGTCCACTGTGTTTAAAGATGTAATAATTGCTGTCGTCTTCCTCCATCTTGCCTGGACCTATGTTCATGAAGTCGTAGTTCTCTTCCGACTCGAAGCTTTTGACGTTGACGCTGAGGCGAGTGCCCTGTGGGGCTTGGATGGACCACTCACATTTGATGTCACCCAAATAACTGCCGGGGAAGTAAGGTGAGTAGACGGTAGCTTTACCACCCTTCGGCACTTCCACTTTTTCACCACAAGCTGGACAGAGAAAAAACACCTTGATCAAAAGATCGCATAAAAAGCGGAAGATTTCTTACAGAACTCCCACTTTTGTGCGTGACTTTGTGTGCTTCGTGTCAACAATGTGTAGAACGTAACCAAAATAGGCACAATATGTTAAGCATATCATGTCTTTCATGTATCTCCTAGTTTTTGGTTTCTCCGACGTGAACCGCGTTCCTTTCTCCACTAGCGTGCATTGTGCAAGAGCACAAAAAAGTTTTGTCTGGCGTTGGCTAACTATGCACATGACATCTGTTAATTGTCCAACTCTTCGGCTGGGTGAACAAGTATTTTTTTTCATTCACATGTAAACGTCTTTCATATCAAGTCACGCACATAACACACAGTCAACACCATCAGTGCATCGTAGGGCGCACACATTGCCTTCATTTCCTCCTCAGTCCAAATGGATGTTAGCTGCGGAAATATGCTAGATTTACGTTATCAAATGCCCTCGATATGGCTGGACAGAGTCGAGGACTTTTTATACCACCAACAAGCAAGTTTGGCGAGAAGCTAATTTGGGAAGCACCGTTCACCTTCTCTTCAAAAGAAGACCAAGTTTTCAACCTTCGGAGTACATGCTTGTTCATCGAAATACCCCCGTCACCGGAGGAAATTATTTCAACTGGGAAATCCATGTAATTGGAATATCATCTGGAAAGTGTTGGAAGGTAAGTTTCTAAACGATTGATCTCTTCTGTAAAGTTATACACGATATCTCATCGGTATATAGTTATTCCGGAAAAAGGCCACATTTTGGGGGGTATTAAAGTAAAATCTTTCCGTTATTTAAAAACATTGTTAACTTTAATAACAGAGGAGGAGTTACAACTGAGAATAAAGTGAAAATAAATTGGCTCACTGCAAATTTAAAAAGAGCAAAGACAAATAATAGAAGTTATTATTAACATAATTAAAATGTAATAACTACCATATAAATATCAACATGTAAAATAACGAAACATGATGAATTAGAATAATTTGGAAGGAGCATGTATAAAATGAACCAAACGAATTAGAAATTCAAGTGAAATGAATGGAATTTCACTTGAAATAAAATCTATAATCGCAACCGACATGAAACAAATGTTAGCGCAGGAGATCGAAAAATCCAGAGAGAACATTAATCTGTAGAATTTCTAAACCAGTGTACTTAACTGTATTAACTGCATTTCTTAATCTGCTTGACGTTGTGATAATTCAATATCACAACTTCAATTTCAGTGTCTACAAAGTCAATTTCGATCTGTCTGTTAACTGTATGTACACTCTTTACAGTCTATTCGACACATTTCTGAATGGTTGACGTCACAAGAGTGGTTTAACAGGCGCGAATCAAAAGAATAGTCGCATGACGTCACAATGTCTGGTTCCCTTCACTTACTTTTGGGGACATACTGAGGCAGCACGCACCAGTCCTCGTTCTCATCCCCATTACATAGTCTCTCTTGGGGTACGCCATAAGTCACAGAGGAACTGTTGAGACAACCGGCTCTGGTCTCCAGTCCGCATACCTGGTCACCGTCACAGATACCTTCCCATGGTACGCAAAGATTCTCCTCCAGACACTGAACCCCCTTGGTGATATCTCCTTCGCAAACTTCACAGTCAAAAGAGGTTAACATAGTTCCTTGTAGTTATTACTGGTAAATATGAAAGTGTATTAAATTTTAAAGCGCAATCTAAGAATCCGTTTGGCCGATCATTCACATTACTTTGTCCTAAGATGGTAGCAACGATGGATTGAATACAGTCAAGGCGAGTTGCTAATTATATTGGATGCATACTGGTTCACAGGTCACAATGAAGTTATGCAAACTTAATTTTGAGGTGATGTGAGCCTGTTCCCATTGTAAATTGACAGGGAAAGGTACGGTAGTATGATTACTTACTTTCCAGACTGAGGTCATTCATCAGCTGGTTGAGTATGGACAACAGGTACTTCGACTGCCTCTGAGTGGTAGGGGTTCTATCGCTCTGGCGCCGGACTCTCTTCAGGAAAGTCTCTTCGTCATCTTGCCCACCCTATGAAATAAATTATTGCGAAAAATCACAAATGGATCAACGACAATAAGAACAGAAAGTGATTCTACAAAATAGACAGGTGTCTCAACAGTTACTTGACGACTGTAGTAAAAGCGCACTGTGCTGGATGTTTGAACGCTTGAATAGGGCAAAGGCAATAATAGGCCTAACTCTAAAAAAAGTTGTCCAAGGAGTGCATGGGCCTATACCTCTGTGGATTTACGCCCGTCCCGTTTGAGCCAGTGTTTCTTGTTATCTGTTATAAATACAGCCACATTGTACTTTCACAGTGATTTTCTCATCCCAAGTCATGATCATCGGTTGTTGGCATATATACCGCCCCCTACAGGCAAGTACAGAAGAAAAAAGTTCCTTTGCTTTCTAAAAGGTTTGGTGACCTGCACTGCCGATTGTATGCAGGGCTCTTTTTTTTCTCTGGTATTTGGCCCAGAAGTAAGGACTATTTGAAGTCAAGCACGTGCACTCTTTATATTACAGGCCTCGTTTTTCAGTGGCCTTTAACCTCGTAAAGCCTGTAATTTGAAGTAATCAGTGAAGAAAACTGGGGCACAAGTGGACAAATCCCCATCCGGAATATCCATGCACACTCTGGCTGATTGGCCAATCTGGCTCCTTAGAGATAAAACGAGACGTGACACAAAATTATGTTTCTCTAAGGGCAAATTCTTTCAAAAGTATACCGTAAGCCAATAATGTGTCAAATCTTAACTGCAGACTTTGCCTCCATTGCTCATGGATTATTCCGCTTTTTAGAAACAAACTTCAGGAAACAAACAATAATTACGCTGACACAAATTGTTTACTTCATAGGAAGTATGTTTACTTGATATGTTTACTTTATATCTTTCTGATGTACTATGACTTTGAGCAGAAGGTTACACACTGGTATTTCCAAATTGTCAAACTAACATCGAGGTATACATGTAACGAAGACGTTATAAAAGCTACTAAAAACTTAACGAGTGGGAGGAGTACACGAAGCTCTGTGACAGCCAAGTTCTCAGTATCGATTTGTATCCATGCAAAATGCGCATGTCTTTTTTCCCTCGTTGCCAAAGTGTTTAACCACATCTGGACAAAGTGAGCACGTTGAACCGGCCAAGGCAATCCGCAGTGAGAAACAAGTACCAGTCTCCTTGACCTGCGGTAACCCCCATAACCAGAAAATATAGGCTACACGGGCAACGAACCCAAACTTAGTTTACGCTACGCGATCATTTCTGATAACTTCAAGTTCTCACACCTCTCTTCCTAAAAGATATTATGAGTCACTTTGTTTTGCCAAAGACTCTGGGAGCAACAGGTGACTGCGTGTTACCATGACACTCCCAACATCCGGTACCATCTGTCACCAAACATCATTTACTGACGTAGTGTTTGGAAAGCCAATATGTTCCTACCATGTAATAACAAACCCCATCCTCAAAAGTAAATGATATTTCATTTCCGATTTCCGAGGTCGATGGCTGAATCGTTTCCCATTACATCTGAAACTTTTGAATAACAACAACTTTGTATAAATTACATTCGCAAAGGCAATGGACAGAAATACGCGAAAGAGTTTCTGGCCTACGTTCCATTTGAATCTTCCAGACAAATTCTGGTTTGATCAAAATGCAAGATTTCCCAATTATTTTTTACTTTCATTGTTTCCATTTTGAGGGCAAAATATCTAATTTTCATAATTCAAACATTCGCAGTTTTCCTACCATCCACCCAATGACACAGGAATACCTCGAAATAAATCTCAATGTGACGCAAATGCTACATGACGAGTAAATTCCAAAACGGTATCGAAGGACGAAAAACTGTTACTAATGTTGGCGTTGAAATAGATAAAATCCTACTTTATTGAATATAAGGAACCGTAATTCCCTGAAAATCACAAAAATTATGTTCGCCTCTTTCATGCACAGACGAAAGTCCGCGGGTTTGCCCTGAGGTCGTGCATGCGTCCTTACATTCAGGGTAACACTAAAAGGGTTTACTTCTAAGTAGCTCAAGCTATGTCAGCAATATTCGTAGGCTAAAGATTTTCCTAAACTCGTGTAAGTCCTCCGCGCAGTATGCCACTGAGTGACATGTTAATTATTAACTTGGACACGCTTGAACAAAAGCCAAAGGCCCAGTGTAAAAACTAGTTGATACTTCATTTTCCACAGTTTTCTTGTTCAGTGAAGAGTAGCACTTCGCCAATGGAGTAGCAGATTTGTTCACAATGAGAATATATTACCTGTATCACTTTAAGTCAGCCGTCTCGAAATGATCCATACAAAAAGTCTGGTATCATTATTTCAACTTGATTAACCTCAGTTGTCCCATTGAGACAAAATACACTGATGTATAAAATACAGACTAATTACTTATGTTGCTTTCTGTGAGTCGCTAACACTACATAAACTTCACCTCCAGTCTGATATAATGAAATGAAATCACGTGTAGCAAATGCAAAGGACTTTTTTTTTAAATTTAAATTACAACATTCATTGTAAGGGGCCTACAATCTGCAAACAATAATTCACGAGTACTCCTCGTTTAAAACAAAGTTAGTCTGGGGGATAAGAAGCAAACAGAAACCCAGACACAAATTGAGACGTAAAATCTACACCAGAAATCCCCTCAGGCGTTTGTTTTATAAGGCATTTTGAAACCAGCTGGTAACGAGCCGGGGTTGGAACAAGGTCAGACAGACGTGGTATGTGATACCTATGCATAGATCAAAGCGAGAATAATCAACAGTAAAAGGGCGGTTACAAATTGGCTTCTTTAGAGAATCGTTTCAGACAGTTGTGTTGTCTTACCGTTTCGTAGCCGAACAGTGCCGTCCTGGGCCAAGCTTGCACCCACAGAATCACCGCTGACAGCACCAGCAACAAAATCCAGACTCGTTGGCCCATCGTTGGGACGAGGAACAATATTGGGCTGATGACTAAAAAAGTTCAGACCCCGGTAAACCCTGACCAAAAACCCGAGCACACTCCACAGGTTTGTACACGGACACGGTGGTTTAAGACGCTACAAGTCGCCTTACGATGTGACGCGTCAGCAAATATAGCCCCCAGAAATTACATTAAAAAAAGTCTGTTTGAAGCCCCAAACGCCTCCACAGAGCGCTTGCCAGACAAGAGAATAGCTAAACCTACCAACCTGCGCGCGCTGGGCATACAAGTTCCCAGAAGATTTATGGGGGTGGATAAGGATACAACTGGCAAGGTTACAGTTGTGTTCTCCTTATCCGAAGTTTCACTCATCGACTCAGTGAGGCAAATGGCATCAAGTTGAATTGCAGCGTTTTCTTGTTTCTGTCTGTCGTTTGTATAACAACAATGCTTTATTAATTTATGGGTTGTGTAAGGTGTCAGGGAAAGATGCCAAATTTTAAAAGACAGGGGAAAGTTCGCTCTGACTGCTAAGATGGAAAATCAATCTTGCGGGGCCAGCGGGGGACCTTTGGGGCCGAAAGGGTAACCAATCCCGCGAAGCCCGCCAACTGGGCTCTGTCGAAGTCTGCATTAGCATCAAGGCTGACTTACCGTGAACTGCCAAGCAACGGGGGTGGGTGTTACCAAGGAAACTCTGTGCAGGGAAACTTGTTCGATCGTTAAAGGAGCTGGGAACAGCTCAACGACGGTGGTTATGTTGCGTTGATACATCAAAAAGTTTCTTGTATTATAACTCCACGGCGCGCGTATATTGCACCTGTTGATATTGTATGATTACTAGAACACGTGACAACTTCCTGTGGCGATCACTTGTGGCGCCACCTCGGGGGAAAAAATACCTCTGGGAATCAGTATTGTATAATAAAATTATGCAGTAACAATTTCCTATTAAAACGTGGGATGAGTGTCATTGAGAAGCTAATGAGAAACGTGTGGGTGACCTGCATCGAGCTGATGAAAACTGTGGAAAGTTCAGCGATCATCTTTCGTGGTATATGGTGCTATACTTAAAAAACATATCATTGCTCGGTTTGATCAGCATAGTATATAAAGCGGACTTTTGCTCCAGAGCTTGAGAATGATAATAATTAAAGTGAACATGACGGCTACCTACTGCAGTAGCTTACCTGCATCAATGTGTGAAAGCTGCTTCGTATTTTCCCCATATTGAAACCCAAAGAAACGACAGGTGTTACTTTTATTCGTATGTTTCCATATCACCAGCAAAACAATTAACCTTTGATGAGCCAAATAAATAAGAATATGCGACAGAAAAAACCCCCATCAACTCCGAGCATTCCTTGACTATGTATTAATGGCCAATCTGACTGCTACGCATGAAGCGTGACCCGTCACTAGGGAATGTGCGGTGACCCGAGTTAAGATTACACAACACTTTGATGGCATATAAACTCCATTTTCAGGTCACAAGTGGCTAGTGAGACCAATTTCATTAAGAACTGATTAATGTAGCAGCATCAGAATCGTTTTTTTTTGGGGGGGGGTAACATTTTATTTTTAATTCATGATTATACAAGTAGTACTTCGATGATCAACTTGAAAATATAAAATTTGAATCGTGTGAAGAGTGACATCTGAAATGACGTGATTTTCCTCCTTTCGTCGCAGGATTGACTATATGCTTGCAGTAACTAACGAATCAACTTTTAAAGTGACGTAGATGACAAACATTCAGTCTGAATCCTTCTCATTCAACTTAGTGATTTTTTCTCAATGACTTCAGGCATAATTTTCGGCTTAATCCACCGTCTGAACCTTGGGCAGGACTGATTTATGAACAGCGAGTGGTATAGGTCAGAACAATGAGCTTTGTGACTTGACAGGTGCAAATGCGGGGCATAGGTCTCGTTTTCAAGTTCGCTTCCTTCAAACAAGTCTACTCTTCTTTTTTTAAAAACCCTTAATTTGAATTATAACACCAAATAAATCAATTTCCCATTAGATGTCTACTTAGTTTCCGTAACGTACAAATGATGAGCGAAATGTGTCAACAAATACGGGCAATTCACAATAGTGTGCCTCCAAGAGTTTGCGACGCGTTGACTAATCACAAAGTGAGAAATTTGTCGAACCTTTCCAAACGCGCATTGGGTCGACAGATTCGAGCGACGTGATTGGCCAACGCGTTGCAAACTCCTGGAGGCGCACTATTGTGAATTGCCCGTATTGACTAACGCTATTTAGTGACAGACACCTTGGGTAGGTACCGAGTTTGCTGCGCGCTTGACTCATAAAAACCCACCTCATCGATAAAGCTCTTTGAATTCCCAAGATAATGATTCCAACGACTACCATTAACATTCAAAACAATTCAAGTTAAAGTTTTGTGTTAATAATTTGTTTTTGTACCGTCGGGTTCATAAGTCAATTGGAAAGTACCGTATGGACAAGGGTAAACCACTAGGCTGTCTTACCATTTAAAATGGCGAGAACGTCTGAATATATTTACATTTAGGTACTGCGTGGAATCCCGTGCTTTCAGTTAAAACCTAATTTCAAGATAATTTTCTTGAAAGGACGGAACTATAAAACAACCACTGCAAAACTGTCCAAGCATGCGCACACCAAGTGTTTATTGCCAAAACGTAATCTACTGTACAGCAAGCTAAACTGTTTTATATTGTAGCGTTTGCTAGTGCCTAAATTATATCGACTTCTACTTCCCACGACTCGAACTGCTATCGCAAAGTGCTAGCCTGTAGCGCCCTCTGCGACAATCCATCACTAAATAAAGGTTGAAAACCACTTCTTTAATAAAGCTCTTTTGGCCTGGATTCCAAGCACTATACATTTTTCATCGGAGATATTCAGGGCCACGTTGCAAATGGCAGATGAGTGGTACCTCCAGTTTCCAAGTTGATGTGTACACTGAGCCTGCTGATCGTAACCTATTAAACCAATTTAAAACCCCGTGATGCTGCGCGAGTGACCTCAGTGGCGTGCAAGGTCATCTGATAAAACAACACGTTGTATAAGGAGACTTGACTCGTTCAAACTTCGGTCGTTTAACCTCAGAGTAACAACTTACCTTCACTACGTGCATTTGATTCCAAGATTTCACTATTCAGATGGGATCGATTATTGAGTAATGTTATAAAGTTACTGATTATTTCTTTCACATGTACAAACACTCTGGTCTGCCAATGCCCAAGGCATACATCAAAGAAAAGTAGCCAGCAAATGTAGACACACATTGGTCCAAAATGTGACGATAAAATTTGTTCACAACTGAAATAAAGATTACAACAGAAAAGAACGCTAAGTGTACCGTAAGATTATATACCATAAGAATTAAGGATACTTTCAGATGTTAATAACTTCCGTTTTGGAAGAACTGTCTACAGAAATGGTTATACAGAGATGGTGTCACTGTCCAGTTCATAAACTCTCATCACTTTTGTGCCCGTTCTGTTGTAACTGCGTCGAGACAGCGAATTTAGGCTGTTTAAGGTCACAACTAGATCGACGAGGACGTGGAGAATCCACTGTCATAGTCAGAGCTGTAACTGAAACTGGGGTCGACGACAGAAGCCGTGTCTTCTTCCTCAGTCGTCATGACTGCTTCGGTGGTCGTTGTCACTGTCGTTGTCGGCTCTTCTGTCGTGGGCGCCTCTGTGGTTGATTTCTTATCTTTCTTGCCTTTCTTGGGAGGCCGTCCGTGGTGGGTGCTTGAATCTTGGTTTTGGTCGTGGTCGGTGGCAACATCGGTGTTGTCCGGCTCATCAGGTTGAAGTTCCTGAGGATCACGAGGTTCTTCAGGTTGAGGCTCGGGCTCGGGCTCAGCCTCATTCGTTCCCTGTTTCTCGCCGTTCGTGGCGTCTTGACCGCCGTGGGCGTTGGGATCTTCAATTTCCTGATCCTGCTGCTGTAGGTCCGGTAACTCGTCAACAACGCTGAAGATTTCCGTGTCAGATTCTGGTGGTAATGTTGGTTCCTCGTATGAAATCGACTCATCTACCACCCTGGTCAAGATAGGTTGAGAGTTTTATAAAATACTCCAGGATTAGGAATCTTGCCCTGAGGCACTAGTCTGTTTTGAGATTTTATGAAAAGTCCATTACATACATACCACACGCATCTAAAACTGATGTTTAGGGGCGATCCCTTGTTTGAATAGATCCCTTGATTGTCTCCAAAAGGGACACACTGTTGTCTCGTTCTCTCTAAGCTTTTTTATGTTTTGTTTTTTGATCTTGTTTACAATGCAGTTTTTGCTATTTGTGCGTTATTTATTGGCCCATCTATTCTTTTGTGGTTTCTTAGTACTTCATTTCTTAATGCTAACACGCGAACTGACACTGGAAATGTAAAATAAAGAACTCACCATGGCGACGATTCCTCGCTATACACCACGAACCGGAATCCTTTCATTTGAGTGAAATCATCAGCCTTGAAGTCCAGCCAAGCCACAGGCCCGGCAGACTGGAAGGTCAGATCTTTTGGACCTCCTCCCCCGGGCAAACTGCTCCCACTGTGCGTAATCTCGACATTGGATCCGTTTACGTTGGGCTCGAAGCCGTTTCCGATGCGCACGATGTCATAGCCATACTCCGTGTCGAACTCCTTGAAGCCGATGTGGATGCGCCGATCAGAGGCAGACCGAAATTGCCACAGACAGTCGGACAGCGCAGGATAGTTGTTAGGATAATCTTGAGAACCAAAGCTCATCATACCGTGACTTGGTACCGTGAAGATTCCACCACAATCTATCATCCATAGGAAGAGTGTAATGTAAGAGTAAATTAAGACCTCTTATCAAACACAAGCGAACCAACGCGATTCATGCCACCTACGCAAGATTTGTTGTTCACGGTGTACTGGCATTGAAACTAGGGTAGACTGACAAGTTGGAAATCCCTGTTATCTGAGACTTTTCATGATCAGACAAGCAAGCTGATCTACAGAGATGGCAAACTTCTAGCTCTAAAAAATTGGGATTTGAAGAAGTAACAGTTCTGTTCCACATACATGTTTTCTGCAATGACAGACAGAAAATGGAAATGAAAACAGTGGTTACCGTTAATAGGTTGCTCTGTGAGGACTGCTTTGAAGCCTCTACGAGCTACTGCAAAGCTGGAGACGAACTTGAACCAGACGTCACTGCCCCTTGATATGATATCTGCGGGCTTGGTGCGACTGCTGTACTTGTAGAGAATCGGTGCTCGTCTGCTGCTAATGCCATTTCCAACACTAAGATGGTCTTCCTCTTCCTCGACGTCAAACTGGAGAGGAGAAGAGTAAAGGAAGATTTAGGGATCAGGATAAAGACGTCTGTGGTAGATTAGGAACGAGTGACAAACAACGGTGATGGTGATCAAGGTTAAGCTGGTGATGGGAATGATCGGGGCAATAGTATTGATGGAGATGGTGAAAATCTTCAAGGTGTTGATGGTGGAAATGATGATGGAGATGATAATTATTGTGGTTACAGATGACTATCTGATGATACTGATGATACTCAGGATGAAGACGTCTATGGTTGATGTCCACAAATTAAACATGCTATTAACAACTGAACAATAATTCTTTATCAAATTGCTACAACTGAAAAACAAACTAACAGCTTCAAAGTGGATTCGAATACGCAGCCCCTCCTCAATCGATACCACCCATTCACATTCCACGTTGTTGGGGTAAAAATCGGGGTGACGTGGCGAGTGGACAATGGTTTCCTTGTCTGGTTTCATGAGAATTTTACCGCCACAATCTGAAAAACAGGAGAGAGAGACAACGACCGAATGAAGCATTTTGGTCACAAGCTATGGATAGCTACATCCAAGTCTTTGTGGAACGGACAAAGGAAAAAAAATGAACACGAACCAACCTCCAAAATTGGGATGCATTCCGAATAAGGCAGATGATCCGACTAATACTACAGCATGAGACCAGCATATCTACGCTAAAAAGTAACTTAAGCTGTTAGTTTACCTCTATTGGGTTCTTGATTAAACGGATTCCTTCCAACCACTCCGAATTCTGTGAAGGAATAAAGCAAATATTGACGTAGGCTATACAAGAACTCAACAGATTAAAACAGATCAATATCAACATACTGATTATCAACATTGATTATTTTTCTCAGCAATATTATGTTCTGGAACAACAAAATTCATCAAATGAATTATAAAAATGTTGGAGCACTGCATTATTGCTTATTCCAGAGCTGCCACCAAAATACTGAGCCCCATGCCATACACTATCTTACGCTGTCTGGCTCCGTCCACGAACTCGATGGAGAAACCTTTAAAGTTCTCCCAGTCATCGGACTTGAAGGTTACCCATACTATGTTGCTGGCAACGTCAAAGGCGCTCGGGGAGGGTTTCTTGAAGCCGCTGTGCTTGAAGATGATAACAGACCTGGAATTCTCGCGGTTGTAGCCTGTTCCAAGGGACAACAGGTCATAGTTGGGTTCAGTCTCGAACCGTTTGAAGTTCACGGTCAGGTTGTGACCCTCAGGGACGGAGACCGTCCAGAAGCAGAAATAGTCGCCGGGGTAATTCTCAGGAAACCTTGGGGAGTGAATTCTAACCTTTCGTCTGGTTGGTTCCAGGAAGATGTCCTCGCCGCATCCTTTAAACGAATAATAACAATTATACTTAAACAAAATACGTTATTGTGAAATGCACAGCTTCTGAAAAGGAGCATCCTTTCCAAAGTCATTTTCATCTTTACACCAGAAAAAGGACTTTTTCCTCAAAATACAACTTACTGACAGGTGCTTGGTATTTCCAATGACACCATTTGGGATTCTCATCTCCATCACAAAGTCTAGAATCCATCCGGCCAAAGGATGCTTCAGATCGTTCCAAGCATTCTTTGCGATGCTCTAAGGCACATATCTGCTCCCCATCGCAGATCTGATCCCAAGCTGCGCAGAAAGGTTCTTCCGGACACTGGACCCCGCGGAAGGGGTCTCCACGGCAAACTGGTGATAACCATAACCAAAGAATTTCTGAAACACAGCTGAAGCCTTCAGGATGCACGTGGGATGTAGGAGTGTCAAGAACATGGAAATTTAAAATTTAGTAATCGACCCCGACTTCTTGACGTTTCTGAGCAGAAACATCAAACTTAGTTTAAGAGATGAGACTCGACCCAAAAAATTAATCTAGGGCCATTTTTTTCCAGTGGGTTTGTTTTATATCACCCTAGAAAGAGCAACCTGGGCTTAATTTTACATCGATATGGCATCTGGCTGAAAATTGGCATTACGTGGGTGAGAAATGATGATTGTTCCCTTTGATTCCAACAAAGCAAAATTCATTCAAAGGCCTGGAAACCCAAAGTGGCTCTGGCTACTTGTGACTCAACTTGACAGGTTGGGTCACTTATTTTTGCTAGAAGTACGACTCATGACTTACAATACAAGTCATTGTTGTTCAGGTCTGCCTTCAAGACATCAATGGCATGGCGTGTGTATCTCCATGATCTGGCTTCTCCAAGGTATCTCTTAGTACGGTGTCCTTGGAACAAGTCAAAAACCTGAAAGAATTTATACAAGAGGGTAAAAGTCTTCTCAGTATCAAAACGTATATGTATTAAATCTCTCTTAATGGTTCTTTCTTTGCTCTCGAAATTGAGAGGTCCACATTTTGCTCCTTTACAAAGCTAATTTAACAAATTAAAACAGCTTTTGGAATGTTCAAATTCAACTCGAATTGGGGCAATGTGAGACCTATCAAATTGTGGGAAATCAACAAACATTTTGGTAACTAACATAATAACTCGACAAGGGAGCGCGGTATGAATTGTAATAGCTGTTAATTTCACGGTTGGTGCACACCCAATAAATAAACCGCTCTATAGGGACGTAACTTTGAACATCTACGTGTTGGAGTTTGGTTGAACATTACGGTTGGTCTACAAACCAACCAGCAATCACAGACTACTGAAACTGGTCCAGACTGTTTCAAGGGCATGTATACATCTGATCAAGCTGGGCAATTGCTCCACCATTTTTTTTCCATTAAAAGGTTAAATTCTGAGTGCCAAGTTGCAAGACAAACAGGGATCGTTTGTCAGCTGCGCCACTAATGACGTTCTACGTGACAGGTTGAACTGTTACGATGCAACCACAGCAACAAAACGCATAAAGTTTGCGGTAATCTCGAGATTGTCTCAGCGGGTTGAAAAACCCTGACCCACAGCTCACCTTACCCGCATGAAAAGAAGACATGCTTTACAAACTGCTCTGTTTGCGGTTATTCAGTGGGGTCTGTTATACCAATAATTTGCTGTCCCTTTTGCTTCTTCTAAAATGACTAAAGATGCATCAAAACTGTTTGAACTGGTGTTGCAAAGTAGGTTAAAGTGACGAATGATAATGTAATTGTTAATGAAAATTCCGTGTTTTCGAAGGGCAGCGTTTGGGTAAGATAAGGCTTCCCTCACAAGTCAGGTTTTTATCAAGTGATTTTGCAGGGATCTTATGAGCCTTGACTCAGTGTGGTTATTTTGTGTGCAAAACATTAATAGTTCCACACGATAATTTGCTTGTGAATACGACTCATAATTATACGGTCGTTTTCATACATAGTGAACACTTCCGGTTTTTAGAAGGCCTGACGATTCAATCCTAAGAGTTCTTTCAAAAGGAAAAAACTGGTGATTTTATCTCCAATTTCAAAATTTGGAAGTGTAAAAAAAAGACAAACTTCTGAGCGAGAATGGACTGAGGACACAATGTCCAGATCAAGAACGTTTGCTGCTTTTGGTTTATCATCAGTTTTCTTAAAAGTTTCCGGTATTTAAAAACAATTAACAAAACTTTTTCGGGTCTCCTGCAGTTCCAACACTTGAAGAAGAAATGTGGAAGGCCATTCGCATTTCTTTCAATAACAGTGTGCCATTTATATCACGTGAAGGTACTCGGGGTCTTGCCTGTAAAAATAAACAACGCAGAAAACGCTGGAATCTCTGTGGGGTACAGTTTTAACGACACGGTGTACATTAACAACCTGCGACTCCAAGTCACACAAAGTTTGAAATCGGCTGGTAAAAGGGGGGGGGGTGCGCTGTCCTGGAAACAGACAACACATATATCAAGAACAACTTAGAAAGGTATAAGATATCAAGTCTTACCTTGTCCGGATGATCTTTTGCGTTGATGAGAGGAAGAAGTAAACAGACAACGGTGATATGAAGAAGAAGAAGCACTCCGGTGCTGGCGACAGCGTGAGCCATGTTGGACAATCTGGTGTTAGCGATGCGGCTGGGTTTCATTACTGAGGAGCCCCACAGGACCTGCTCCGACGACTCCTGCCAAGAATTAATATTTCCCTCCTTCGCCTTGTTGGAGGGTGATGTCTGGTGATGAAATCAGTCCGCGTCTTATTTACGTGCCTTGCGCCTGGAAAACGCGTCTGCGGTCCTTGCGGCCGGTCGCTGACTCCCACAAGAATAAATCGATCTGAGCAGGGCCGGGGAGGGATCTAAAACACACGTTTCGCTGATAACGGGTTTGGACCAAACCGCGAAGACTTTCGCAAAGATCGTTATGATTCAACTTTTGTTTCTTGAATCATTATCCCTGAATTTAACGTTGCTAAGGTTTGAGACAACGGACTTTTTGCCACGTGTAGGCTATGATCAACCCCTCAAAAATGTGACGAGAAAATGACTTCTGTGATATATGATTACGAATTGCAGTAACTTTGGAACTTTGGTTGTTTCTATCAAAAGAACCCGCTGAATCCGAATATGAAACGTGTGTATGAAAGGGCGCAACTAGACTGGTTACTCTATCCACATTGCGAAGTGTCCCAGTAATTATGCCAACTGCATATACACGTTCTTTCTCATTTCATGATCCGCATTTTCTTTAACCTGGAGCATTACCTTATGAGTTGTAACTTAGGTTAATTTTGATGTACACAACGTTATTATTAACAAGACCAGCCAGGTGCACATTGAGGGTTTTTTTGCGAGGGTGGGGGATCGGACCCCGCAAACACTCACACAATCATTGATTCCGAAATGTATCCTAATTGCGGACGGAAATGGCTTTGGTCACGTACACACGCCCATCTCAATTTTTGACGAATTTGGGTTTTAAGCATATTCTTGCTATGCCTGATGAAATCTTTATTTTCTGAAAAGTTCAAACTTATACGTGCTCAGAAAAGCTAATTAAATTAATTTGGGTAATAAAAAATGATGACCTACCTGTCCCAAATTTAAAATCGTTATTTCATGGACCGGCGCAGTGTGGCTATGTGATTAGCAATCAGTACGGTGATTTATGTCTCAATTATTTACATTACTATGTCAAACTCTCACTCAAGTACAGGGCTTCTTTCCCGAACTTACGCCCAACTATGTTCTCAGGACTACTGGTCTGCTCAGTTCGACCTCCACTGTAGGCGGGCGATTTAGTCACGCCTGCCGCGCGTTTGTATGGGGACTGCTAGGCTAGAGTGGTTCCCTTAAAACGTACAAATAGACATACTTAGCAGCCGGGAACCAACTAAGGTGAAGAATAAGGGGGCTACCTACAATTTAATCCTTGGGAAGTGTCATTATTTTAGCAACAAAATCTGAATCCGAATCTTCTAGTAGTTGTATAAAACACCATATTTATGCATTTCATCCATACTAAGCTCAGTTTAGATGTTTTTGTTATATGTTCGTATGTCTTGAGGTGTTATGTTCACAACGCGGGAGTGCGAGGATTGCCCTTCGAAAAAGAATCGACATGTAGATAGTTCCTGAATCTAGATCTACATGTAGATAGTTCCTGAATCTAGATCTACATGTAGATAGTTCCTGAATCTAGATCTACATGTAGATAGTTCCTTCAGATAGAGTTGGACACTGATCCTTCAGATCCCATGATCTGATGAAGGGCCTACGTGTAGCTCATTCCTCAGCAAGGCTTTCTGTCAGTTTTGGTTTGGCAGTATTATACATGTACTTGTAAAGTGTCTGTACTCGGAGGTTGAAAAAAATAAATTGCTTGGATGCTAATCTAAAACTTCTATTCTCATGGCCTAAAGAAAAGAAATGACCAGCATTTAGTGTCGTCTTCACTCATTGTCAGACTCACTCTCGTCATCGCCAAAGCTAATGATGACACTGGTTTTCGATAGATTCTTGTTTTAAAACTTCAAAAGAGACTACATTTTGTGATTACGCCTTATCTATTGCAATCGCATGTATAAAACTAGACTACTTGTAACTGTCCCTTTTCATGTCAACAAACTGAATTTTTTTTTGAAAAACCACTAGGCATAATAATAATCATCATGGGCAGATCCGGGGGCATGGGGGCACACGCTCCTTTTTTTCACCAATAAATAAATAGATACATAAATAAATAATCGACAAAATGACAAGAAGCGGACGGAGGCGGAATAATAATAAAAATACTAATAAAAATTGGAAGACCCATCCCCATAAATGTGGAAAAGGTGTAAAAGACAACAGCTCTGCTTTCCACGCTTCCGGTTACCCAACCTCCTTAAAATTGGTAGTTCACCGCCCCCTCCCCCGAATATCCTGGATCTACCCCGAACCATGACAACTTTCTACGAGTATAAATGCATCTTAAAGTGACATTTGAGATGGCTTCTGATAATCTCATAATAGTGATAAAAGGGATACAAGCTCAGGGTTTATATAAAGACACTATAGACTTGCCAAGTGTAGGCCTACATGGTGTATATACCCTTCTCTCGAAACAGGTCAATCTTTTTATCCGATATTTCTGCTTCATAGCCATCAAATCCCTCCAAGAATAAGTAATTTTACAAACTCTGTTCCATGAAACTAGGGAAATTCCTTTTGTATCGAGTGGAATTCAAAGAACCCCTTTTACTTGGTACAATTTAACGTTCCCTTACATAATGGCGAAAAAATATTGATCTTGGAATGCAATGACGTCATCTCGACGTCAAACCAAATGGATCTTTATTTGGACATGGAGAAAAGCTTCGTGGTTTAGCAGGTTCTATGAAAAGTTCATGACAATTACAAATGGCGTCATCGAATAATATGTAGGGATAGTCAAGGACCATTTCAATCTACTCAATACAAGAACGGGAATTAATCCGACCCCCGCTTTGCCCTATATGACATTTACAGACATCTCGACTTCAAAGAAACTACACTACAGAGTCAACAATTCCATAACACGCTGCTCCGAGTTCTAATCAGACTTCAGGGTCGCACATCGATCCCGAGGTGCTCGGTAACTTTTTTTTCTGGACAAGTCTCACATTCCCTCAGGTACTAAGACGATCGGTATCGCATCCCGTGTACGATCGAAGAACCACCTGTGTGCAGGAGTTATTGGCTTAGTACCAAGGACTCGTCGATTTGCATGAAGACAAGCACTGCACTACGATCCCGTCATGAGACCTTTTATCAACAGTGTGCCTTTCAATAGCATGTTTTAAACATTCTTGTTTCATGTCAAGATTTCGCGGGCCGACAACAGTAAGACAATCTATAGATCCTTTTGGGAGTGGAAGGGTACTATAGAAAGAGGGTTGGCTAGAGAGAGAGACGGGACATAACACCGAGAACAGGTGCTATGTCCCGTGTAAAAATGTATCATGAAAATAAAGCAATTTAAAATTCGACAACGTGTACCCCCCAAAAAAAATCTCGCCACTTTAAGCAAACTTTCAGCGCCTGTTGAGAGAAATTGAGATGGTTTGTTGCGAAGAAAACCGCGTGGCATAACCTAATATAGTGGCTAAGGGGCATCATTATGGAGAGGCATAAGTTCTTTCATTCCATTGAGCTGAGATATGGGTCATGGCAAATATCCACTGAAGGCCACAATCCTTAAGCTGAGATCTTGCTGGTCCAGACGAAAGCTAAACCTTAGAATACCGAGGAGAGCCACTGCGTAAACACGGGGTGCCTGACTGGGAACTGGTTGAGTAATCACTACAGACCAAGATTCTTCAATTTCCTTTGTGATTTTCAGCGACTGTGGCCCACATGGTAAAGGACTAAATAAAGCACTTTGTAAGTTGTATCGGATGGTTTTGGCAATCTACATTTCCATTTGAACTGTCGAAAATAAGGAAAAGGAGTTTGAGCCCACAAGACAAAGAAATGTCTACTCCACTTGCTGCACACTCCACTAATTTTAAGTACAAAAGGGTTAACATTGTCAGAAACCCACAAGCGAATAAGCAATGCTCCTTCATCCTGCCCCGCGCCGATTTTGACGCAGGTTAAGTGCCTCAGTCATAAGCGATAATCGATATCACCGCGTCTATCGCTCAGTACCAAGTCAAAAAATGTTTTTCCCTTTTTCCCGTAGCAAATTGTACCCATGCTGTCATCAGGTCAAGGCAAAGGTTTGGGCCACAAGTGAACCTGTTGCAGAAAACGTGCACACAGTTGTTCAGAGCGAGTGCAGGCCAATTTATCAAGCAAGCCTGGCACCGGCTGCGATAGCAATTATACGGTTGCCCTCATGCCAAATGGACCCTAATAACAGGCTGCGGCTACGGCTATTTATAATGTCAGCTTGCACGTACGTATAAGTCGCACGTGATCGAAGCGGAACGCCATCGCCATAGGTACGGCCTCAAATTTGCAAAGTCGTAACTCAAGCTAAACTCCACGATACCGGTAAAGGCCAAAACATGATGTCATGACTCCCTGACTGGTTTTCCGATTTTTTACCCGGAATCGGAGCACGAACAAACTAGGGCGCACTGAAGAAAGTGCTCGGTCAAAAAGACTCAAGTATTCATTTGTTATAAAAATTATTTGTTTTATGCATTCATAAAAGTCGGAAGGTAAACGGTATGTGTTATCGGATTAAAACAGATCATAAATGATGCATTTAAGAAGACAATTCCTTTGGTTATCACGCTTAATAGGCACAAAAAATGAACGAAATCTAATCCAAAAGGAATAAAAAATCATGCATTAAAATATAAATACACCAATCCATCAGATAGTAAAATCACATGGATTTAATTTCATAGTGTTTCCAAGCCAAAAATTTCAAGTTTACAAGTGAATGGTTTGTGACATTCCTTTCAAAATTTAAACAGCATTGTCGAATGGACAGCTATTTCCACTCAGTTGTAAATTTAAAACGTGGAATTCACGGTCAGCTTGAATATGTAAATATTTTCACAAATAAGATACCCATCTGTAATTAAACATGCAAAATTGCGAGAAACAACTTAAAGAACATTAAAGTCTATTCTCAAAGATGAATTGAATCAAAATTTCTTTTATAGAAATTACCACTTGAATGTAAGAAACCTTGAAAACAATTTTGAGAAGTAAAGTTCCTGAATATCATATTGTGGTTGCCTTGGTAGCAAATGTAGCCTTCATTTTTTTTTTCTGAACATGTCTGAACATAATGTCATGTTGCTTAGGATGATGAGGCCGCTCTCAGCAAAACGAGAACAGCGCCCTCTTTTGTTGATTGATGTCAACGACTCATGTAAGGCTTATGTCTTCATCAACTCGCTAAATTATACATGCACATTAAAGTTATGAATGGCTTTCATTCCATTGAAGTCAAAATCTTTTTGAGAGGACATCAACTGGTTTGTACTGGATATTATCCTTGTTCTGTCTGTTCCATAAATGAACCATTATACACAGTTTTAAAGTTAAGAAATTAGAATTGAAGCTAGCCATCTCTGATACGAAATGATGTTTATTTCAATTTCAAAAATTTAAAGCTTTTAGTATTTAAAGATGGCTAGCTTATGCTTTCTGTTGCAAAATACACTTGTCAAAAGTGGCAAATATTTGCCAGCAGTGTTAACCTGAGTTGGAGGTACTCACGAGGCTGTGTATCTCTAGAGGACTTTATACTTGTCAGCTGCTTTTATAAGATGTTCATGAATCTTGGGTTCCCTGGAGTAGTGGCCAGCTGTGAGCATACAAAGCTCTGATTTGGGAAGTCTCTAGAAAGACAATTTACCGGAATTGTGCTATGAAATTCTGTGTTGCTAAAATGATCAAAGATTGATGCATTATGTCCAAAATGCCAAAGTAGGGCAGGGTTCATAGAGATGCTACGCCATCTCAAAAGACTTGTCCATAGTATTTTTTGTTAATTGTTTCTCACCTGATGAAGTTTGAAGGCTGTGTCAGGTGGGCATACAACATCGTAACGCCCTTGAATTATGCTGCATGGAATGTCCTGTAGCTTGTATGCATTGTCCAAGATGTATGTATCTGACTTTAAGAATCCTCTGTTGATCATATAGTGGCTGGAAAATGATACAAATTTGAGACCTTCTTCAAAACAGTAGTATAGTGGATTGATATTGATAATTAAAGTGATACTGTTTTAATAAATATCTCTGACGTCCTGATAGGTGTTAGCGCTCTAGTCCTCAAATTTGGTGACAAAGTAAAATGGCAAATAGCTCTAATCTAAACAGTGAAAAAACAGTCTCAGATGTGGGATGCAACCCCTGAATCACATTCCTGACAATCCTTATGAAGCAACTAAATAAAGCGGAGACTTGAAGCTAGTCAGCATGAAAGATGTTCTGTCGTCATTGTGGGACTTGAACGAAGACCTAATAGCAGATGGATACAGATGGAATTACTCTCCATGCAGAGCTATTAAGACAAGATCAACTCACCACTCAATCATGGCAAACTGTGTCACCCATAGATCATTGGTCACTTTGATGGCTGCCTCTTCGTCGGGGATCAGTTTGGAGACTGAGCACTCCCATAGACTCCAAGCCCTGGCACATGCCATCTTGGCGTCTTCATCATCACCTGTGAGTCTCTTGTAATAGGCTGAGACAAGATCCCCTCGCTCCTCCTTGAAATGAGAGGAGAGATATACGAATTAATTCAAAGGTGACTCAGACAAGCAAAGACATGGACAAACAAACAGATGAACAAAGCTACCAGCTGCAGCGCTCAAAACTTGTTTAATGTTCATTGAAAGAAGCTCATGAATGTGGAGTGATATCATGCATGGCATCTCATCCAGTAAACAGCTAATGTGGTTTCACACAGAAAAAAAGAGAGAGACTGGACCCTACTGCATGACCCTTCAACCAATTGCAACATGACCAAGCATGACTATTACCTCAGGAATGACCGAGATGTAGTTGTCCCAATGATCTGGGAAAAACAAGTTAGCTCCCTCTTGATAAAGCCACTGAACCTCTTTCCTGTGAAGATGCCAAAATGTAAAATAAATTAATGCAAATTCCCAGCTAATTGTTAATAATAACACTGTGTTTAACAAAGGTGCACTTACCACAGGGGGGAGATATAAACTTCACTGACATAACCAGAGTTGCACTATTGCCCTCACTTCTGGTCAATATACATATCATTATATTGCAATATTACACTCACCACTGAAATGCAAAGACGCCCCTAAGGATCATAGCTTTGACCCTCTCGGGGTGTGTCTCTGCATACAAGAGGCACAGTGTTGCTCCCCAACTACCTCCAAATATTACCCATCGGTCGATGTTGAGATGTTCTCTGACCCTCTCAATGTCATCCACTATAAGCCATGAGGTGTTGTTCTGATGGGAGATAACAATGACCGAATGAAAAATAAGACTTGAACCTCAGAGAAGCGGACGTGAAGGATAGGGCGGCAACCAACTCTATGCCTTCAAGCATCTTGTCGGAAAAGTCACATCTCTCAAGCTTTCCACAACAGCAATTTGTTGGTTCTCCTAGATTACTAACCTTTACTTCTGCAGCTGGAGTTGACTTGCCTGCTCCTCGTTGATCAAAGATGACAATTCGGTAGAATTGAGGGTCAAAGTAGCAACGATCAGCAGGGCTGCTCCCACCACCTGGCCCACCATGTCTACAAACAAAGAGCAATCAAAGGGAATATCAATGCATGGGGAATTAATCTCAGGCAAACAATAGGCAAACAATAGGCCTAGCTGTCTACAAGAAACCAATTAATTAATAAACCACTCAACAGTTGCACCATGGAGGATTGTCAAAGTGGTTGTACCAGGGCCCGGACAAAATTCCCTTTCAGCAAAAACTGTTTTCTTGTGAAATTTTCATCAGTGTTATACTGCATTCCTACAGGAAAAATTAGATTTAATCCGACCAACTGTCCTACATGTATGCGTTTTTTGTAAAATAATTGGAAAGAATTGTAAAAATCTATTTTGTTTCGAAACTCACAACTGTCAGGTTTCAATGCATACAGAAAAATCAGGGAGTGGAACCCCCCCCACCCAAATGACAATCACTAAAAGGAGAGAAATTATTTTTCTAATACCAATGACCTATCCATATGCAGTGGTACAATATTAATATGGGGGGACAGGCACAACCTGTACGCAAGCTGCAGTTAGTCATTAATTGGCTTTCCATGCTCAACTGAACAAAACCCCAACGCCAGACGCCCCCACTGCAGCTCTCTAGAAAATTCAGTCATTAAACAGCTGTTAGTGTTAGATTGAGACCGCTGTCAGAGTCCCATGTGAAAAACATAACATGGAGAGCTAGAAAGGACAGCTCCATGATCATAATGATGAATATAATGAGTTTGAGCGCAATCGCTCGATCTTTGCGCAGTCAGTCAAATCATTGCCGAGAACTCCACAATAAGCCTACTGCATTACTTTCCAAATCGCAGGTGTGGACCACTGTTTCGAAAAAGGAGGATCAACAACTGATTGATATCGCACCGATCGACAGATGGCGCCAAACACTACACACGTACACAAACAACACGGGATTTCCGTCTGGTTTGCCACATTGCTCGTAGTACAGCTCATGAATGTCGTCCACTTTCAGCCTGCCTGTGTCGTACGGTTCGATTGGTGGGTAAAATCTCCCCTCCTCTGACATATTCTCATCAAATCCGTCGAAACAATGGATGGTAAATTTCCTCAGACAACACGTAATGAAAAACCTACTGCACATTATCATGTATAATCGATCAATCAGGATCGACCGGTCATGCGCACGGTCGATTAAACGGCTGTTGCCTGTACACCAAATGTCTAGCATGCAACAGTCGTAGGTGATTTGCATTAACTTCAGCCAATCACAAAAAACCATACATTACATCTTGGAATTTTATTTCATTACTTTGAAACACAATTTAACAAAATTATAAATATATACGATGCTAATAAAAACTTTCATGCCAATTTTAAGTCATTAAAGACTTCTCTGGCTCCCCCAAATGGACCACTTTGATTGTGGTTAAATTCAGCAGAGTAATGACTCTCCTCACAGAATCACAGACTTTCCCAACTTGATGGCTGAAGCAGACTGGTCTAGTTCTTGGACTCCTGTGACTATATTTGCATCAATTCGCATGACTGTTTTCAGCAATGCCCACGCACTTTCCCAAGCTGATTTCTTTGTACTAAAACCGTCATACACAGCAAAGCTCGCTGGAGTTGTTTGCCTACAGCTGTAGTTCTCCTTTCCATTTGGAGCTGCTGAATCTGTTCTTGAGTTTAAATTCGAACTGATTTTTAAATGAGACTCATTTGCTTGCTTCTGTCCATCTTTAAAACTGTCACTTTTGCACAAGGGGTCATTATCAGTTTGATCCGGTCTCAACTGGCTACAGTCAGTTTGTTCGGCTTTGCTTTCCAACAACCTGATTCCAGTGGTAACAACTTTGCATGGATTTAGTTGCAGCTCAGACTGGAATGAACTAGACAGAACTGGTTCTAACTGGTCCCTTTCTACTGCATTCATTATCATAGCCTTGGCTAGAGATAAGTCCTCCAACTTTCCCATGTTCTTCAAGACTTGTATCAGGTAGTGAACGAATCCATCAACAAATGCTGACACAATGGTGCTTTTCCAGCAAGACAAGTTGTCATGGTTACTAACAGAGGTAACAGAGTCTGAAAGATACAGATAAACAAGTTTAATAAAGGTCTCATTGGTAATTGAGAATGCATCTAGTCCATTTACCAGCAATTAAGAAAGCAAATCATATTTTAGACTCACTCAGCTATTAAAATCCAGTCAATTTTTGCAATTTCAAAATATTCTGCCTATTTGGATACATAGGTGTGTAAAATCGTCAAATACCATTGGCATTGAGCTGCAGGAGTTGTTTGATGGCTATCTGCTCAGGCAATCCAGCTCCAGGCAGGAAACAGCCGTCTGCTACTGTCGCCTGAAGTCTGTGAGTGCTGGCCCAGAATCTAGCCTCGGATGCAGGAAGAAGGTTCCCAACAGGGTTGCAGAGGACGACAGTCTGTCAAGAAACCAATGAGGAACAGGAGTTTTCATAAGTGGAGAGAGGTTTGAGGTTGGCAGAGATTCAAGGAGACAACAGGAGTAAAGGAAAAATGAGAGTTTGAAAAAAAACAATATTAGAGATGGTAAGATGAGACTGGTTATATCAACGAAGTAGATGATGAGAAATTATAAATCATAAAAATTGTAAAATAATGATGTTGAGAATGATAAGTATTAAAAGAACTAAGATAAATTAGCAATCATTCAAACTATTTCAGAATCAACCTACCTGTAATATCTTCCCATCTACACAAATCCTTACAAACATCTTCCTCTTCAGGTCGGGATCCTTTACCCTGGTCCTCCCTACCCATCCTGACTCCCAGCATTCCACGGTGATACCACAAGCTGTGTCGTCTAGTGTAGCATCAGTGAGGTAGGTGAGTACAGGGGCACTGCATGCTTCCTCCAGAGCTAAGAGGGTCTTGTAAGATACACCTTGAAGAAGAAGGATCTTCTTGGATAGGCAGTGATGAACGAGGTGCTCGTCGGCAAGGCCTTTCAGGATGAGCAATTCAACATCAAGCTGTGAAGATCAAAAACAGCAACATTCTCAAGACCACTGGACATCTTAGACAAACTATGCACAAGACAATGCTATGATTTAACAATTGCAGCTAATCTGATACCTCTTGAATCAGTCGAACTATCTGCGAGAGCCACTCCTTCTCATCTGTTGACGGCCTTCCTGTCCATGTGTTGACCGTCGTCATCTTGACTTTATTCTTGTATCCAGCATGCTTGAAGGATGGCTTAGCATCTCCATTAATAAGCTGAATGGAAATTGGACAGAGAGAAAGTGTTCATAAGAATTACAAATCGACCTCTGTTTATTTCTTTGTTCAACAGTCAAAGGTAGAAGCTAAACGTTTGAGAACTGACAAGAAAAGGTTTCATTATCATAAAGAGATACTTGACATTTTTTTTTTTCATCCATTTTCGTTACCAGTTAACTTCAAATTATACTTCTCCATATAGATTAGAAGGTACTGACAATGCACACCAGCACTATACTTCTGCATTAAAAATCTGCTAGTTATCTGATGTTCATATGAGATCCATCATGGCATTCAAAGATGTTCGTATGTCAGGAAACCTGTGTTGGATAAGACAGATTGTCTCTTACCAGCGCCTTCAGATGTCTTCCTTCAGTTTTTGCAATTATGGGTCTCTGATGATGATCAACAGGTAGCAGCAGACCGTCTTGAAGATGAGAATCCGAGACTGGTGGCCCAGCAATCGTGCACACATTAATGCGCTTCAGGTCTGGCATCCTACAGATGCAACACAAGGTATGGGTTTATGAGAATTTGTACAATTAAGTCACCCTGCTAAGCTATCACAAACAAACATGTACATACCTTGTCGAATCATCCTCTGACCGATTGCCACTGAGTGCCCGAAGAGCCTGAACGACTAATCTCATTTCAAGTTCAGATCCATGACTTAATCCTAGTCTGCAAAGTGAAATTAATGATATTGATCTTTACTAGACAGTAAACATGACAGCAAAATTCAGTTTGTTAAATCAATAAAATAAAAAAAATACTTAAAACTTTGTAACTCTTTTTATTTTAAACTCATTCATTGGAAGTAGGATTTGCATTGATAATTACCCGAGCTGCACAATATTTGGTACTAGCTGTTCACTAGCTTCGTGCACATCTTGCGTACTTGTTGGGGTATTCCTATCAGTCTTGGAGGCTACATGGGAAAGTCTTGCTTCCAGACAGTCACTTCTGAATTTCGAGATCTTCTCAGGCTCATCATTGTCCTCAGGTTCAGTCGATGCAATCTGTGGGTTCAACACCTGACCTGAGGTCAGATCTGTTTCATGCAATACATCCTGTGCACAAGCAGTTTCTACTGTTCTGAAATGCCTGCTGTTGGTTTGGACCCTGAGTAGTCTCATTGCAGCCGTCTCATTGGTTCTGACCTCGACAAGATTTCCAAGTGTTTCGCGTATTTCAGGTGCATTCTCCTGATGGGGTTTAGCCAGAGCACTGCCTGGCAAGTCGCATTTCTTACTTGTAGCAAGCAATATGCTTCCCTGGTTAAAGTTTGTTGCATCTTCGGCCGATAATTGTGAAGGAAATGTGTCATATTTCAATTCACTTTGGCCACCTCTTTCTGAACTTTGTTCATGACCGTTATGCTGCTTTATCACAGTTTCAACACTTCTGAAATGTCGGCTTATATTCTGTACATTGCTCAGTTGCTCTGAGAGCATTTTTTGCTGTTTTGATTGCACAAGGGTTTGGATTGCTTCTGAGATTGCACTGGGACATTTGGATTGAGTCGAAGGAGCCTGAGACTTAACATCTGCACCATTACAAGACAAGCCTGAATTGATTTCTTGGTTACTTGCTGGTATCTGTAGAATTTCTGAAGATTTTTGAAAACTGACATCAAGCTTTTCGTCTAGTAGTTTGCCATTTTTAAATTTTTCTCCTGAACACTTCCAACTAGAAGTCATTTTTTCTGCAGCAAAACATGAGTCAAAGTCATCATCTGAGTCAGCTTGAGGTGGTTTTCCAGTGGACGTTTCTGCTGGAGACCCATGATGAAAGGCAACCTCTTCAATAGGCAAGCACAAGTCAAAGTCGTCATCACTGTCGTGCTGAGCAGGTTTTCCACTGACTTTTTCCAAAGGAAATGTGGAACAGGCATCTAGTTCCTCCACAGGAAAACTAGGATCAAATTCACTACCAATATCACCCCACACCTGTCCACTATTACTTCCTTTGCTTGTTACTTCCTCTGAAATTTGACAACTAGGACTTGATGCCTTCCTTAAAAAAGTGGAATGGAGTTTGTCTCGAGTAAACTGTCTGTCCAGTGCTTCGATTATGTCTTCACAGTCGGCTTTATGATATTCCAAAGAATATTCCCGAGACTGGGAAGTTCCTTCAAAGAACCAAGAAACATCATCATCAGCTTTGACATCAAGTTCCAACTTTCCTGGAGGTCCAGCTGTAGCAAGTTTTGCTCCAGAGTTGAAGTTTTCAGAATAGTCATATTGCTGCTTGCTAAACTGAACTTGTATAAACTGTTGATCTGGATCATCATGATTAGTTGATATATATGTTGGAAAAGAATCAAGTGCCTCTGTTGATATGCCAAGTGCACTGCAGGAGTTGATTCTGAGATCAGGTTTGACTGGATGGGAACTGTGTGGTTTCCCAGTATTTAATTGATCTGTTCTGGCAGACCTTTTGCAAGAAGTATTGGCATGGGGATCAGCACCAAAGAACGTTTCGCTGCCACTGAGCTCAGAATTGTGGGTAGCAATAGCCTCTAAGGTTGATAAGCACTGCTCCAAACACTCATCTCCATGTTGAATAATCGCTGGTGCAGGAACACCCTACAGGGAGAGCATATCACAAAAGAAACACAGGTATAAATAACAGGCTGACTTTGTATGAGACTCTTTATGTCATCATAGACCCTTGTTGTGTATAAATACCTGTGCTAGGAGTGCATGTACCTCTGTTGCCCAAAGGCCTGCCAGTGTTATCATGGTGGTGGTTCCAGTGCCGTGTGATTTGTGGTGGGCTAAACAAGCCTCAACAGCTACACGACCCACTGGATGCTGTAGGAAGAACAGGAGAGAACATCCTAAATTGTTGAAGGAATCAAATTATTATGGAAACTTTGAAAAAAGTTTATGTTTTATCTTTACTAAGACTGTGTGTCTGTGGATTTGCAGTCGGGCTTAGAAAATCTTGGGTGATAAATGTTTCAACAAAATGAAACAAAATTCAACTTCTGAAATTTACATAGTAGTGATAGAAGTGCAAATACATGTAAATTTAACCAGAATTTCCAATATAGTAAAAGGAAGAAACTTGAATCTTGAGAGAAAGTAAAGGTTTCAGAAATGGCAACAGTATAACTCCACACCTCAACATCTAGCTTACACAGAAGCTCTGAACAGCTGGAAATAAGACTACTATCCTCGTCTTCATTTTCAAGGAGGCATTTTATCCTGCAAAAATGAAATACAAGTTTGAATTGCCAGTTAGTGAATTTCACTTTAAATGGTGACTGCACGTAGGCTGCTTTAATTTTAAGAATCCTCAAATTATGATCATAAGTAAAACTTGCAAAACTTTTAACAATAACATGTTTATCCAGCACTTCAGTTGTAGGGCTAGGTGCGTTTTATCTCAATAGTTAAAAGTAACAAAACACCTTCATATGTGAAAAAACACTTAACATAAGGATCATGAGCTGCTTGTTTGGGTAACAGTTATATAGCATAACTACCTTTGATCTGGTCCGAGAAACGATTTGGCAGAAGAACCTGAAATAAAAACAATATAATGAAAAGCCAAGTCTTGGAAGAGAAGAACCTAGCACGAAAAGTAATGAGGAATTATGACTGATTAATGGTTTTACATAAAATGAACCAGTCCAATTTTTTCCAGATAAGGATGGGACAGTATAGGTCTGGTCGAAGTAACCATTGAAAGCAAGGATTCCCCATCAGTTGACGTGACTGATACAACTCCGAATGCGCTCGGTGCAAAAACATTTGATGTGATTCTACCTCCATGATCTTACTGTCTTTCATGACTTTTCAACAAACAACAGTCGACTTTAAAAACACTCACATATCGCAGTCAGTACTTGTAATGAAGACAAATTCGTCATCGTCGTTTGCGTATATTTTACCGTGATTTAACGGCCTTCCTTCACACCCACGGCCACGCTTCATCAGCACATCGAACAGCGAGGATTTTTTGTTTACAGTTAATAACATCCAGCAGTCTGGTCCTCGGCTCAATGGTCTATTTTTGTATTAAACTCTAGCATTCAGAAGAGGTAATAAGACTACGATAATTTTTTGTGAAGTGCGCCCTCAAGAGGCCAATAGTGTTAAGCAAGATGGCGGCGTGCATGCAAGGCATTTGTCAAGTTTTTCCGCGAATATTTCTTAGCAGGAGGTCACTGCATGGGTATTACTTGGCACAAACCTACGCATGGAGAGTTACTGGGAATCGCCAGAAACGTGTCGAGCATATCAAAACGATAAATTTTCTTCCAAGAGACGGCATTTTAAGAAAAACTTTATGCACCGATAAAATTGCAGAGACTCAAATCACACAACGTGACAAGAAGTATGATAAGAGTCACGACAGACTGATAGAACGTCCGACTGTATCAGGTGAAAGTGATATCACAGAGACTTTGCATAGCAATGAACATGACGAGAGAAAAGGAGACATAGCTGCCAGAAAGAAAGAAATTCCTGATTTAAAAGGAAATATTGAAGTCTCTCACAAATCTCTGTACAGTTTGGCAGCAGATCTGAAGTCGACAGTTGAGTCTCAAGAACAGCAAGCACAGAGCCCAGCTTTTTACCGCCGCCGTGTTGAAAGCGAGTTTGGTGGTGATGGCAAGAGGCAAACATTCAAAGGTTACCAAGATAGTAAACATAGCGACATGAATAATCAAGGTCCTGGCCAGTTTGTGGAAACTCCGCCCATTGTTCAGGAAAACCGAAAGATAATAAATGAACCAGCATATTATTATGGATTTGCAGGTTTGAATATTTATATTCCAACAAAATAACAAATAATAAATGTTGAATAGTAAAAGTGCATATAAGAACAAAACCTCTTTAACTTGATGGATAATCAAGTATAAACATGAATTTTTTCAAATTGAAATATCAAGCCCCAAGAAAACACTTCGTTATGTGTAAGTGTGACAAATGAATGTACATGTACTTTCTGTGTTTGCTCACAGGCATTGTGTGTTGCTGTATTGTTTTTTCACTGGCATTCTTCAGAAAAGAACAGGAGGATACCATTGAATTACTCATTGCAAAATCTTGGGTAAGTGTAATCTTGGGATTCATGTAATCAATACATTCTGTGAGTCTCAGTGTCTGCTTAGAGTTTATAATTAAACATCTGTTTGAGTCAATTAGTATTAAGTGTAATGGATTTTGTTCCATTTTCTTTCTTCAAATTATGTAGAAAAGTAATGCATCTTTTCAAAGTGTTTTCCTGTTTGGTGCATTTGTGTTTGTACATGCAGTTTTTGCTTTTCCTCCACATGACAGGATTCGTTTTTATTAGCCACTCAATTTCTTTTGTCATTAGGTTGCAGAAAAAGAAGGCAATTTGGCAGAAGCAGAAGCTCTGTTACACAAAGCTCTTAAGATGGCCCAAGATGATAAGAATACAAGTGCAGTCACCTACATCTTTGATCAGGTGGATTTTAAAGTATTGTGAAACTTTCAATTGGAACCATACCCGACTCATCGCCCATCAAACTTTTCAATCCTTTACACATGTATTTTGTGTAATTTGTTTGCATGCTTGGGAAGCCATGGGCGGAAGTATTAAAAGAAAAGGCTTGTCAGTCCATAATCTATATCTGTTCGCTGTCGCCATTTGCTCACAGTATTGACGTTTTCAATGCTTTAATTTTAACTAACCTTGATTAAACATATTCAGTATTTTATATTTGAAGTTGGCGAATTTATCCATGAGGCATGGCAACCTGACAAAGGCAGAAAATCTCTTCAAGGAGACTCTGAAACTGATGATCTCGTCAGGAACGGCACAAGATGACAGTGCTGTGGTTGAGATTTCCCTCAAATTGGCCAGAATGTTTGATAGGATGAGAAGGTAAGAAGTGAAGCCTTGTTGCTTAGAGCTGAAATTAAAACCGAATAAAGCTTGCCTGGCAAACTTACTTAAACCTGTAATTAGCTGGAAGCATACTTCTTGGACCATCTTGATTTATTGCCTTTTTTGTTCAGCAAAGCTAGTCCCTGGTCTAGAGAGTGTATACTCAATATGAATTGCTTGCCACTAACCAACAATAATGTAAAATTCTGTAAACTCTATTGAAGTCTAGGACTTTTTTTGTGAAGCTATTGGTAGGATGTAATGAGATAAATAATACCACATGTGAAAGAAAAGACAACTTTACATTACGTGGTGCAATGTACATTGCTCACTTCAGTTACTTTGAAATCCTTGTGTCACATTCTGTGTCTCAGGTATGATGATGCAGAGCAAGGTTTCAAATGGTGCATCTCTACCACAGAGAAGAAGTTAGCAGAGGCAAATGATAAGGAGACAACTCGCAACCTGCAGTCGCTACTAGGAATGTGTTTAGATTGCTACGCCAGGCACCTGGCTGCTCATGGCAGATTGCAAGAAGCCAAGGATACCTATAAACGTGCATTGCTCATCTGTGAAGAGAAATTGAAAGTTGATGGAGTGCCACATCCTCAGGTAACATGTTTTTGGTACAGTACAGGAAGATCAAGCTTTGTACATTTATTAAATTTTGGCATAAAATTGTGCATTACTTAAAAGTAACCATAAGGCAATTAGACAAGCCATTAGAAAACGGAAGTTAAGATGGGATGTTCTGAATTTCAAATACATGTTTTTACTTTACAGTTAGGCAGAGACACAAAAGAACGGATCACTACAGATTATCTTCCTTTGAAAAATCTTGGTATGAAAAGTAACCTACTTTATTTTTTATTTTTTTTCCTTGCAGACAGTAATCCTGTTGAACGATTTGGGCACGGTCAATGACCTTGGAGGCAACTACACTGAAGCTATTGAACTCATTCAAAGGGCTGCTGACCTTGCTGAGAAGAGGTCACCTCGTGACCTACCCACAATTCTTTGCAACTTAGCATCTGTCAATATGCATGCAGGTATGAAATGCCTCAGTTAAAACGCATGGTTTCAAAATAACAGTGGAATACTTCCAATGTTATTTTTCCTTAATTTCAGTCTCTCCTTATCTCTTTACTGGTAACTGACTTGATATTAAACATTGACTGATTAGTTGAATCCTTACTTTTTCACCATTTGCCATCATGTCTTTCTTTTTAAAAATGCACCCTTTACTCAAACCATGTGTAATCTCTCCGCAGAGAAATTTGAGGAAGCAAGGAGTTACTACAAGAAAGCTTTATCTCTTGCTGAGAAGCAAGGGGATGCAGCGGCTATATTGGAGATCAAGAACAGCCTGGCTCAGCTAGATACGAACATCTTCCTGAAGCAGCAGAAGGAGGGAAGAAAGAAACAAGAGGCAAAAGTTCTGAATTAATTGTAACCCGGAAGTTAGCTCAGGCACAAATGAGTTTCTTCAAAAGAGAAATGTGCTCGGTCTAGAAAAATTATTTCTGTGCTTCTAGAAATGTCTTTACTGGCCAAAATGAAATTATATCTTTGTATTTGAGTTCCTTTGAAAAGGGTACCTTCCAGGCGGACATGGGTTCTTATATGGAGATGTTAATGAAACAACCTAATAGTTCCGCAAAAGCTAGAAGTTTTCTGGCTCAGCAGTCAGAAAATTTGTCTGCATGGTTAGCATTCTTGTAATTTTTTGGAAGAACATGACAATACTAGACCATGCACAAAATATCTGGGAATAGAATTTTAGAAATATTTAAAATGGCCTAAGCTTTCCCACCTCTTGATTCTGTTTCAAGTTGTTAGCTTCAGAAAAATTGATTATTTATGGAACTAAACGAAAAATGTCTAGCAAAACAGTGATTCTGTTTGGCTGTACGAATTTTAATTGCGTTTAATAGAATTTTAGGGTATGACCATTTTTTTTCAAAGACGTGTTGTTTATATCAAGGGATTGGGAGTAATTTCTCAGCCTTACGTCATTCATGAAAAAGGCTATGGGTTATTCCAAAAATAAATACTCCCATTTGAAAAAAAAAATTCCGTGTTAATTTCGATGTGTTGCGTCATTCTAAAATGTTGTAAACCAGACCCTATAAATTGGATCAAAGTGACTTAGAAAGTTCATTGTTGCTGGCGAATGGAACGCTCTTGCGTATCTTACTTATGCATATCAATTGGGGGCGCTCTTCAAGGTTACCGGTACACGTGAAAAATGGCTGATGCAGGCGAGAAGCTGAGCAAGAGGTGCGTTTATTTCTCTTCTTTTCGGCCAGGTGCTTTCCTTTTACTAAAGGCATGGAGGTTTTTCAACAGATAATGCTTTTCCTCGATACACGTGTTCCTTGTTTTGCAAAATGTTTTGACAGCCGGCCTTGTGTACACCAGAAATATGTGTAGGCGCGGGATAGGGAGTATAGGCAGTTAGGCCTAATAAAGTAGAGCGATTGCATCATGGACATGGGCAGTCCCCCCACGCACACAGTGGCTTTTTTCCTACCTTCATGGTTTATAGCAGGCCTGAGTCTACTTTTTTTTACAGTACAGTCAAACCTCGTCAATACGAAGTCGTTCGGACGTGGCGAATTACCTCATTATAACAGGAACCTTGCCTTGTATTATCAGGAATGAAAACAATGAATAAAGATCATGCATTGACCAAATATTTCTTTGTTAATTAATTAGCAGAATCTTGTAATACCCATTAATAGTGTCCTTAAGACTTACATGTCTTGTAATTATTAATGAGGTTTGACTGTACTACCGAAATTTTTATTACACTGACTACAGTCTGTAGTCGGTGTAATAAAATTTTCTGGCCTGGATAATAATGGCAGACGTGTTCAAGTAATTCACCAGATTGGTGTGTAAGCTTAGGCAGTGCCAAATCCATTTTCTAAGTGTTTAATTTGTAATTTTGTAATGAACGTTCTACCCCCCCCCAGAACTGTGGGGTCTCCATACCCCCAGAACAGGAGCGAGGTGGATGTCGGACTCCACAGTTCTGGGGGTACACGGACGGGCAGACGTTTAACCCCACAGTTTTGGAGGGATGCCCAGTGAAGGTCTTACTACTTGCAGGCATGCAAGAGTGACTCTTTTTTTGCATATTGTAATTTTGTAACTAGTACATGTACTAGTAGTCAGGGGCTTTAGGCCCTGGCGCGGCCAGTAGTTGTATGACTTTATTGAATTCTTGAAGCAGTGGACCTTAACACTGTAATATTGCTTCCTTCAGGCCTGTCATGCCTGTTTTGACTTTCTCTGTTATCAGGGGACCCAGAAAATTTTCCGGGGGGGGGGACAAACCAGAAAGTTTTTAATGTCCCATTTTTGTGGACAAGTGGACACGATGCTAAAACATATATGGCATAAACTGTTTACAGTGGTATTGGTAAAGTTAGTTTAGTTATTTTATTATCCCCCCCTTTTTTTTGCTCAGAATGGGGGGAGGGTTGACCCCCAACCCCTCTTCCTGGATCCGTTCCTGGTCATGGAATAAAAGAAATGCGATAATCATGTTTAGCCGTATGGCACTACCTTAGTCTCTGCCTCACCTCAGTACGTGCACTAAAATAAATCTTCTGGACTCTTTTTGTATCAAACAGTATCAAGCTGAGCAAGTAATGAAAAGGCACGCAAGCCCTATATGACATAGGACTTTCTGCTCAATCGGCACCCAGCTCATGTGGGTTCATGTGGCGTCTAAGCTTGAAATACGGCACCTTCTTATGCCAAAGTCTTGCCAGGCCCAGGCTACCCAACCAAGTCCTAAATTTTGGCGATGTTTGGATTTGGAAGAAAGTGGCAGTAATAAGGTGCAGTTGCTATAGCAGTGGGACGGGCGATGACAGGTTAGTGGAAGATTTGGCTCTTTTCTGTCCAAACCTGTCATGGTCGTTTCAAATAAAGATACCAAATGACATTCACATGATTAATCTGCCCTTTTCTGTTACTATAACAGTGCAATGTGGAAAGCACATTGTTCAAATCACCTGCCATTTCTCACGAAATTTCTCTCATAAAGCGGTGGCGTTTTCATTCCTTGCTTTGCTTAAACTCTTGGAATTGAATATTCATCAGCTGACAATTGTATGAGAAAACAATGCTTTAATTTAATTCTTAGATATTAATTTCACCTATCAGTATTTGTAAGTTTGTGTCCATGCTCATGTTCTATGATTGTAAGTGAAGTGACTTTCAATGGAGTTTGAGTACAGTTGGGTGCAAGGGACCAGATTGGTTTATTATGGGTCACTTCAGTAATTATGTACATTTTTTCATCCTTAAAGACACATGGTACGTGTACCTGCAATGATATTCATTTTACACAAACCAAAGTTTTAAATGTGACAAGAAGTTCAAGCATGAACTCATTCGAACATTTTTTTCTGTACGCTTTCTGCTGTATTTCACCAGCTTTTCTGTTTTCTCTCCAGTGAGTTGAAGAGGCGAGCCAAGGCTGCCAAGAAGGCTGAGGAGAAGGAAGAGAAGGCTCGGGCTGCAGCCGAGAAGCAAGCCCAAGATGGAGCCAAGGCTAGTGCCAAGAAACCAACTGTGGATGAAGAAACACTTGATCCTCGGGTAGGTCCAGGGCTCTAGCAATGACAAGTGGGGGATATTGATAGAGACTTGGTCTAGGAAGCCCAAAGCCCCACCATGGAATTTGGTGCATCTTGTCATGACAACAGTACTAATGATGTCATGTAAGCTATTGTGTAATAGGTCCATCTACAAAGATCATTACGCCATTGGTGGACTTTTCAGCAACAAATGTGGATTGCACAGGGAATATTGGATTTTGATGGAGTTTTTCCTATGCCTAACAAAAGACACGAAGAAGTCAGGGTTAATAAGTGTAGTGCTACTCTGAACAAAAAAACAATGCAACCCTAACTGTGTCTCATAGACCACAGGATGTATCCCAAAATGTTTTGGTGGTCTCCTCTAACCCAGTGTATTTTTCATGTTCCAGGAATACTTTAAGATTCGTTCTCAGATGATCAAAAATTTGAAGGAAGCCAATGATACTCCGTACCCTCACAAGTTCCTTGTCACCATCTCGTTAACGGAGTTTATTGAGAAATATAATCATTTAGAAGCTGGCGAGATACTGAATGGCGAAGTGCACTCAATCTCAGGTACGTATTCTCATTTTTTTGTGCGAGTTACAATTCATAAGGCATGTAAAGAACAGTTTCCTCTTTAAATCTGGTTGCCATGACTTTCTCACTGTTTCTGCTTTTGATTAGGTCGTGTACATGCTAAGAGAGTGTCTGGAGCCAAGTTGATATTCTACGATCTGAGAGCTGAAGGCAAGAAGTTACAGGTTATGTCTAATGCCTCGTAAGTCCCCAAACCATCATAATGGAACAAAGTAGGAAGAAATCAGTTTATTTTGTATCATCTTCAAAAATTTGAGACGATACATATGAGACGATACATGTAGAATTATCTCAGTTCTGAAGTGGAAATGGGGTCTCTGTATTTGATCTTCATTTCATCTTGTCCACTCTAGTAAATTTTCATCAGAAGAGGAGTTCTTCAAGGCAAATGACAAGATCCGTCGGGGCGACATCATTGGTGTCAGAGGGAACCCAGGTATAAAAACCATCATCTGTAATAGTTTCATCTCGCTGTTCTCTTCATGCAGTAATAATTCTGACATCTCATCTAATTTCTGCCACAGGTTATTTCCTGTTACTAAGCAGGTGTCCTGGAACATTCTATTTTCTTCCAGGTAAGACTAAGAAGGGTGAGCTGAGTATCGTCCCCTCTGAGATGTCTCTGCTTTCTCCGTGTCTCCACATGTTGCCTCATCTTCACTTCGGTCTCAAGGACAAGGTATTTCGATGCTTAAAAATAACATTATACCACAGTTATTCTAACCTCTTTGGATATGCAGTTGAAGAACTTCATTGTCTGTACTCGTAATCATTATTGTCACAGTTTGATCTATTAGTGATTATATTGATAGAACAGATATTGGAAACAGCTCATCAGTTGAGATTGCCTGGAATGTGAGTTGCATATTCAGAGGGTCAGACCTTTCTAACCATTTATGTGCTTGTTTTTTTTTTATTAACCCTAACAGCCCTCAGTCCTCCAACAGGTGCAGGATTGAGGAGTGTTAAGGTTAAAGGGAATAAATATGTGCTTGAATTGGTTGGTCTTAAACGTGCATTGAAGACTGGCTTAGGAAAACGGATGTGAGCCATGCCCAAGCCACAGGCGAGGGCATTATCAGCGTTAGTTTAAGACGTTATTTTAAGACTGATCAAGCACATATTTGTTCCCATATACAATCATTTGCAAAAGTTTAAGACCACCTGGAATTTTATTGGTATTTCTATTTCCTTTTCCTGAACACCCCCGTCCATTTTATGGTATATTCCTTTTGCACATTGTCCCAAAGAATCTCCTTTTATGGACTTGGCGCGTGCATAGCGAGCCGCTTGCACACAGACTCTTGACCAATCTGAATCGATTAAACTGTCTCGTATCCAGGTGCCAGCGTATGATTTACGCAGCAGGTGTTATCACTTCTCAGGGGGCATTATCAAATGTTAATACACGGTCAAGTTGCATGTTGTTGAATAGGGAGACTGAGGTATTTATGAATCGGTAATTAATGATGTTTAGTACGTGTTGTTTTTGTCTCTGAAGGAAACTCGTTATAGGCAGCGATACCTTGATCTCATCATGAATGAGTATGTGCAGCAGAAATTTGTAGTCAGGGCCAAGATCATTGCCTATGTCCGCAAGTTTCTAGATGACTTTGGATTTCTAGAGGTAACTGAAATTCTTCCTTTGTCAGTCTGTGCAGTGCAGTGTCAAGTGCACAAAGACTCTTTGACCTACAGCCAGAATCTTAAAGCCTGATTATGTAATACAGTTGTTGCATTTAGAAACCTTATCCATAATAGATTCTTATCAACAGACTTAGATAAAAACGAATTTGAGTAATATGAGGTAGATTTGTTATTAAATGACCAAGAAATTCACTTTTTTTTGTTTAACAAAGCTCTATAAACCTGTGTGCCACGTTTTATATAGAAAGTAGAGCAGTAAAACAAACATTTATACTTCGAAAGGATCCTAAATTGAAAGATTTTATGGATGTTTTTTCATGCCTCAGGTTGAGACGCCGATGATGAACATGATTGCAGGTGGAGCTACTGCCAAACCATTCGTTACTCATCATAACGAACTCAACATGGATTTGTTCATGAGAGTAGCACCGGAATTGTACCACAAGGTAGGAAGTATGGATGAGAAGGAATTGTGAGAACAGCGAAGGTCTTCACATTCAACTCAGAATGCTTCTTGCCATTATGATCCTGTTTGGAACATTCCTTACGTCTTCCAGATGCTGGTTGTCGGCGGCATTCAACGTGTGTATGAAATCGGTCGCCAGTTCCGTAATGAGGGCATTGACCTAACCCATAATCCTGAGTTTACGACCTGCGAGTTCTACATGGCCTATGCTGACTACAATGACTTAATGGAAATCACCGAGGCAATGCTCTCAGGTAAGTCGCTATGTCGGCAATCTCTTTGGAAATGCGACTTAACTGTTTCCCCATCGTGGGTTGCCTGAATCTTCAGGCAGCTAAAGCAATGTTCAAGGCTTAACTAGGATTGCCTTTTTAATGTAGATAATGGATAGAGTTGATATGAAATTCAACAATAGACTTCTTAAATCACCCCCAAGTCAAGGAATAATATTTTATCACCTTTTCTGAGTTATTTTTAATCGATTTAGAACATAAAATCTGTCAGTTGGCTTCATTTGCATATTGACAGACAATGTTTTGCCAAAGGAGATAAGAACACAAGTACCCCAAGTCCAGGCAGATTTGAGGAGACTGTACACCGCTTTGTATTGTTTAATCAACTATTTCAATTATTCCAATCGCTGAGATTAGTATCTGTATTTTTCTCTTCATCCTTCCACACTTAGGCATGGTCAAGTGTATCACAGGTGGTTCTCTGAAAGTCACTTACCACCCTGATGGTCCAGAGGGAGAGGCAAAGGAGATTGACTTCACTCCTCCATTCAGAAGAATACACATGATAGAGGACCTGAAGAAATTACTTCAGGTGGACTTCCCCCCTATGGATCAGCTCGACACTCCTGGTCAGTGAATCATATGACGTGATCGTTTGGTGTTGGAATTGGCTTTGGAATGAAGAATGACAGAATAAATTTCCCATTTGTTATCGTTGAGATTTGTTATTTTACAGAGGCCCAGAAGTTTTTTGATGACCTGTGTGTGAAGAAGGGAGTTGAGTGTTCCTCTCCAAGAACCACAGCTAGACTCCTGGATAAGGTGAGAGGTGAACTGCTTCGGGATAAACTATGTTTCTTACGTTTCTTAAAATGCTAGTTTTTGTTTTTGCCCTCCTACCCTTCATAAGAATCCAGAGTGTTGAATTATTGAAAGAGACACGTTACTTCTAGGGAAATTTCTTGAATACTCGTCATGGGGGAGAACACCTGTTCTTATTTGCTCTGCATATATTGACCCAACATGCGCCTTATTTGTGCACTCAAGAACACCCTGTAGTGCATGGATTTTGTATTTTATAAGACAGATTGCATAATCTTCACTTTCACTGTTGTTAAAATGCTGTGGTTTTCTTGATTTTTCTCAAAGCAGTGAATTCAAAACATGAAACAAGTCAATTAATTACCCTCCTTAAAATCGGCCAGTCTTGTAAAATTAGAGTAAAAGTGTGTATTGTATTTTTAAGGTTGACTTTGCAAAACCGTTAATATTGTGAGTTTTAAGTGTTTGTTTATCAGATATTGGATGGTCTACACAGATCTTTAGTTGAAATTGAAAAGGTCAGACAGTATGCAGTGTCGACTTTCTTTTGTCTAAAGTTTTAGTACCAACCCCCCCCCCAATTCAGAGTTGTTTGCCTTAGTCACTTGTAATTGTTTTCTGATATTTTGAACTCTGCTTGTCTTTGACCCATTTTGAATAAGCTGCTTTTCCATTAAATGTCAGGAAGAAACCATCTTTTTTTTTCAGCTGTAAAGTACAAGTACTCTTCTTTTTCCTATGGTTATAAAGCTGGTCGGGGAGTTTTTGGAGACACAGTGCATCAACCCAACCTTCATCATCGATCATCCAGAAATAATGAGTCCTCTGTCCAAGTGGTAAGCCTTTTTCAATGATTTCCCTGGTGGGTTTTGCAGCCATTTTCACAAATGGGCCCACCTTTTTCGAAATTTCCCCCTTGCATTCCTGCCACTACTAAAAAAAAAACAGCAGGCTTTGGTCGCGATCAAGGAAGACAAATTTGTTGACATTGCAGGTTTGTTGACCTACTCTGGGGAGTTTCTAATCCCACGCTTTCTCCATGAACACTTTGCTAATGAAAACGGCTCCATTATTCTGATTCGTTTTTTCGTCAAGTGTTGATGCAGTTTTCTTGTCCTCCTCTATTCGCACAGGCTCTTCTCATAATTGAATAATTTGTCTGACCTTTGGATTTTTCATTTACTCTTCTGCACTGTACATATTACTTCTCTAGCCACTTTTATGGATATTGAGTAGAAATTTCGGCCCAGAATTTTTTTTTCTTTCTTTGAAAGTTTTCTTCAAATGGATGAGACCAGGTTGTGGAAGGAGTGCTTTAATTTAATTTGAAGCATGTGTACTTAGAATTTGTGTGTCAGCCTCAAGGATCCTAAGTGTATCCCACAGCTGCCGCCACCACAAGCCGAGAGAGGAAACTCTTAATGAGCAGCCGTAACGCAATTTCTTGGGTCCATGCCACATGAAGTTATTGGCACTTTAAGTCATATCTTCAGGCTTATGACAAAGGTTGTAAAGGAACCAAGTAAAGTTTAGATACTTGTACAAATTTGCCTAAAGGAGTTGTGCTAAAAAGGTTTTCGTCTTTCCTTGGGACTGTTAAAGAAGATGAAACCTTGCTTTATTACAGCTATACTTTCATTTTCATAAACTCTTTCATTTTGACAAACAGGCATCGGACTAAGAAGGGTCTGACTGAACGATTTGAGCTGTTTGTCATGCAGAAGGAAATCTGCAATGCTTACACAGAGTTGAACGACCCTCTAGTTCAACGGGAACGATTCGCTCTTCAGGCAAAGGTACCAATAATTATCAAAATAGATGTTCACTTTATGACACTGTGTGTCCAAAAGGAGAGAATTCTTTCAAGTATGTTGTTTTTGTCTCTTGTTTTAGGACAAAGCGGCAGGTGATGAGGAAGCACAAATGATTGATGAGAATTTCTGCACGGCCTTGGAGTATGGTCTTCCGCCCACTGGTGGGTGGGGCATGGGTATTGACCGACTGACCATGTTCCTTACAGACTCCAACAACATCAAGGTAAAGCTTGAACAGTTACAGAATGCTTCTGTGTCATTTCTAACCCAAACAGTGTCGTTGTTTTGATTTTTTTTAAGAGAGCAGCGGATTAATCTGGAGGGTGAGCGATAAATCAATGGAATCTGTTTTGTCCTGAACTTTTCTTCTCCAGGAGGTCCTGTTCTTTCCTGCCATGAAGCCAGAAGACAACAAACCAACAGATGACCAGCCAGCAACCTCCTAACGATGACCTGTGACATTCAGGTCAAACATTTGGCCAGTGTTCCTGCTGTGTGCTTCAACTGGAATGAACAACATTTTGGCAGAAGGGAAGTAAAGACAGGTGGTTCTGACCTCTGACATCCAGGTCGTAGGTTATAACCTTTCAATTTTCCTCAGGTATGTGTCATTAATTTGATCTCCATCATCTGTTTGGAAGCCCTGTCCTTGGGGAAGGGTTTGTTTTTGGCACAATAGGGAAACTGGACGTCAGTGTTTTAAAAGAATGTTCATTGATTAAGTATTTAACCGTGAATTAATCTTAATTGTGTGTAGAAATGTTTTACTTGAATGTAGGATCAGAGGTCAAGCAAAATACGAAACAGGCTACGCCTACCCGGAAGTCATTTATCAAGTCACACAATATGTTCAAAAGCTTTGTTCTGTTGATATTTTATTCCATTAAGATGCTAACATTACATTGTCAAAAAAACCTGTAAATGCCAACTCGGCTTGGTTTCTCACAAATGCTGTTTGAATGTACTACACAAAAATATCTTCTGTAATCTGTAAAATAGACTGACATACAATATATAAGTTATAATACAAGCATCTTGGATGGGGAGTTTCGGACTTTGGCTAGGCAAAACTGAGAGTATATATCTTTTTGAAAAGCAAAGATGTACGCAAATTGCAACTTTGCACAAACATAATTAAGAATACATTTCTTCCTCACAGCCACCGTCGTTGTCAACGGAAAATTAAAATTAAGTGTTTGAATTACCCACGGTTCAGTTTGCCCCTAAAAGCTGACAGCAGGAGCACGGTGAAGTCGTCAAAATCCTCTTTTTTGAAAATCCTGAACTCATAGGAATATTTCTGATTTGTGCATTTCTGTCCTGCTTCATGAGGAAATGTCCTAAAGTCGTATCAAAATTTTGGGGCATTGTGGTTGGAAAGGGGAACATGAGTACAATCACAGTCACTGCTTACTTTCAGAATTGGGGAATTAGCTTGAGTAAGCAGGTGTAATTCCTAACACCTGTTTGCCTAATGTGATAAAAACAGCAGTCAGTACAACCTACATGTACATCCAGTGAAGCAAACACATGTACCGGGTAGTATAAAGGTTGTCAAGTTCACGGACGTAAGCCTTAGGGTTGTCATTTCATTATTTCCCACAGTTCCTTTTAAATGTTCACCTCTTAGTTATTCGAGAAAACATGACGTTTGGTATTTTTGTACTACAAATACCAAACTTATAATATGTTTTCATTATTTTGCGGTACCAACACCAATTTTTCAGACCCATGTCAAAAACTGAATAAATATGACATGGAGAAAATAAACATTCGTTCAGTTTCGTTTATTATTTATTTTTGGTTTGCTCTGTTATCATCACTGTAAATCTTTATACTGGCGATCAGACATTTTAACGAAATATATTCTTTCCATGTTTTTGTTTCCTGTTTTAAAGACTTCTGTCTAGTTCTTGGTTTACTCATCAGGTGGTTTTGTTCTTAAGAAGGGCTGTTGCCACGCGCAGCATCGACCGTTTTGTGATCTGATCTGAAAGAAACTTCGTATCTTAGTAACACCACAATCACAAAGCATGCTTAAAACTACAGGGTTGGAATTTAGAAGTTACACCGTCACTTTTACTCTGAAATAAATGGATGTATTTCAGTGATCTTGACAAATTGACACATATCTAAACTCAAAAGTTTGAAGATGTTGCTTTCACTAACACGCTTTCACGTAAAAACAAACAAGAAAACCCAGTTACATATAAATACATTTACCGTTCTGAATTGATACGGAAAATGTGATTTAATTTATCGACAGAATACGTAACTACTCGGACGTAGATATATGTACTTGCTTAATATGCTAATGTATTAACGTGCGAAGAAAACTAAGTTGGATAAGATGATGGACGGATGTAGGTCAGCTACAAAAGGGACAGAAGTTTTCACTGTTTATCCCACTTACCCCCGGGCAAGCTTTACTTTAAACACCGTTGTTCATTAATCGTCCATTTCCTTATATATTGAAATGTATACGGGACGATAGTCCCAAATTCATATGCCGTCTTCTTCATGTAACCTCTAACGCTTCCCCTTCTTGCGCATTAGCCACGCCCCTAGGGTTATACCTCCTCCTGTGGTCCTCGGGCCATGTGATCTTGTCCATGGGAACGCGCATGAGCAGTTTGCTCTCGCTGGTTACCAGGAGGAATAATCCCGCTGTAATGCAGAAGGGGAAAGCAATTTCCGGAAGTCCGGCTGGCATTAGAACAGCCGACATGGCGCCTTTGACAGCTGCCGCAAATATTGCTGTTGAAAGAAGGATATCCCGAAATCAATCGCGTTAAAGCTACGGACGGGCCCACATTAAATGTTAGGCTTAATGATTACTGTTTTCATGTTCTAGCTTAATATTTCTTAATTTAATTGATTTCCAAATGTGATGTATGGGTATAGGCCTATTGTAGCTTTTATGATAGATTTTGCTTATCAGTCATTGTAAGCGTAAAATGTGCGCATAAATGAAAGTTAAATCAGTTTCCTCCCTCTCTAAATTCCTAGTGTTTCCTTTCGATCAGTTAAATTCCTTATTCCTTTGTATTGATTAAGGAACAATCCATTTTTGTCTGAGCGATAATTGTCTTTCGGAGTAAAGGTTGCGTGAATTTATACAAGTCTAGTATCATCTTTTCATTCAGAGCAAACTCGTCAATCTTCATTGCCCAACACTGCTTTCATGGTTACATGTTTGTTCCATAACGACACTTCACGACTCTCTTGCCATAAATACATGTACACCGGTAGTAATCTCGCTTTATTAAATGTAATAATTTGTGAAAGTTGTGAGAATATCCAAAGATTTGTAACCGAGAAGTAACTCACCTGAAAAGAGAGCAGTCAGGTGAGAGGGCCAGTTCAGAACAAAGAAGAAACCTCCGACTGATGCGCAGGTAAGTACTGAGTTGTAGCCCCATAGTCCTGCGTAGATGTCGCTGAGCGGCGCTGCCATGGCTAAGCCTGTCGTTGAAGAATAAGCACACCGAGATCTCGTTTCACACCACGAAAAATAGGCCTACCGGGAACCTTGGTGTTTTGTTTGTTTGTTTGTTGGGGTGTTGGGGTTGTATGTTTTTTTGGGGGGGGGGGTATGTCGCAAGTGGTATGAAATACGAGCCACATAGACCCAAGCCAATGCGTTTACGGCACCCACCAAGGCACCACGTTGTATTTCGATAGGCCTGTAGCAACCACATTAGGGTTCATATATAATTACTGTTGTTGTAATATCAGGTATCGATGTACTGACAACGTGAACAGCACTTGCGTGATAGGCCTAACTGGGAATTTACAGTGAAGAGAAATTCTAACAAAATTCTGTGCTGCATTTTCATGGTAAAACTATGTATGAAAGCTATGAACTTGTAAAGGTTCAGAGCTTTGGTGGTAAATTCATGTTTGTGACTTTTGTAGTCAACATATTAACTCATGATAATGGCTAACTAACGAAGTGCACCCGGGACCCGAATCGAATTGTTCTAACTGGGCCATATTTCGATGCCCTTTCATCACACTGCATTATACGGTACCTGTTAGAGCGCCGAGTATGGAGCCGATTACTCCGTGTAGGAATATGATCGGTGAGCAGATGAGCATAGCCAGCGCCATCAGACAACCTGTTATCAAATTATCACAGCCATAGCACTGACCAATGCCCACTGGGATGGCTTGAAGAATCTACAGACAAGAAATATGAGAAATAACCGGGAGATATGCACACGGTTAATTTAAGTATGAAATTAGAGTTTTAAAAACCCCATTTCTTATTTTGAGGTGAACACTAAAATGCCCGAAAGACGTCAGTTCCGAGTGACGTATTTGGCAAAATAATGGTGTTAAAAGTCAAAGGTCACTAGTGACGTTATTGTCTCCAATTTAATTATTTCACAATTAATGAATGCTAATTTAAGTTTTTTGAAGATTGCACCCTTTTGTTTTTAACACATCCAATTTAAGAGCTGACCCTGTTTCCTGAGCACATTTGATAATAATGATTATGTATTTATAATGCGCAGATTCCACAAAATGTTTTCAGGTGCGCAGTATAAAACTACGCAAATTAAATATAACCACGTGGATTGCAAGGCAGCGCACTAGCTGCTGTATCGTTTGAATGAAATTTTTATATGGAGAGGCTTTTCTGCATTTTCTTTATTTCATTAAATTGGAAGGGAATTCAGTTCAGAAGCTACTATTAGATTACAGCAAAAGGCTGAATCGGAGTAGTCCCTTGTGTAAAAGCACAAGCTTGCCGTATGTTTTCTAGACATGACGACAATTTATTTTCAGGGTTGAACATAATTATATTGCTGATTGCGACAGCATTTTGGAATCAAGCTTGTTTTTGTTTCTGAAATCCAATTTTACCAAAATAATCAAATTTGAAAAGAATCGTCATTGACAGCGTGAGCGAGTACAGCACGGACTGAGCGCAATTGGCATATTGAATAAATACACACAGTTTCCTGTACATGTACACCTTTGCTCTCAGTAGTAACGATCAATATTCCCTTCTATGAAAGGTCAGTTTAGATGTTCATAAATTTAAAGTGGTTTGGGAATCTGTCCTGAGGGACTCGACAGTTATCTTAGCATGCTCACGAGGCAAGTATGTACAAAAACAGTGGTCAAAATTAATCTGTGGTCAGTGGTCGGAAATCATGATTAATTTAATTGTATGTTAAAATTTGACGAATCCCACAGAAATAAGGACAGGAATATTTACAAGGAAAAGGGCAGGGTATTGCAGTATTTGAAAAAAAGGTCTATAAATAAGTTAAGAATCCTTAGATAGGCCTTCATAACATTGTATAAAATTTATATGCCTTGTTTGTAGGTTGACAAATTAATGTAATAATCGCGATGCGGTGTGTAAATGTACAGGCGGTATCAAATTAAGGAAAATATTAATTGTTTGTTTGCCAAGACATGGAGAGAAGATAAAACCTGGCTACAAGGACATGGATTGTTGTGATTGCGTGTATGATATCAGAGCAACGCCGTCAAGTGAACCGTTTGCGAGCAGCAGTGATCATACGCCACACATACGCGGTCGAAAGCTTTTCGTTGGCCACTCATCAGTAAACGGTACTGTAAGCATTCGTGACGTCATGCACACAGACATTAGTGCCAATGCTGATAACAGGCGTAGGATGCGCTGTCTTGGATAAGGTTCCAAGAGAGGCGTTTAATGACTTGTCCAAGTTGTGATTTTGCGCGTAGGACTGATTGGGAATGCCGCTATTGAACGTGACATTTTTGTGAAGCCTTTACCCTTCCTGTACTCTCTGAATTGCAAACAGCATCAATTAAGTGGCTAAGTAGTTTTCGAGTATTTCCATTTTTAGTGTACATTGTCAGCGATTTTAGAGACAGTCATTGTAAAGTGGCGTATCCATTGTTCCCATATGGGAACTGTGCAACATTCCTGGTTCCATGCATTGGGGGAATGAAACTGGGATTTGTTTATGAGAAGAAACAGTGGCTGGAACAAAGGTTCTCAAGGTGGCTCTGGTGTTCTATGGAAAACCGTGATTTATTGTGATATTCTGCATTTCTGTTATTTATCAGATTAAGTTTCACGTGTTACCAACTCAGTTTAAATTGAACGGGTCGTGTCTTGCATGTGTCATAAAAACATACGGTGTCGGAGCCTTCTGTGAATGGAAGTAAGACGCGTTGTGAAATAAGCCTTGTGCGAGATAAATTTCAATAAAATCTGGTACACTGAGTTCTTTAAATTCACGTGAACAACGATTTTGAATACTCCATACTAACGACACTGTTGCTATACATGTACCTCGTGAATCGGGCAGCTTTTGCTTAGTTACGTAAGAGACCACGCTTTTCAATGGATCAGAAGGGTACAAATGAACCAGTCCATTCCAGAGATGGTGGTCGCTATGCAAAAGCTTCCCGAATCACAAGGTATAGCAACAATGTCTTTAGTCTGGAAAATTCAAATTGTTATGGTTTTTGTGCAGTCAGATAACTCAGTGTACGAGATTTTATTCAAATTTATCTCGCAGAAAGCTTATTAAAAGCAGAGCATAAATTGTTTGGTAAGCTGTACAGCTCCTGTGAACCCAAACATCCGTACAGCACTCAAAGAATAATCTTGCCGTGAAGGACACTAAGATAAAGTCTTCCTTTTTTTTTTGGTAATTTTTGCTTCGTTCTATTCTAACAGTTCGCACATGCTTTGCCAATTGCACTTGCGCAAACGCTGTACTCTTTAACCGATTATCATAATATGGACGCCCACTCTGTAAAAATATTACTTTGTTAGTGTTTCTCGACAGTTAACGTCAACATGGCTTTAATAGAATGTGAAAGCAGGTTCAATATTTACCGAGTGTACAGCCAACGCGTTGTGACAAGAGAGAGGCTGTTTATCATGTGCCAAATTTAGTATCAATTTCCATGAAGTATTACTGATCAGCATCCTCATGTACACAATAAAGGTACGGGTCGTGCAAACAAATAGCCCTGACGTTAATGTTGGGTTCCCAAGCGAAATGCACTGGGTCTGTTTGCAAGAAGATTAATGATTTATCTACCTTTATGGCCGTATTGTTTGACATATCATTGTCGATTTGTCCGCGAGGCGTGTATTCTTCGGTCCCTCTGTCTGAACCGTGAGCGTGTAGTCTAGTGCATTGTTTGTTTATGTTAGTTTTCATGTTATTCATTACGAAGCTCTTGGAGTTTTTGGACATATGTGTAGATATTAATGGTCATTATAGAAATATTACATAACTACATTTATAAAAAAAAATGTGACCATTGGATTGTGAATAACATTCATTTGCTTTGACCATTGAGTTGCCATTTGTATTGGATTGCGTACTATACAAAATGAATAATACCGAATAGCCATTGACATGATTTATGGTAATACAACTTTTTGGGAAATGTAATTGATGCACTGTATTTGGCTGTTTTGTGCTGGGTATATTTGAGCAGAGGTTTGATTGAATTATCAGCTGATGTCATTTCTGTATGACAAGGTTGTTTTTACTTTGCGCTGACACTTTGCAATAATGAAGGCGAAACTTAAGTTAACAGGAGACGATTTCACTCACCAGGACCCAGCTGATGGGTTCGCCCGTGTCATTAGCGGTCGTCTGGTCCAGCCTCGCCACATCTGCCGCTTTGAGGTCCGTGGCAGATGGGGCAGGACCAAAGTATGGATTTTCCGGACCCGAAGCAGCCACAAAGATGAAAGTTGCCATGTTAAAGGGGAGATTGAAGGCGGGTAAACCCCACTTGCCGAGTAGGTTGCCCAGTGCGCTGGCCAGGATTGCACTACGTACAGTGACACAAAAAACAAAGTTGTAAAGTCGGGCTGTGCCCTTAGCACTTTAAAGTGAAAAATGTAGGTTTTTTGTACATCATACGTCATGCACGTTTTTTTTTCATTGGACAACTATAAACTCTAACAGTCCCCAGTCCTCCAATTTCAATGTGATTTTACATACACCCTTGTGGTTAGGGTCAAAGTTTAGCAGGCTGAGATTATCTGAGAAAAAATCGTAAGCACCTCAACTGTGAACCTGTAACGAAAATATTGTTGCTGTTTGCCCGTGTAGGAGAATTTTAACATTTGTAATACAATGTAACCATGTTTTTAAATTTAAATCACAAGGAAGTACTTATAATTTTGGCGAATAAAAGATGTGGAAAAGATTAAGCGGCATTTGTCACTTTGTCAAGCATTTGAAAATGTCCACTTCCCTTAACGGATATGATTTCTGTCGATGCATACATCGCTGTGATCCAAATTAAGTCGAGTGGCTTTTAGTTAGCTTTGCCAGGCTAAGGAATTGAAGCAAGGCGGTGGATCGATTGGACGAGAATGGAAAAAACACGCCATGATAGGACCACGACTGTTATACTCTACTGAAGTGCTATTTGTTTAATTGGTCACAAGAAGGAAATGCACTGGAGACAGTCAGTAAAGTCGATTGGGGAATAACGTCGCTTTTACGGTATCAGTCGGACGCTTGCTCTTCGAACAAAGTGAAGGTTTAATGCTATTACATAAATTAAAGTTGAAATTTGGTATGAGTGGTTTTGTTTGCTTTTCATTTACTGGTTTATTTTATGTTACTTTTTAGGCATTTTAAATTTAGTTTTTCATATTTTATCGGCCGTCTTGTGTAGGACAAGATTTTGGTTGTACAAAATATCGGTTTTGTGGACCTATCATGGAGTTGGTTTTGAGAGAGGCACTGTTCACTGGAGGGATCACTGCATGGGATTTCAAGTGTTGGAAACATGACGTAGAATAACTACACGCAACAATATCACAGCAACAGACAAGACGTGCTGCAAAGAGCCAACAGTTATAACACCAACATCACTCAGCGCCAGCGTGCAGAATGAGCGTCTACAATGGAAAATAGAGAAAAAGTAAAGCTGCAGCAAGATACGAAAACAGCAGCATGTACTGTAGTGTGACGCAGATGATAGAGCAGGCATTTGCAACTATACGCTTTAGAATTTGCGGCAGTATTTCGAAGCCGTAACCAAAGCAGGATTTTCAAGCCATTACAGAATGCGTTTGTTGGCGGGAGCAGCAACAGAAGGCAGTATAGAGTTTACAGTTGTATCAAAATCTGAGAAAATGTATACAGCAACACGACACCAGCATCAATCTACCTGAATATTGAAGAGAAAATGATCGGTAAGAGAAGCAATCCATGCCACTCAGTGACCCTGGTGAGTGCTGGTATAACTAAACCCGTCAATAAGCCTTGGAATGCCACTCCACCGCTATCCACAGCTCCCTTGGGTTGCCTCATCGCTACTGCTGTCAGTTGGGCTACAAATAAGCCAAGGATCCCGCAACAAGCCTGCCAGGGACTCTGCACAAACAGCCCTACCATAATGATCAACCCGCTGATGGGATTGTTGAGGAAGATGGGTTGCCCAAAGGCTCGGCAGCAGGCGTTGACAAAACATAGCGGGTATGGCTTCCGGGCTAGCCACCGCTCCAAAGGCTTGATAGTCCCGGTGAAATAGTCCGCTAAGCTGCACAGTCGTGTCAGCAGGGTCTTTTCTCTGACCGGGTTCGATTGGTTTTCGGCATCTCGATCTGTCATTCCAGTTTCCATCGAAAAGGAATGGCAAGTTTATTTCGCACGTTGTCAAGCAATCCAGTGTTTGACCTGAAGAAAAGAAACGGAGTCTTTTAAACCACATTGAAGAGAAGGTGAAATACAGCCTTTTGCACCGTTAAGACAAAGAACCCGTGAACAAACCGTTTCTGTCTGACAAAGCTGCCATCCCCTCTTACCAGAGATAGGTTCTTGTTAATACCATGCCAGCAAAGCAGTCGTTGACGGATGTCGATAGTGGCTCTTTCATACACACAGTTTGGACTAACTCCGTCAACAGAATGATTTCATGTGCTTGGAAACGGGGAGAGGATATTTTGTGAAGAGAATTCGCGCAACCATAACTGTTTCTGTTGTAAACTGGCCTTGCAACAAATGTGAATCGCTTTTTTTTCATCTTTTGCGAATTGTTACATACCAAATACAAGTTTGAGATTGGAGTGCCCCAGATTTTGACGGATCCAAACCATAGATAAATGACACATGATTTACCATATGTGTCGATAAAAACGTAGCACTGCCAAGTGTGACTGTCATCTTAAACATTATGAGATTTTTGTATGTATGTCTATTGCAACCGAATCTATTACATTACAATCACAGTTGAGATAAAAGGAGTTCTGCTCACCTTCAAGATGAGGCTAACAGCGAAAACGATAACAATCCTTATAATCCATCTCGCCTAGTATTCACTGAGAAACACGACGCCACTCCTGTCGTTAATTGTGTGAAGCCTTTTGAGGACAAGGATTCATGCTGACGTCGCTTTCCTCCCTGATGGCGGCAAGTCCTTGGAGACTGGAAAGACTACGAACCGGCCGGATATTACGGAGCGATGTACCTTCTTAGCTCGTCACAGAGTGAGTGGTTTCCTTTTACGTGCTCCGTTGGCGTCTTTTGGCGATATTTTTATGTCGTCTCTCACGAACAGCCAAAGCTGCTCCAGCTTACATTATTCTGCATGTCGGCATGGATGCAATTTGAAGACGAGCGATTTTTGATCCGGAACAAAACCCAATCTGTTTGGAAACAGAGCACAGTGCAAGCTGAGTGCGGTGTACTCCGTAGCTCGACCGTTTGCAGTGTTCATATCGGATGTAATTTGTTCCATGAACGCCAAAGGAAGCACATGTATGTCTCAACTGAGGCAATACATAAAAGGATGGAACAATTTTACCTTACTGGCTGTGCATGGCTTATATCAACTCTCATCAGTGTCTTCGAAAAGCCGGCTAAACGGCAGGTGAAAACAAAGCGAACCTTGGTGTCCTACCTCCAGTCGGATTCGTTGACAGCTGCTTTGCTTTAGCTGTTGCAAAATTGTCCTTGTGTCTGTTGTATTCTTCCAATTTGCTCTAATCCAGTGTTTGCGATCACGAACCCTTACAGGAAACCGTCTGTTGTGAAGTCTAACTGCAAATTTGGCTGTGGAGCTTTATATAGCAGTTCCTGTATTTCACGGCCGTTACATCTCATCTTTCACTGGACGCATGCCCCGTTCGTCACTCATTCTCGTAATCTCTCATGCACCCCTTGTGCTAGTAGTGGTGTTGTTAATTGGGGCACTCCGTGCAATTTCACCATGGCTACGGTCTCTCTAAATTGATTTTCAGGTGTTATGAAGGGCGATGATTTGTGGCACGGCCCGACTGGGACCCACTACTACTGAAGTCATTCGTTAAAAGCTTGAACCGTATCTTCAGCGGAAATTGCTGAGGTGAAACGGCAAAATGAATACGGATGCAAGACTACAGCCACAGCGTCGATTTACTGTGTCGCCGTCACCAACGACTAGTGAACACAAACATCATGAATAGCGGTCTCCAGTTGCCATGCCTGTGGTGGTAATGAGGGAAATATTTTGATTTTCATTCACCACAGGGAGGACACATGCCTGGTGTTTGCGTTTATTACACGGAGCGCAAATCATCCTGGGGTGCCTCTTTATACAGAGATGACACCGACATTGATAGGTTATCAGGAAATGAAAATTGGCGTTGCTTTGGCTTAGGACTGGCAGATGGACGAGGCCAAACTCAGCTCTTGATATCTGCTTGATGATTAACATGGAAAAGGAGTTAGTTTTCCCTTATTGGGGCAAGCAAAGGACATATGCATTGAGGAGGGAACGCGCCCTCATGTGTCCAAAAACATCAGTTGACGCCAGTAGCACCCTGTGGAAAAGCTTTCCGAAATTGGGTTGAGTGTATGGAAGTTGGCCTAGCGAAACTCAAGGGCAAATTAGCCATGGTAACCTATGCACAATATATCCTGAGTACCAGGGAAAATCGACTTCGCTTGACTAATTATCACTACATCGAACTTCGCCATAATTGATGCACATCAGTTAGGACAGCCCATTAGAGTGGCACAGAGGGGACGAATCAAACGCATATCGCGACAGATTGTCTCGATATTTGCGCTGTTTCCACGCAGAGTCAGTTATAGACTCAAGATGAGTACTTAATCTTATTTACTTGCAAAGCATATTCATTGCATTAGGTATTGGATGACTTGAAGTAGTCCCGTAAAAGAAATATATTATAAAGTTTATCTCATTGGTTCTCAACAGAATTCCTCGCTGCAGCAGCCAGTTTCACTGAAGCTTCCTCTCCTCATACGGCTGATTTGATAAGCCACCTGCTCAATATTCCTACTTCCTTGCCTAGGTATCTAATCGTGTTATCCGATTGAATCGTTCAGTAGGCCCCCTAACGCCGCTTGTAACGTGCATTCGTGCAATTTGAATCCGAGTCTCGACACTGGCGTCTCAATTATGATTCCCTTTTTGCGGTACCTCTAGTTTTCTGACCTGAGTATTTGACTTCGTAAAAAGAATTCAGAATGCTTTAACAAAAACAATACGGCAAAGACAAACGCCCAGGGGATCAGTCGGGGTGTTGGTTAATGCACGATAAGTGTTCAGACGCCAGGAAATCATAAAAGGATGGATATGACGTCACAGTGCTTAAATATTGTGCACATCCACCAAGGCTACCACCGGAAAACTTAAATTTTACACTGTCTTTCTTTAGCCCTTCTGCCCGATTGAATAATAACCAAACAGGATTGAACACGTTTGAATGCCTTTGTCATGGGCTTCGATTGTCAAGCAGCGATCAGTGCAAATCCTCAGCTAACTTGGCCAATATTGGGCCGACTCACATTAGATTATCATGTCCTTTTTCAAAAGCTTGTTTTCTCACAAGGGCAGTCTGTGATGTTTTCCTTTCAACTTAGTTCCACGGGGCTAGTTGACCACCGAGCCGTATTTGAATGCAAGTTTACACGCACAAGGACTGGTTTTCATCAGCGGTTGAACGTTATAACAGACATTCCATGTAATAATGTCGCCCTTTTTTGCAGACAAGTGGGGAGGAATCATAGTTAAGTCTGGATTCCGTGGCGACCAAGGTCGATTTAAGTTTAGAAGACGCCTGGAGATACAGATCAGAAGTGCGCCGACCACTCAGCTGTATTAATTAATGCGCGCCTAATGCAAGGTCACACGTAGGCCCGTCCAATGGCAGAATTTGGTTGAACCTCACAATCAACAAACGTGGTAATTCTGTCATAATTTTGACGAGCGATAAGGAAGATGTTTTACGTCAGGTACATACACGACTACATTTCTGCTGTCAATATTAATTTCCGTAAGTTGACGTTGATGCTGACTGGTTTTCATGTGGTATTAACGGGTTTTGAACTGATTGAACTTGCACGAACTGGTTTTCGGTTGTCTAACTGATGTGAATCGGTTTCCAATTGGTAGGAACTGACTTGTAATGTTTATTAAATGGTTTTAACTATTTTGTGACTTGTGTCAAATTGTCAAGCGTCCAGTTGGTTTTTGCACAAAATGAATAAATTAAGACAGGTGGCGTATTACTTCAGTACATTTATTACATATTAATACTTCTACCCTATTTCGTAACCAATAACAAGAAACACAAATCCAACACTGTACATTTCAATGTAATCAAGCATCCCTCCAATTAGCAACTGTTGACTATTTGGGGGTCATTCTGACCACGGCACAGTAATTCACTATTTGGAACGTTATTTTAGGGAAATACACCGGAACCGGTATTTACAAGCCCCCTCCCGAAGGATATAGGAACATGTGAATTTGTGTAAAAGAATTGAGTTGTTAGTGAATTTATTTGCCCGCAATTTATTTGATAAAGTAGAGGTGTCTGTCTTTCATCCTGAGGAATTTGCTAGAGTAGACGTTGTGAGTTGATTGGTTCATATGTACGATAGTGAGAAACTTGCATGTTGCTTTCATGTTGTAGATGTAATAATGACATCTACGGCAGTCTCGTGCTCTTGGTACCATTACTTATGCTTCCATCCCATCTCGCATGATTTTATTCATGGTCTATCGCGCTGCTTTTGGATATACAGTTGATCGAGCGGAATGATATCAGCGGGGTGAGACAGCTGCTGAAAGACGAACATTGTGTAGATGTGATAGATTACGATGACCTTGGCCAATCAGCATTGATCATTGCTATTGATCTCGACTCCTGTGGTGAGTCTGGAGCTTGTTTCACAACATAAAGTGTCCAAGATTTGGTAGTTTTCAGTCATAAATTTTGGAAAAGGGGGAATCGTTTCACTCAGTAAATATGCATGTGGTGTCTTTGACATGTTACATGTCAGTGCGTGTATTCCTCAAGAGATTTCTCTACCTGCACGTTTTTATCGTTTTTGTTTTAATTCTCACCGTATAGTTTACGATACGTCTCGTGGTCTAGTGATTCGTTCCGTTTGTGGTATTGATGCTTGGTTTCTGTCGGTACTTGACATATTTTGTTCAGTCGTAGGCCTACTTTCATTTTTGAACAAAAAGTAGTGGAAAATCTTCTCTCCCAAAGGCATTGTAAACTCAACCTATTTTCAGTTAGGAAGACGCAGAGTGGTCGCTAGAGAGATAGCGCTATTGCATGTACTTGTACATATTGGTTCTTCCAGATATGATTGATTGTTTACTGCGGTGGGGATTAGATCCTGGTGACGCGTTGTTTCACGCCATAGAAACACACAATACGACGGCAGTCCAAACAATGTGTGATAGCCTGCCAGAGATGGTAAAATGCAGATGAATGCAAATTAAATACAACATGCTACCCTAGACTTGTGTCGATCAGTTCTCAAAGTTTTGGGTCTCTGGAGACAGAAGAATGGCAGTAATCATGTTGGACTCACAAAGCCAATAATCATGAAAGGGGCATTATAACAGGCGCTTGTACCCACCAGAAAAAACACTGTTTTTTACCGCAAGTTTCAAAAGTCGTTTTTTTGTAATAGAGGCATTGTCTGTTTAGCATGCCAATGAAAAACGAGCAATTGGCCATGTGATGAGTTGAACTGGAAAGAAAGTTTCGGCCTACGAATTGATAAATGAATAAATATGGATTAATCATTGTTCAAGTCAGTCCAAGTCCCATGACAAGACCAGTTATCAGCAGGTGAACTATTAAAAAAGAATGCTTTTGTCACAATACCCAATGACTTGTGGACTTGTTGGCTTCTGGTGGACGCGACTACAACACTGGGATAAATATACCAAGCGCTTTGGTACTTGTGGAGAGTGTCAATCCTGACAAAAGCCACTTTTTTCTATTTCAAAATGTTTCTCATATTTCCAATCCTGGGTGTCATCGTGTCTTAGAAGCCTATAAGGTGGGTTCTTATAATCTTGTCTTTCAAATATTATTTAGTCATTCCAATTCTCAATATCTATAATGAATTCCTACCAGTCTCTTGTAGCTCTCACTGTTAAATTTTCAACTGATTCTTTCTTCAAGCTTGGTCTTAAGCCAAGCTCTTTCTGAGCGTTTTGCCTCTTGTGATGGTAATGCAAAATTGTACAATTGTTGAGCGCGGTATCGCAGCGTTCCTGCGTAACATTGTCCGTGTTAAGTAATCGTTTTATGTGAAATCACCAAACGCAATAATGGGATCCTCAGCCTGTAGACCATCCCCTAACAAGCCTTAAGTTGTTGCATTGCAAACAACTGCCTACTGCATTGAGCGTCGACATCTTGACCAGCCAGATTAACTCTGCATCAGCTGCTGTTTTGCTTTAATATTTCGTAATAACGGTCAGGTTGTCTCAACTATCTTGGCAGCATGAACTCCAATGTGTTGGTGTGGTTGGTTGTTTTGTGTTCGTCCCCTGGGAACGCAATCATTCGTACTGAGTAGTGAGTATTTCTCGATATTCATGTTAAATATTACGGTCATCATCTCATCCACTGCATTACGACCTTTTGTGAATCAGGTCACGTACCTCAGGATTTAGTAATTCTGCTGGTGACTATGGCCTACCAAAAAAGGAAGCGTAGTGTGATGAAGCATTGGAAACAGGAGTATATCAAGCTTGGTGTCCTTGTTTAGTATCTTTAGTGAGGCTGAATACTGATTGAAAACTCATTTAATACGCTCGATTTCTTGAAACTTTGTGCTTTTCACTCAATCATCCTTGCAAGTTAAGAGGTTTTGCATGTTTTCTTTTTCTGCATGCGAGGTGTCAGTCTGAACTTACACCTGTTAATACTAAAATCCTCTTGTGGAAAGTGTAGAAGACAATGATCTGTTCAGCATTGTTTTATCATCATCAGACATTCTCTTCTGAAACTGATTCTTTCCTCCCTTTTTCAGTCGTATTCCGTTACCCTTTACGCTGGACGAGGTATGTACTCTTGATGTTGTGAAGGTTACCAAGAAACTGTTTTGAGTTTATTTGATTGCGCGGTCTTTCTACTTTGACTTGACCGTCATTCTAATTTGAATTGTCAATTTGCCTTTATTCTTTTTATCTCACTTGGTTTGGATTGATTTTGATTGACTTGTTGACTTAATTGACTTGGTTTTAAGTCATGGTGTTGATAGTGTTCTGGATTTTAGAGCTGTTACAGGGAGCAACTTGGCACTTAAACCTTCACATGAAAACGCCATACAGGTTACAGTCCCCTTGGCACAGGACACGACCAAATTTGGTTTATTCATTCTTGATTACAAAAAATAAGGTACCCAACTCATGAAAGTTACAGGTGTAATGACCAAACTACATGCAAGCTATACATGTCACTAGAAGAACAAAAGGACTTTTTACACAATATCCCTGTATCGTAAAAGCTACTACAAAACCGTTTAATAACCTGAAAAAAGGTATAAAACCGTTCAATTCATTACATCAATATAAAAGCAAACTTTCGACTGTGAACCTTAGACATGTCAATATAAGATTTATAAAATGAACTTTAAAGGTGGGTAAAGCAGTTAAATGTAATTAGAAATTTTCCGACTGACAATAGACAAGAGTTTCGTAAATAGAACGTAAAATGTTTTGTAGTATCCAATGTCTGACCGTGTTCCCATTTTTACTCACGGAAGTCGGTCTCTCCTCAACTAGTCAATAGTCAATAGTCTATTCTAGTCAATAGTGGGAAGCTGCAGTGTTCATAATCCTGCAATATTGTGGGGTTCCTGTTTTTGTTTACAGTGCCGTATTGGGCATTTATGGTCCACAGCGCAGTGGGCCATCCTTAATAGTGATGCTGAAGGAGGAGTCGAAATCGTGGAGAATGAGCCGAGTGAATTTGGCCGTTACACCTTTAAGATCTTCCGTGCAGACAGGTGAAGCTACAAGCTTCGTATCGTTTTTGATGTCACTTTTTAATTTTCACATGAATAAGAACTGACGGCTTGGATCGGGCTATTGTATTAGTTGATGAAACACCAGAACTAAGGTGGCACCCAATGAAATCTGAATTTGTAGATGTCACAGGATGGCGCCACACAAGCTTAGCGTACCTTGAAATCGATGGGCGTCTGCATGTAGTAAGGATCAAAGTATCTCATTAGTCGAAGATAACTTTTAAAGAGGCGCCTTCCTCGGAGCAAGACGCCACCGTAGCTATCGTATCAAATTCTGTTCACTGATTTAGGTCAGTGTTTACACCTTCATTCCATTGAAGAGAAGATTTGAGGTGACTTTATATTTCAGTTTATGTGTTACAGCTGTCAAGATTGTTATTTGACAAAGTGGAAAGGTATGTGAATAATTTGCCCGAACCAGAGCAATGAAGCCTTGCTCGTTGTCAATGCGCATTCTAACGTTTCACACCAGCCCATTTCCGTTCCTTATTTGCTCAATTGTGATACAGTGAAACGACCATGTACAATGCGTCATGTTTTTCGATTCGCAATGTCATTTTGGAGTGGTTTTTGCCCCTTTCGCGGTAACCAGATGGAAACTAGGACCGTCCGACAGACATGTGCTTAATGCCAGCGAATATCACCCGTCATTTTGTGTGTGTCTCTTTTCAGTAAAATTCCAAACACCATCAGGTTGCTTGCACCAAAAGGATCTCTGTTTTTTATGGAAAAGTCATGGAATGACTTTCCCCAAGTGAAGACCGAAGTTGGCGTAAGTATTCGAAAACGTTCGTCCCAACGAGGACTAGGAACCAAAAGGTTTCCTTTGGTATTCTGTTTCCCTAATAACTGCCAATTTGAATAAAAATTTGATGTTAATATCATTAATTTCAATTCATTTCAGCAGAGGTCTGGTGGAAAAAAGTCGCGTTTCTGAACAAACAAACAAACAAACCTATTTGTCTCTAAAAGCACTTATTTCCTTTCCAGACAGGTGACAATAACAGTCTGTTGTTTCATTGATTGCATGGTAATCAAGACAATCGTTTTCAATCAGCCAGTGCTGGTGGAAAGTTTGGAAATTATACCCCTTATTGTGTTTACATAAAACAGGTGGAAAAGTCTCCCTTTAAGGTAAGTGCATAAAGAGTGATGACGTCATAACTACGATGAAAACACATTTCTTTTCTTTTATTTTCCACTCGTCTAGAGCCCGTACATGAAAGAAACGTTTCACATTAAAACCTTTTCACGGTATGTAGAAGCGGATGACTGCCAACAGGATAACGTAAGCAGTGTCGATTATTTTCATTACATTGGAAACGCTCGTGTGGATATTTTTGGCAGAAAAACTCCGATCTGTCAGCATAAAGTCTTTACAATTAGGAGCCAAAAAAGCATTTTGTGTTGCTAGACGCTGCAAACCGGTATTATACCAAGCCTTATAGGATTTTAGACGATCTTTGAAAGTTGGACAAAGTTTCCTGTGAACTACACGTGTAGTCTTTTTGACACGGTCGATCCATTATAGTTTTATCTTTGTGTCCTCTGATTAATTTCACCACCGATGTGTACCAATTTTTCTGCCACCGTTAGATTTTTGACGGCATTTACTCTGGCAGTAGAACAGTAATTCCTGTGGACATAGTAAATGACAAAATAAATCCAAAGGTAAGTTGTAACTTCCAGTTTTCAGACAAAATAGATGCCCCTTTCAGTTGGAGTTATAATTCCCTCAAAACATAACAAAGCAACCAAACACAAACAAAGCAACTTGGACAAAAAAAGAACCTAACTTCAGTGATAACTGTAAAACTGCATGAAACCCCTGGGCCGTCTTTGTTGATATGAAGGTGTCAGAGTCACCAAACGGGTAGTTCTTGGCGTAGCTTACATCAAAGAGGATAATGACAGCTGGCGTTCTATGGGCGCCCAGCAATGAAGTTTGGTTCAATGTGGCTTTTTTGTTGTTTCTGTTTGAAGAGGTAGAAGCCAATCCCCTCAACTCGTAAGTGACGTCATTTTTCTCATCTACTCACAGTGTCCAATGCACTGATACCTTTGTTTTTCAGGAGTACCGAGAAGACGAAGATCCTTCAAAATGTCACAGAGGAAAATTGAATGTCAATCCTGACTGGAAGGTATAGTGTAAATCGGTAACCAGAAAGATCCAATTTGGTATTTTAAAAGAGCAACGTCAAGGTCCTCTCAACACAAAACGGTTTATGTCATTGGTTTAGCATTCAGATTTCTCATTTTTGCTGGTGTTAACTACTGTATTGTTAAAAAATGCCGTTGAACTGTCCATTTGCAGACTTCAGAAGTTCGCGTGTGTGTCTACAAGTTGGTGGAATTGGAATTCGTATGGCACGACATAAATAGTGTGGAGGGTTTGATACAGAAGGTATTGAAAACTTCTCACTTTTAAGTCGCCTCAGTCCTTAGATTCCCACAAAGTAAAGCTCTGTTGAGATTGTAGAGAAGTCAATCACTGTTCATATCAAACGTAGGGCCGGTAGTACTTTTATTCGGTTTTTATTATTCTTTTCTCGATAATTTTTATTTTATTTCTCCACACAATACAAAAGTTGGCTTTGTTGAAAAGTTACATCTGATGTTTTGAGTGGAAATTTGAAACCTGAATCTGTTTTTTCAAGAGTCACAGCCTACAGGTGAATTGCTCATTATTGGACCTTTTGAACGCCGTGTTTGTGGAATGATTTGGAACATTTCAGTTGGTCTTTCTCTGTTGTAGGCTGCAACACAATATTTCAGGCAGCTTCATCGTCAGATGTTCTGCTGGGCTGACAAGTGGATCGACCTGTCCATGAAGGATATCCGTGCATTTGAATATAAAGTGCAGCAAGATCTGATGAAGGTAAAAATTGAACCGATTTCAATCTGGAAACCTTCGACAAGTGGCAATGAAGATTGTATACTGCAAAAATGTGAGATGTGGTAATTATTAATAGTGCAATTTTCTCTTGTTTCTCGTATTTCGGATAATAACACACTTATGCAATTATTACCAAAAGTCGAATTAAAGGTGAAAATGTGCAGATTAGCGCAAACTTCAAGGTACAAGCGTTTTATCGTGGAGGTTACAGCGTCTTTTTGATAACTGCCCCAAAATATTACATCCATTCGCCAGAAAATACCGGTGAAGGATAGCGCTATGTCATAACGTTACTCACAAATTGCTGGTTTTTGTACCATATACGGCCGTTCCCTTTAGCTAATAATATGGAACATCGTGCAGCGTCTATAGCAAACACTTGGTTATATTAATTGGATCACTTGTGCTAATGGTTGGCAGTTGGTCATTTCATTGACAGAAAAGATCCCAAGGAGAAGTGATGGGTTGAGTAAGCCAAAGAATGTGATAAATCTACAGCATCAACCAGGAGCGACTGGAGCATGAATAGGAAATCCTTCATTGTCATCAACGTTGATGGTTTATCCTGTGGCACATTGTCTTGTATGCTTAGATACAGGAGACAGAAGGAGTAGCTATCTATTTTCTAATCATTCACTTCCAACGAAAACCGGTAGGCCCTACATAGATCTTGGTTGCATTGCTGCAATACGCAGTAATATTCATGAGAACAGGTTGAGCTGAATATTCACTTTTTCTGTAAGTTCATCTGGTTATGAGCAATAATGCGCAAGTTTATTAATATGTGGTGTATTAACCGTTTGGAATCTCGTCTGTGGTCGCCTTTTAATGCACTATGTAATAAATATTTTACTACAACCTGAAAATTGCACGTTTGTGTTTAATTGACTTTATTTTCAATTTGATCATTTTCAATCAACTCTCTCCATAAGTTCTTCACAATTTTAGTTATAGTGCGATTTTGACCTAAAGTGGAATGATTATTAAATGTAAACAATTACCAACTTCTTTGAACTCTTCCTAGTGTTTGCTAATTATGTTCTCGACTCTGCCATTTAAACCATGTCCCATTTTCTGTAGCTGGAGGCACTGGCCACCTTGAGCAGAAGCATCCCCGCCTTGGTCGATGCGACCGTGACGTGCGCTCTTCCTAGTCGTTCGGGAACCAGCGAAGTTCATTTCCGACCAAAGGAGTCTCTTGCTAAGGAAACAGGTCCAGCCGGAGGCCCGTAGCCCTATTAGGGCCGTTTCCAATACTCAACTTCGGCTCCGTCTCAGGCTTCAACTGTTTTTTGTTTTTTTTGCTACCTGACTTTGAAGCTGTAAGCGCAGTAATCAGTCTAATAGTGCCACAGAACATCAAATAAGATGCAAGAGAGCAAAAACTTACTGTAATCCAATTCGATTTGAACGCTTCAGGCCCATAGTCGGGAATTGGTTTCGGGGACGAAGCCTGAGATGTTCTGCTGGACATACCAGTGGATTTACATGTCTATGGAGGATATCCGTGCATTTGAACATAAACTGAAGGAAGACCTGAACAAGGTTAAATGGAACTGCTTACCTTCTGGTAACTTATGCCATAATAGTGAAGATTGCCATATGGTAGGCATGGGCGTAAATCCCGGGGGATGGGGGTATATATCACTCGAGTTTTTGAGGGGGAGAGGTGGGCTATTGAATCATCCCCACACACATTTTGTGGTGTTGGCAAAATCAAAGCAGATTGTGAAGAGTTTTTTGGACTTCCCAACGACTGAGTGCATTCAATAGCACTTAAAAAGGAGGTAAGACAAGTATCTCTTTAACACTCTCCAAAATTCTGTAGAAACAAACGTTTTAGTGACTGGATGTCTTACCTATACACAGATATCTTAGGCCTATGGCTATTTTGCCTCTAGCGACAGATTATGGAACATGGTTTACATTATGATTATGATAGATTATAATAGAAAATGCTTGGTTATTTAATTGGATTACCACATTATGATTAAATGGTTATTTCATTGACAGAAAAGATCCAAAGGAGAAGCGATTGGAATGAGAGAGCAATAGGATGTGGGATCTCCAGTACCCACCAGAAGCGACTGCAACAGGAGTAATATACTTTGTTGTCAAGGATGTCAAATTAAACACGTTGAAAGTACGATATACAGGGCACAGTACCAATAGCTATGTTGAGAGAGAACAGGCTTCAGCGTTAAAATCAATATTGTTTGTTACATGTAATTTGTTAGTCTGGTCAACGTAATTAGCATTAAATCAGCAGAATCGGTGAAACGCTGTCTAGAAGAGGAGTGCAAATTCTGTTCGATTACAGTTACTGTAATCCAGTTTAGTAAAATGTTGGTTGTTACAAAATGCAAGCTACTATTGATAACATTTCTTTGCAATATTTCATGACATGACTCCCGTAATTTGTATTTCTTGACACTGATAATTGTTCTTTAATATAACATTCATGGCCAATGGCTGACATTCGTAGAGATGGTTTACTATGCCCTGTGTGATATCAATAGCACCACTTTCATGACAAGGGTTGTAGTCATCTAGAATCTCGTCTGGGGACGCCTTTAAGGAATTTTAAATCAATGCCTAACGTAGTCTTGCACTGGCGTAGCTAGGATTTTACTAGTGGGGCATCAACATCTTATGGGGGGGGGCACCAACTTTCAGTGGTGTGGTTTTTGGGGCGAGTTTCTGTAAGCCTTTTTTGTAGCGGGGAAAGGCACCTGGGAGGGAGCACTGGGAATTTGTGGGGGGAGTGCCCCCAGGCCCTCCCTTGGCTACGCCGCTGTAGTCTTGTCGTTGAGCCACACTTAAAACACTAAACAAATGCAGGCTATTGCCAGATTTTTTCGAGGAGGCACGCGGGAGTTCAAGCCCCGAATAAGGGAGCGTATCCTCACCCTGCCCCTATTTAGTTATGCCAGTGTCACGAACACAAGTAGCATGACTGATTATTTGCTTAATATTTATAAATTATGCAGCAATGGAAGACAGTCCTCAAATTGACATTCCTTTAAAGTGGACCACGCTTGTTTTGTTTGTCAACACCTGTCGTGGCAGTAGCTGGTGGCGTCAGGGATACATCAAGTGCCAAAGGCTTTAATGGTAAGGATAATCTAAAATTTTTATCTTTACTTGATCTTCGTTCTTTCTCTGGAATCACCTTCCTTTAAAACTGTCCATCAAAAATTTTGATGGTAGGCCTATAATCTAAGAAAATGTAGACTTAATTATCAATAGTCACAGGCAATGTGAGTAATGTGGTATTTACAGCGGTTATAACGCTCTCAGGCGGTAGAAGGGTATTTTTGTTTGTCGAATAAAGAAAACGTGAACGTGATAGGTTTGTTACATGTTATTGATCTTGACAACTCTATTAACGGATACTACTTCAAACGTCGTTCTTTACGGATCATTCTGCAGATGTTGATGGTACAATTTCAATCGCGCGTAGAACTTCACTGAATGTAGGGTTGTTGTGACTTAGCCGAGACCAAGTTTTAATAGACCAGGACGTCATACTTGGGTAAAATTCGTGTTTAAGAGGCAGTCACTTGTTTTCAGGTCGACAACATGAGATTACACATTGTGTGAAAGCTACCAAGGTCGATGTAATTACTGCCATGCCTCCAATTGTCACAAAGACAGGCTCGTATGCCCCTGTGAGGTCATGAATCCATCCTGTATGGAAACAAAAATAACAGATCGTGGGAAAAATGATGTGACTTAAATTTGTAGTTATACAACGCACATATCAAGCACAAGTGCTGCATTATCACCCCCGTGCATCTCATCAGGCCCATCAATATATTTCTCTCCTCCCTTGGGAGTGGAGATGAATCTGTTGACCGTGGTAACGCTATCACATGGTCAGTAGCAGGGGCCCCGTCAATGGCGGTAAGTGTTGCGATTACTTTTGCACTTATAGCCACTTTTCTGCCATTGTAAAAGACCATTGGTAACTTTCAAGAAAACGCTGGATTTGTATAATACTAATATTTAACACAACATCTATTCCTGTTCTCGGGGTATACCCAGCATGAGATGTGGCAAAGGGGAACTTCTCCCCTACGTGATGCATAAGTTAGATTATTGTACCTACTGCCAAGTACTCTTTGCCACATATCGTACTTCATGGGATTGATCCAGGATACAGAGAAGTGAAAAAGGTTATTACTAAAGACAAGTTATGAAGGCGTCGGCGTGTGATCGATGTAACGTACCACAACGAGTAGTAGAGGACCACTTGCTTCAAACTACCAGTTGTTTTGAAAGATTTTCAAAACCATTTATGCCTGCATGTCCCGGATTTAGTCTGCATGGAAACTATTTAGCAAAATCCTAGAACTAGGATAGCTACCTACCAGCGAGCACTCCCCCAGCGAGTTCGCCAGCAGACAAAGATACGAATAACCAACTAAAAGCTGAAAGGTGCTGGTCCCCGGTAACTTCACGCACAAGCACGAACATCATCGGGTACAAGATTCCCATAGCAAACCCAGCTATTGTGCACAGAAATGCTAGGGCGAAATAGGATTGCACTACTAGCGGGTTGGTGAGGGTAGACGCCGCGAACACCAGGCTCGATATCACAAAAAGAGTCGAAGATTTGATTAGACCGTAGTCAACCAAAGGGCCATGAACGGAACGTCCCACAAGGGAGCCAATGCCCCCGAATGTTGCAAGAACCGCGGAGGGCACTTCGCCAAATCCAAGCTCTATGCCTTGAGGAATTACAAATAAGTGCCAACTGCTAAAGAGGGCGCCACACAAGATAGTCACAAGCTGATAAACGAGGAACATATCTTGGGTGAGTATATTTGTGTCGAATCGTTCATGCACAATATTCAACATTTTCTTTGTCAGACTACCTCCACATTTAACATCTCGTTTGCCTTCTTCCTTTGAAGTTATTGACGTGTTATCTGTGTCAGTTTGATTCGGCAGCACACTATAGAATGTCGGACACGACACTCTTCGTGGTCGAAACAGAGCACCACATACAGTATAGTTGAAAGAAAATGCCCCCAACAGGCAGAGAGCTGCCCTCCATCCGTAAACTGACACAATATATTCCGTTACTGGTGGGAGTATCATCATTCCAAGAGGCCCTCCGGAAAGGGAAACGCCGTTTGCTGCAGCAAAGTTGTCTGGAAAATAGTCCATAACGGCTTTAGCAGAGGCCAACTGCGTTGCAGCCTGCCCAATACCTGTTATTAAAAGGAAGAAAGTTTTCCTTTGTAGTTTCAATAAACATTAACTGAGACTAAATCTGAGGAACTTTTCAAAACGCTAAAGTAGGTTTTACCCTTAAAGGAGCCAGGAAATAGAAATATTTTCATAAATTTTACTAAAAACCCTTGAAATGGCATCTTTGGGTTTCAATTAACCTTGGTTTAAATTTTTGTGTTGCAATTTTAACCCATATTTTGATGCTTTTTTGTTTTTATGCTAATACATATTTGCATACTCAGCAGAACTATGGTGTTATCCAAGGCACTGAATGTTGCACTGATTTGTGCACAGAAAAATTTGAGATTCTTTAAACACTGCTTTGGCAGATTTCATTTTCTTTGGCAATTTATTGCCAAAAAAAATATCTTGAAAATAGTTCGCAGTACCCGCTGCTTCATTTGACTCGGACCGACCAACCGATCCCGGCAAGCTCGGCGGTCGAGTGGTTAAGACATCTGCACTAGTAAGCAGGAGGTCGTGGGTTCGAGTCCGACCCGCGTAAACTTGTGAGATTTTTTTCGCAAGCTGTCGGACAAGCACTGAGCTTTCCGGGAATAGTCGAACTTTTCCGAACTTATTCTGTCCGTATTGAATTCAGTTTCACGTCAACACTTTTCGAGATAGTATCTGGAAAAAGTTTTTTGCAAGTGGCCCTTATACGCTTCCGTATTATGGTAACACGATTTTGTGAAGGAGCGATTTCATAGCACTTGGTGGATTCATACTGCAAACCTAATTGAAAAATAACTATTACTATAATCAGTTCTTCGCATAAGTCATTTTCAGGGACAACTTACTTGACAAAGCAAACAAGAACCCCAGAAGGAGAATAGAGGGTGAAAATGACGCCGCCATCAAACAAAAAGCAGCCATTGCTCCTCCAACCATGGTGATCATTCGTGGACCCAGCATTGGCATGAAGGCTCCAACCAATGGCACTAAGGTTGAAAACGGACAATGCACTTCTCCACTATACTGACAATTTAATTGAGCTACTGAAGCGTACATGACTGTGTGGTACAGCTGCAACTTGAACCAAACCGTAGCAGATGGTATGTAACATAATACTACCCCCAAAAAGCAAATACATGCATCCAATACAAGCATAATGTTCATGTAAGCACAATGGAAATGTGTGCATGTGTAGTTTTACTGTTGGCCTACTGCTCCCACGTAAAGGCAAGTTGCAAGCGGTGGTTTCAGGTAAAGGATAAATTTGTAATGGCACCGCTTTGATCGCGCTGCCACTGAATTGGCCTTTAATTGGTGCAAGGGATTAATGAAAAATGAATTGAAACTTCCAACTTTGATCGTGACATATTTATATACTCTGAACCCCCAGATTGCTTTGAACTGTAATATTTTGTGGACATGGAAAGGCTCAACTTGGTCAGCATATCATCAGGTTTGCATTTTTTTTCTACAGTTGATCGATGTTAAGGATATGATCTCTCATAAAGCGACTAAAATCTTCTTACTCAAAAGGACATCCTATCTTCAGTGATTCGTGTAGGTTCTTAGGCAGGGGTTTTTAGGATTTTATAAATATACGCACCTGAAATGGCGCCTAGTCCGATCGACATACTGCAGACGAAACCAGCACTCGTAGTGGTGGTGGATAATTCATCTACCCAAAGTGGAATGAACACTGCTAACGCTTTGTATGTTCCCAGAGCAATAAATGCCCAGTATGTTCGGGCTAGCAACACGATCCATCGCCGAGGCAGTGTCATTATGTTGTCGTTACTAGAGTGGCATATTTCCCATTATATACTCCAGTTGTTTGAAGTTAGACGTGTCGAGTAAAATGGGGACACCCAGCCTGCAGCCCGACCGTTGCCGCACGTTCATTCGACCGTAACACTTTACGGTGGAAAGCTTGCGGTAGCACCATGTAAGGATACGATCTCTTTGTGAGTCCGTATGGTTCTGAAAAGAACCGCGAGACTCAACGTTTCGGACAGTATGCTTTGTCCGTCGTCAGGAGACTGAAGAGGTGCCTACATAGAGTGGGGCTTATAAGCTGACTGGGAGCACTGGAGTGTGACGGATCCTTTCGTGTAGTCAGGTAGAACAAGGATGCAGCTGGTGGATCCACCTGGGTATTGATGCATGTCAGTTGGTCATGGGCTGTGGTGGGGGAAGGTTGCCTGGGTATAGGAGACCCATGGGCGAGGGGGCTAGGGTATAGAGGACCCATTGGACCGGGAGGTGAGCAGGGGCTGCCATATGTCATTGATGGAGAAGCCGATGTCTTGAGGCACGGTGGGGTGTTTGGAGATTTCCAAGGCTTCTATAATGCGTCTTGGGTACCACTGTTCGATGCTAGCGATGAGGTGGGTTTTTTCCCAGTTGATGGTGTGGTCTTGGGCGTGGGGATGCTTGATGATGGCTGACTTTTCATAGTCCCCCTTCCTGCCATGGGCTTTGTGTTCTTTGATCTTGGTAGGGAGGTCCCTACCAGTCTCTCCGATGTACACTGCCACACTGGCAGGGGATCTTGTATACATGCATGGTCGGCGGTGTGGATCTTGCCTGTCCTTATGGGAAGTCAGAATCCGTGGATCATGAGGGAACTGTGTGGAACACCTTGATGTGGTGCTTGCTCAGGATACGCTGGAGGTAGTGGGAGGTATGTCCTAGGTAGGGGAGAGTGACAGAACTAGGGGCCTTATCTAGTTGGCTTTGGGTATAGGAGACCCTTCAGCCGGGAGGGGGACTTGATCTTGGGTCTTGAGTCTTGATCTGCTTGGGCTGGTATCCGTTGCGTTGGAGTGCCGTGGAGATGTGGTGGAGTTCCTTGTGTAGGTGCTCTTGGTCGCAGATGTCGTAGGCTCGGCGGATAAGGGCTCTGTTGACCTATGACTTGATTTTGGGGTGGTGGAGGGAGGCACTGTTTAGGTACCGGTTGGTGTGGGTGGGCTTGCGACACTTTAGTTAAAATGAAACAGCTCCAAGTAATACAATATACTGATTATTTATTTGTAGAAATCGCGGGAGTTTTTAGTTATCGGGTTATTTAATAAGTGTAAAGAGTAATTTAAGATTCCGAAGAATCTAATTAGCCGCAGTACTGAGTAGAAGTGATTGGCCATTGTATGCCATCCGCCTATTTTTGTTTGTCGTTCGCTGCAAAATAATTCATTTTAGTGTAGGCCTAATCAGTTTCATATCATTGTAGTTTTTAAATGCTATGTGTTTTATATGTTTAGCACAAGAACTAAGATAATTTTTATTGTATGATTACAAAAATGAAAAACACCAAAATAATGTGTGTCGGTGTATGAATTTCAAGTAAATATTTCAAAATCGTAATCCTACTTTAGACGAAACCTGAGTCTGATATTCTTTAAATGTTGAAATGATTTGGCTAACGTGGGCCTACAAATAAATAATGTCAGTCAGAAACGATGAAACTGTGAGCTTTACTTTTGTTGCATTGCCTACGTAAGTTATGTCTTGTTTTCTGAATTCTCTGCTGATTGAATATTTCTCGAAAATGGCACTGGATTTGATCTTTGGTCGAAATACCCCGTCCTGCTGATGCAAATTTCAAAGCTCAGAAACTTTGAACTCTTAAAATATAATGGATTTTGTAAATCGTGAATACACGGTACCACTTGTAAGTAACATCTTGGCCCTTTTACCCAGAAAGCGCTTGAGAGTGCGCCCTCTATATTTTCTAAAGCGGATTTAAGCTGACAGCTTGCGTAATTTACACAAAGACGTCTGGGTACCTCGCAAGTGTTTGCACATGCAGATGCACATTCCGCCTGTTAGTCAGGGGTCAAAAGCTAATTTGAAGTTATGAACCATTCTACTCTTATCTTAGCCCTGCGTATGCATGTGCAAATAGACGAAAGGATCCAGGTGACAGACTTTGTTTGCTTAATTGTTAATTTTTAAACTGATCGTTTAACTGTTGTACGCCCTCAAGGTTAACCTGGGAGAAAAGGCACACAATGGGATAATTATATTGGAGAAATTTGTCGCGATAAGACTTGTTTTATCTGAAAAGGCGGCACGCGACAAGCGTGTGTTCACTGTTTCTTGTACAAGTTTTAGTGTCTTCGTGTGACTGTAGAATACGCTGTACAAATTAACGTTTTCTCAGTAACATGGACAGTATTCAGTGCGGCATGTCGGGGATAAGAACAAATTTGACATGCCTTGCTTGTCTTGCATGTTTGAGCACATAGGTCTATAGTTGAGCAAAGTCATCATGAGGTTTCAGTCAATGGTAAGGCCTTGGTAGTCTTGTTGGTTAACTGTTACAAAGTGTTTAAGTCATGTTAGCATTCTTAGGGTCGGTTTTTAACAAGCATGTAGGATCTCTCTTGTTGACTTAGCTTCCAGTCAGAACCATGTGCCAATATTTGAAAACGGTACAGCACTTGTGGCAAACACTGGCATAACTGGTGGCTTGCATTGTGTACTGTAGTTTACAATAAAGGAAGCTGTAGCTTACATGTAATATTCAAATTGTGTGTGATTGGTGCATATGCACGGTCGCTTGATCTTCACATGATCAGTAGACATTGATCTTCATGATCTTGCTGCATGATTTGTCAATTAATTCTGTCATTACGTAGCAAATCGCCTTTCCTTTTTCATCCATGGTCGAGAAAGATTGTTTTAAAAAACAGAAGTAATGTTGGAGATTTCATGCAGAGTTGAGCAATTATGCAAGCAATCGGGCGATTGTGCATTTTGACCGATCACACCCAACAGTGCAGTGGTACAGCTAGCTTCCAAGTACAGATAACTGACATGAGGATGTGTCTTTAAATGCATTGGTCACGTGATCCATCCTCAAAGCTACTTTCTTTAGAGGGATCTTAGTCACCGAATTTTGTTTTGGTGGGGAAGGGTTTTGGTTTTGAAGGAGGCCTGCTAATGCCCTATCCTCCCAAGAATATAGTTCTGCTTTCACTTGAACATGTCTTTGAAAAATTAGGGTCAGTTGGTCAGAAATTATTTTACCAAATTTTTTCTACTAATTCAATGGAGGTATTAGTTATGTGAATTTCAGCTTGAACTGTTTTCATTTTCCTGACAAAAGCTGAAGAAAAGCCCCCATGGTAAAACTGGTAAAACTTAAGTAATTAATGTAAAAAATTATTTATAGTGAATAATTCTAAAAATAGTAGAAAATTCACGTCTTGCATATCACTATGTGCAAGGCTAGTCACAATGTGAAACTGTGCATGTAATGTGATAACGTTAATACTATTTGGCCGGATATGCAAAGACTGGTTTCTACATTTTTCATCACGTCTTCTTTTGCAATAATGAGGTAATTTATAATTGTTTTTACTTGCTTATAAAAACTCTAGGGTCACGTTGCTAAAGTAAACTGGAACCGGAAGCGGAACCTTTGGGGAGGGGCTGGATTGGGAGAAATTAATACCCTAACTTAATCCTCGTGCATTATTTCATATTGTATTAAGGAAATGCTTTTGTTTTTTTACTACTACCAGAATGGCGCGAGCTTTTTTGCTTCTAACATCCCGCCTCCAAGTGGCCAACAGAGGGCGCTACAGCACAGCAGCTGTGGCTGTCATGAATGAGGCGATGCAAGGGGTCATGACCTCCATTCATGAAGCAGGTAAGCTAAGAAACATATGGACAATTCCATGTACATGTAGCAAAGTTCTGGCAGATCCTGCAGTCCATTTCGTTGTGAATTGAATTTGCAAGTGAATTAATGTAAGTGGGAAATTTTATGCTTACATCTATGTGTAACTTAATTAAGCCATTATTAAAGCGTTTGTGCACTTAATGAATATCATTGGCTGACTTTTCATGCTTTCTTGATATGGGTTTGAAAAGGTACATATAAACCAGAACGTGTGATAACAACACGCCAAGCCACTTCCATCAAGGTAGAGGGAAGCTCGCGGGACATTTTGAATTTCTGTGCTAATAATTACCTGGGCCTCTCGGTAAGAAACTTAAATTTTTGGAATTGTTTTGTTTACTCTCTTGTTTTTGTTATTTTTTTCTCTCTTGTTTGGTTTCATTGCATGTCAATGGGAATACAAACCACGTTTGAACACAAAATTAGAAACTGATGTAATATGCTATCGTAACAGTAGCGCTTGTCTCTGAGGACAGTCTGAAAGACAGACTGGCAGTACTTATCCATAAGCCTTCTGGAAACATTGCTTCACAACACAAGTCGCTGTGTTAATCTATCAATCTAAATCCTCCCCAAACAGACAAATTTTTCACAATTCAAAACCCCAGCTGCATTATCTGTTTTTTTCAGTGATTTGTTGCCACGATCTTACAGCCTTTTTTTACTGAAAATCCTCCTGAAATCCAAGTTTTGTTGTAAGAGTATGTCATCTCTCCACTGGCTTCTAGTGAGAAATTGGACAGTGACATCGTGGATAATGATCTTCATGGTAGCCTAGTTTTATTAGGAACATTTGACCAATGTGTCATCCTCAGGAGAAAGATGATGTGTGTCACAGTTTGGCAGAGGTAGTAAGGTTCTAAAGCTCGAAATGTTAGGTTGGTTTGTCTGTTGAATCCCCTGACATTTTGTTGATGTCTAGAGCCATCCTGAAGTTGTTAACGCAGCAAAGGCAGCACTTGATGAGTACGGTGCTGGGCTCAGTTCAACAAGATTCATCTGTGGTACACAGGTAACAAGACCAAATGTTTCACTATACATTTGTTGTAGCTCGGCTTCACACTTCCAAATTTTTAGAATAATTGTAATTAAAATGCCGCAAACACGTAATGCAGATGAAAATATAAATCGTAAGCCAAATGGTCTTTTATGTTCCATTCTTATGATTTTTTGCCTGGAAAGACACCTTTGTGGTTTTGGAGGATGGTTGGGTTTGAGAGATTTCACAGTAATGCCTTCAGGCTGTGAGCATTTATTAGATAATGTCAAGTTAAATTCCTTTTCAATTTAATAGAATATTCACAAGGATCTTGAGCAAAAGATTGCCACTTTCCATCAAAAAGAAGATGCTATCCTGTATGCAAGTTGTTTTGATGCCAACGCTGGCCTCTTTGAGGCTCTCCTCACACCAGATGATGCCGTGATCTCGGATGAACTCAACCATGCATCAATCATTGATGGAATAAGACTCTGCAAGGCTGAACGTTATCGCTACAAACACATGAACGTGGAGGGTAGGTCTAAGTCTGTGATCCCTTATCAACATTTAATGGAACTGTTTAGGTGATGAAACCGAAAAATTTCTGTCAGAAGGAACAAAGATGGGGTGCAGATGGGGTCAGGGACCCAATTTATGAGACAGAGCCCTCATTTGCCTTGAGCAGAAGCACCCCATCATCTGTTGAAAAGAGCCATATTGGTTGAGAATGAAGCACCCCATCATCTGTTGAAAAGAGCCATATTGGTCGAGAATGTTCATTTTATGAGTAGCGATGCAACCTTAACGCATGTATTTCTTAGTCGTTTCTCAGCAGCAAATTTCAGTTCCTACCAAAGGAGCCGCTGTTGCTAAGAAAATTGTACTCTCTATTGTACCATCTCAAGGCTCAGAGAGAAACAAAAAGTACAAGTGACCGAGTTTAAAAATGTCTTGTGTTTGGGCTCAGATCTGGAGTCTATTTTGCAGAAGACCCAACATTGTCACATGCGGATGATTGTCACTGATGGTGTCTTCAGTATGGATGGAGATGTTACGCCACTCAGGTAAGAAAGGATTGTATCTCAAACTGATTGTTGATCACCTGTCTAAATTACTGTGACATTGTGTTTTGGGTGGCTAAGTATATGAGAACCATCTTGGTATTTCAACTTGATCTTTCAGAGAAATCACAGACTTGGCCAACAAGTATGAAGCGCTTGTGTTTGTCGATGACTGTCATGCCACAGGGTTCCTTGGCAAGGCTGGTAGAGGAACGGAGGAATATCTGGGAATTGATGGGTCATCTGACATTATCAATTCCACTCTGGGCAAAGCGTTAGGAGGAGCCTCAGGTCAGATAGATCCGCCCCAATTAGTGTATGCCACCCCCACTCCTAAAAACTAGGATGGAAAGTAAGCATGACTCCAAATCCCCATGTGAATTAATACACTAAGCTCATTTTGTACACCAAAAGGTTCCTTCTTTTTCTAGGCAAATGCTTATACTAAAGAGTAGTTTTCACGAATTTGTGTTTGTTGATGACTGTCCTTCCACGGCATGTTTAAACATTGGTATTTAAACTTGTTGGTTAAACATATTCATGTGAGCAGGTGGCTACACTGCTGGACCTAAGTCTCTGACTGACATGCTGAGACAGAAATCTCGTCCCTATCTCTTCTCCAACACTCTACCTCCACCTGTAGTTGCTTCAGCATCAAAGGTAACATAGAAGACTTGTTCCTTATATGAATGTGACCCTACAGCATTTGGCAGAATTGTTGATTATACATTCCTAATCTCAACTATGCTAATGAACTAATGATTGACGTATATCAACATTTTATTTCAGGTTCTAGATATGATAATGGAAGATCCTTCCTTGATGTTGAAGCTTGCTAGTAACACCAAACTCTTTAGGGATAGGATGACGCAGGCTGGCTTCACCCTCTGGGTAAATACACCTGTTTTGCTCCAGTAATCTGAACCCTCCCCGTAGTGTCTAAAATTTCACATCTGGGTCTTATTGATTGGGTCATTGCTCAGTGGTAGATTGGGGTTGACATTTAAAAGGCTCAGAGAAACTTGTAAAGGTCATTGGCATTAATCTTTGCTGAATCTCACAGAGCTGTGCAGGTGAATTTATGTTGGGCCTGTTGACCGTAGGTTGCTTGTTGCTTCCCTTTATTTTTTAGTAAATATGCGGAAGCATATGCAGAAAAAATTTCATATCGTTGTAGCTTTTTATTGTTTAATCCAAAGATTCTTGAAAGCGTTGTTGCGTCTTGGCCAGTGGATAATCTGTGATCCAACCCAAGAAAATGAATAAGTTTTGAGTGAAAGGCCTTGACAAGAAACTTGCATCTTCGAGTTGTCAAACAGTGGTAGCTTCCAATATTTTTACCCATATTTTTTATCCATTTTCATGAGGGACCAAAATGGGTAAAACATTGAAGCAAGCAATTGAGTTTGCTCTTTTTCATGCAAGCAAGTCTGGTCCGAGCCAATTTGGCTCATCAAGCCGGTGTTTATCTCCAATTTCCTTGGCATGAAACGACTGAGAATATTTCTGTCCCCCCTAGATGGGATGCCAGTCCATCGCAGGTTGCTTCCTCGGCTATTTGGTACCCATTTATACTTCTGGGTGGAGAGAGGCAAGCCGCGGGTTGAAGTGGCTTGCCAAGGACCACAACATACTGCCAACAGCTGGATTCGAACCTCCAACCCTATGATTGGAAACCACTGACCCTAACCACAGCCTTGGCCACATGCCCCCTCTTTCTCATACAAAACAAAACAGAATTACCAAATAATGTGGCCATCTAATTCATTTGGTGGGATCCTGTCATATTTTGACTATTGAAGTAGCTTTTTAGATGAGATTCTTTATGTCTGTACATATGACACATTTGTAATGCACTCTTCTCACAGGGGAAAGATCATCCAATTTGTCCTATCATGCTGGGCGAGGCCAGCCTCGCTGGTCGCTTTGCAGAAGAAATGTTGAAACGAGGCATCTACGTCATCGGTTTCAGCTTTCCCGTTGTACCACAAGGTTAGATGACATTGATCACCACACATCACTACCCACAATGCTGTGCAGTAATTTGTTACAGAACTTGAGTGGTTGCCAGCCGTCTTGTTGTGAGCATAAGCCAAAACAATGCAGTACATTGCTGAAAGTAGATGGTCAGATGTTGGTGTTTTCTTTTTCTTTGACAGGTAAAGCTAGGATTAGAGTACAGATCTCAGCTGCACATTCTGAGGAGGAGATTGAAAGATGTGTTCAGGCTTTCATCGATGTTGGAAAAGAATTGAAAGTCATCTAAGGGGGAACTCTGGATCGGTGCTGACAGGCTCAGTCATGGTAACAGATAAATGACCAGGAACCACCTCAAACCTTGGAATGAAGTTGGAATGAAAACACCAGCTGTATTAATTGAGATCACCTGCTGCTGAAGCCATAAGAAACAGTAAATAGGGCCACAGGGTAGGAAGAAATGGCAACTGATGCCGTCTATAGTGGTTTTTACAGATGCATGCACTGTTTCCAGCCAAATCAAACTATATAAAAACAGTGTCAGGAAACATGAAGTGATCTCATATGGAAACATCTGTGCAGAATGCTACAATGGAAACTTTGCTCATCAATATGTAAGATATACACAAGAAGCTGTCTGGAATGCTCCAAGTTCTGAGGTGACTCCTTCGCGCTGGAAAATCTCCAGATTCTTGACACGTTTTCCTGCTTGTAAGTGACTTTGTAAAACACGCCCATGCACACAATCCTTAAGGTACACGTTAATTTCCAATTCAGGCTTGTGGGTACACCATGGAATCAATCTCTTTTGGAAAAGGTGTGGTTTTTAGAAGAGCCGCTGAGTGTTCACTGGACGTTTTGGCGGGGAGAGCATCCTGGCCGAAACGTGCAGTTGATACCAGTTCTTCTCAGAACCGCACCTCTTCTGAAGAAATTGATTCCAAGGTGTACCCACCAACCTACAGCTCATGTAACTTCCAATCTTACTAAACATCTGCTCCCGCCGTTCTGTGAAATTCAATTAGTAATGGGCGTGGTCTAAAGTGTAATGACGTCACGCTGAAAAATGGAATACACACAATTTTTATGATTAACCCTAACACTCCTCAATCCTCCAACAGGTGAAGGATTGAGGAGGGTTAGGGTTAAAGAAAATTAATTTTGTTGATTTGTAATTAAACAGTGACATATTTGGAGTAAACATTTGGGATAAAAAGAGTGGGTATAAAGAGGTACATCAGAAACTCTCAAAGGGAGAATTCCTTTTGATAATTGCCTGCAGGTGATGAGATCTAATACGGGCATGTCACAGTACTGCGCCTCCAAGAGTTTGCGACCCGTTGACCAATCACAAGGCACGAAATCTGTCGACCCTTTTCAAACAGATTTTGCACATTGTGATTGGTCAATGCATCACCAACTCTTGGAGGCGCACTAGTGTGAATTGCCCGTATTAAGAATAAAGCTGAGTGTTGTAAGCTAGCGGTATAATCACTTTTAACTTGGATTGTGGATAGTTGAATTTTCTTCTCTTCTGCACTTTGCCAGAAAATCGTGCACCAAAACTTGAAGTTGTGAATTGAATATTAATGGGAGCCATTAAGTGAATACTTCATAGACTCAGAATCCGTCAAGAGATTTAAAATCTCTCCAATAGAAGTGCATGTAATTTGGTGCTGGCATAACGATCATGTATGTAAAATGAATGGTATCAGCTTTTGAATTTAACTATTTTTTAATTAACAGAGCAGCTGTAAGATTTATGGGCACTTTCCTCAAGTAGCTGATTTAGTTGGAAATCTATGTTTTTGTTTTTGTTGCTTTTTTTCTTTCAAAATGACGTTGGTATTGTCGGTAAGCATAAGTTGAAACAGGGTCAATATTTACATGGTATTATTGCTTTCACCTGCCACGCCCACTTTTTTCGCACAGCGTAAAATTTAATTTGGATAACTTCGCTTTCTATTTTTGTATTTACCAACACGTGCATCCCTTAGCCGTTTATTATTTACGTTTCTCATCGGAGATACGTTAGTCCATGTATTGATGAATGTCTTGTTGTAGACTCAAGGCAAGCAGAGAATGGCCAATAAGTACTGGCAACTTACCGCAAACTTCAAACAGGGTGACATTGGGTTCGTATTCGCGGACATTCATGTTTACGCTAGCTGCCGCGCCTTGCTTGCTGTACCTGCTTAGTCTGGTACCCAGGCCTGTTGGATTGGAGAGAGTATGGTGGGCGAAATATATGTCTATGCAAATGAAAGCAGAGTGTGTGAGTCTGTTGCTTGTCCTTGTGTCTTATCTTATGAGAATAAGGCCGTTTTCCAGTACTCAACTTCGGCTCTGTCTCAGGCTTCAACTGTTTTTTTTACCACCTGACTTTGAAGCTGTAAGCGCAGTAATCAGTCTAATAGTGCCACAGAACATCAAATAAGATGCAAGAGAGCAAAAAATTACAGTAATCCAATGTAATTTAAACGCTTTAGGCCCACAATCGGGGATTGGTTTTGGGAACGGAGCCTGAGACAGAGACGAAGTTGAGTATTGGAAAACGGCCCAGGTTGCAGGACAAAAAGCAAAACATGATTGGCTTCATATGAAAATGCTAAGAAGAGTTGCCAGTGTATTTTGGAATCGTCATTCCCTAAGATATAAATCTAAGTTAAGTTTTTTCTTCACATTCAGGTTGAAACTATCCAAGGTAGACAGTTTTCTGCTGAATTTGATAGACACTAGAACAGGTATCTCAGGCCTTTGTGGTCAGGAATGGATTGTCTTCCATTCTCTGCTCAGAAGATGTGGAAACTTAACTTAAATCGTCAATGCAGCAGACATTTTACTACTTGCTGGAATATCTAATCTAATTTTAGTCACTTTACAGAGAGGCATATCAAACCTTTTCAGTATTTCCGTATTAAATGAGTTTTTGCTGAGGGATAGTCTGTGCTTGTTATAATTTGTGACACCTGTCGGAACTGATCTTTTTTGCAGGCTGAATAATGTCTACCTTTATGCAAGGCTGTATTTGTAATATTATATCTGCTTTGTTCAGTTCAGGTTTAGTAAGCTTTACTTTTGTAAAAGGTATTCATCAGTCGCAGCCACGGAAATGAAATATCTGATGGAGAAATGCTTTGTTTTATACCCAGCTTTTGTTTTCATGTCAGTAACTTTTTCGTATTTGTTTCGATGTCTATGGGGACTTTATACGTAATTTATTGTTTTGTTTGTCTCATGTTCTATTTTACCCTTGCATTTACTTGATTTTCAAAATGATACTTCATATTTGGTTTGAAATTTGCACATTGTAAAAATGCAGTTTGTTCTTTTGGGCGATCAATAACTTGTTCAGATTTGAAATATCCACCATTACAAAAAGAAACGAAAGCAAAGCAATATTAAGCCCAAACCACCCCGAACTAGTCTGTTATCTTGGAATAATATTGAATGACATAACTGTTGAACTTGTGATACAGATAGATGAATCTTTGTGGGTATGTTTGACTTGGCTCAGATTCAGCCTAAGTAAACTCTGTGCTGTGAAACTGTCTGATACTAATATGAATATTTGCTTTGATAAGTATTAAACTGTCGGGGTTGAGGTCAACAACATCCTAAACCAAGGCAGTTGAACTGTTGACTGTCTTCGGACAATTCAAGGGATCGTCTAGCTGGGGTGGCTCTGTTTCCCCACGGTGGATAGGATGAGATCAATCAGTCGGTCACAGTCTTCAGCCGACCACAGGTGGAGCACCGCAGTGTTGCATTGATTCTCCGGAAGTGACGACACAAACCAAACTGTCCCTCAATCCACCTCGTTTCCGGCATGGATTACCTAGGCTGTTCAACACTAACAGCTCTGTAGTCAGGGCGTTCACATTTGCCGGGATATGTATTTCCTTTCAGGCCTGTCAGTCTAATTTGAAACGAGCTCGATGGCTTACCGCAATTTGATTTCCTCCACGAGCGTCGCAATTTAACAAGAGGATAAACATGCTCAGTTTATACCGTGCAACGAAACCTGCATGCGTGCATCGTGGTTGAGACATAAATTACGTACTGCACACGTCGGTTTGCAGCCTCGGGAGCGCAGGCGTACTTGTATGAATGCGGTTTGAGCACGGGGTAGACTAGGAACTTCTTCCGACCCAAGGTGGCAGCGCACTCAGGAGGTCACAGGATCAGGCTTTGTTATTGGTGTTGTGTTCACGAATACATGTACTTGTATAACTAGTTCATTTGTTCGCTGTCATTGTTTAATATACTGATGCTGTTGCTTTCGATTAGTTCTTCTGTCATCATTGGGAGTCAAACATTGAAGTGTGACTACATTTTGGAACTAAACTATTGCAGCCCGCATTCGACATAATGTATCGTCGAAATCTCCGGGGATTATTTTTCGTGTTCGCTGTTGGAGTCTTCGTTTGTGGACGTGAATGTCAAGCGTTCAACATGGATACTACCATGCCAATCACACGGACGGGGCCAGCCGACAGCTTGTTTGGCTATTCTGTTGCTTTACATCGAGAAAGTGGATCTACAAACGTGTGAGTTATCAGAAAGAATCATCGTTACTGCCTGTACGCCTGCGTTTGTTAATCACGGTTATTTTGGGGGGAAAAAACTTGCAAAAGCAGGTTTTATCTCAAGGCCCAATGTCACGTGAGACTCCATGGACAATCCACATGGTTAATTACTCGTGATGATTATTTGAAATCAAATTAAGGCCTCTTTGGCGTTGCTTCGTTGAAAACACGTTTTATATCATATCCAGAGGTACAACACACGACTTTGCATACTGTAGGGTCACGAACAGTAACTAGTCGCTTTTAAATCATAAGGCACTTCAATTAAAATATAAAAGTGGGAAAGTGTTCCAACGTCCAAAAGATTAATGTTCAACATGAGACTCATTGTTAATAGTCTCGCTATTGCCAAAGTAAATGAGATTTTCAAATTTCTTGTAGGCCTACATCGTTTATTTTCCACGTTAAAGCTTTCATACTTGATCGAAACCAGTCAAAAGGTTGGAAGAAAAAAATGATAAGCATATGGGAATAATGCACTTGGGACCCTGCCGCGGCCGGTGAAAAAAAAGACACACTTCTCGAATATTTCCTGTTATCGCAACGGACACACTGCAGCTAAACCTACCCAGCGGAAATAACAATCGACACACACATCCGCTTTACTTTTGATGTCAGACTCTGGAACTCCTTTCACAAAAAAACCGACTTTCCTTGCTAAATTTTCTCCACTTTCCATTGCTAAGGTATATGATTACAGGATAGTACATCAAGAAGACACATCTAAGGTCGTTTTTACGTTGCACGCCACCGGTGGCTTTGATGTCTCAATTACACGTATTTAAGTAACTTTGTGTTTATTGTCAAACTTGAATCATAAACAGCCTGAGTACACGCTTCTTAAAAACTGATCACATTATGAATCCTCAGTGAAGCTAAGGACACAGTATTGTAAGTGAAGACACAAGAAAGGTGTGCGTTTTAGGGTACCTGTAAAAATACTTTTGAAATCGGAAGATCATATAGCCCGAGCTGTCAGGGTTACAGGATTATCACAACCGACACCAAGGTCACATTGAAGATCTGACCACTTGATTGCTTGTAAACTGTGCCACAGGCCTAATGTTTGGTAATCAAACCGATACATACAGACTTGGGAAATGTTAGCATATTTGGCTTGCGATTGCTCTTTTTGCACCCCAGAAACTGTTCCTTAAACCAGTTTTGTCAATAAAAAGGGCAAAGGGAAATTGACAAATAATGTCCAGAAGAGATTCTTCTTTCATTTTCTGTTATTCTAAAAGATTAACGCTTCCTGCTTTATGCTTAACATGTGGTTTGTATCCCAAACAGCACAATTGGCAAAATAATACTGATGTTGCATGGTATCATGGCCAAATTATTAACAATCATGACTCATTCGAAAGATAACGAACTTTTCCTATACTGTAATAATTGTATAGGAATTGTGGGGCTTTTACACACAGTCGTGTGAAATAAAAATGAAACTGTCGGGTGAAGGCCATTTCCTGCTCGAGGAAAATATAAACTATGAATATAGATGATAAAATATTTTCCTGCTTGATGTTTAACATGTGGTTTGTATCCCAAATAGCAAAATTGGAAAAATGATAAAAACTGAAGTTGCATGTTAACAATTGGGTGAAGGCCATTTTCTGCTGGAGAAAAATATAAATATTGCGACCAAAGAATTGGATGCACTTCAATGTTTTGATCATTTTTTAAATGAAAGTTCCCTTTTACAAAACTCATTCGACACAATTCCGACTGCTAATGCCAGCCACAGCAGTGGCACATATTGAATTTTTTTTTTATAAATGTAATTATTGAAATAAGTATTTCTTACTTGTAAAAAAATATTTGTAAGTTAAGTACACTATGAATTAAATTGTATTACAGTGTTTCTGTTCTTCAGAAATTAATGGAAAATTAGGAAGCCATACACACTTTAAACCTGTTTTTGTCATTTGCATAACTATTTGATTTATGGTTACCCTCTAGTGTCCATTGCATGTGTCGAAAGCTGAGAATGAACTGAATCTTATGCAGACCTAAACTTGACATAGTCCTTTGATTTGTGTTAAGGTTGTTGGTGGGAGCACCTCGTGCACAGACTAACCAGCCGGGCGTAGAACGAGGCGGTGCTGTGTATCGATGCCCCGTCATGGCAGAGGACTGTCAGCAAATCACTTTTGATTCTTCTGGTTGGTATAGGATTACGCGATTAAACTAAGGAAAAGGAAACATCATGAACGTGTTGCGAAGAAATGAGAAGTGCTCGATGGTGCTGTTACGCCCCAACAATGGTCACGGTCCCAACTATACTTGGGCTGGTCCCAACTATAGTTAAGCCGGTTCCAACTACGGCCCAAGTATCCGCCGCGAGTTGAAGTGCACCCTCACCGGCGAAAGAAAGACAGCCGGGTGGGAAGTTTTCCAACTGGGATCTTGCGCGCGTTCGGCGTTTACGCGAGGACCATTACATTCCAGCATTAAATTCGTTGCACGTATTCAGCGTGCCCCACGCGAAACTAGTCTGGTTCCCTGCCCAAAGATTCCTTGACGACCCTCGATAAAAAAATCTTAGGTCAGGCATCACCCACGGATATACACAGATATGACGCAAGGGTTAGGGGTCACAAGTTAAGAGACTGGGTGTTTTCGATTTCATCAGTAGCAACATCTCAAAAATGAGGCTTTTCCCATATCCAATGGGCAATACTGCAAGTGTATCCCCACTGGGAGCATGTTTCAGGCACAGAGCCTGCATTGGTTGAAGAAAGTTATATTCTGCAATCCGCCCGGCATTTCGATCGGCCAAGGCGACGTTTGATTTCATTGTGTAATAGTCAAATGTATTGTAGGATCAACAGCTGCCATTAGGATACGGGAGTTTACGTTCAATAGCTGGCCTACCTACCCCGCTGGGAATAACCGAACATCAACGGTACCATCCGGACATGCCAAATATGGACGGGACGGCTTCGGAATATTTGTGCTATTTCCAGAAAACTCGAGGAATTCCTCCGGTCTTGGTCACGTGGACATTGGGTGATGCCAGACCCTTGATTCGTAGAGTAGTCAGAATTATCGGGTCCGTATCCAGACTAACGCGAAACGCGTATTAACTTACGCGCCTACGCGATGAGTTCATACCAACGGGGTCAAGTTCGATCAAGGACCACTAGTTGATTTGTGACGTACTCGCACTTGTGCTTTGAATTTGAGGTGCAAATGACCCTAGTCAACTGTTGTCAGGTCATTAGGCTGAAGGGGGGGGCGTGGCCGCAGGAAGGGCAAACTACCAAAAATAAAAGCGAAAATGGTCGTTTACAGAGGACCTACTGTTTTTCTGGCAATTTCCTTATAACTGGTCCTCTCTGCACTGTGCTTTCAAAAACAGTTTATGGTTACCAACGAACGATGCGATCAACCTCGGCTGGTTGCGAATAGTTGACGAGACTAGTCCACCCATCGTTGACTTGCGTACGTTCGATCAAAGTTAGTCGAAGTATGGTAAACTGTGGTCTTTGATCGAATTTACCCCGGGATATCAATTTCATTTAAAAACACGCCCTCTTTTGTTCTCGCTCGGAGCAGATAGTTGGGACTGAGGCAATAGTTATGGCTAAACAGTGCTAATAAAATTTGTTTACTCTTCAGCATTCTTTTTGTAATTGTGGTTTTCATTTGCATGCATCAGATTATCATATTTTGTCACTGCCAACTGTGTTCAGCTTTGCCACAGCGGTAACTGTACTGTTTGTGCGTTGGAGAGTTACATTTTGTTCGGATCCATTACCAGGGCATGAAATGGACGTTTTTGGGGATCAGTTTGGAAGTAAATCCAATCAATTCTTCGGTGCCACTCTGCACAGCAGTGGACCAGATGGACCAGTCGTGGTACGTACATACCTGTAGCACCGTTCAGTTTGCTAGTATATTAAAGAAGGCAGCACGTGACTCCATTCAGTGTGTATGATACTTTTGTTGATGGATGCCATTCTTTTTACTGTCGACGACAGAGGTCCTTTAATGTGCTATAACCAATATTACTGTCGACGACAGAGGTCCTTTAATGTGCTATAACCATTATTACTGTCGACGACAGAGGTCCTTTAATGTGCTGTAACCCTTTTCACTGTCGACGACAGACGTCCTTTAGTGTGCCGTAAAGCCTTTCTACTGTCGACGACAGGTATTTGCTAGCTTTCTTTATGGGAGTTCTTTTTGATGTCGACAGTATAGGTGCGCTTTCAATTGTTTTCCCCATTTTTTCTTCGACAACAGGCGTGCACTAGCTTTGTGTATTGTCCATTCGTTTTATTGTCGACAGTATATACTAACTTTGGTTATGCCTTTCTTGTCACTTTCGGTTTCAGGCTTGTGCTCCTCGTAGAGTTTGGACAGTGGATGATTTTAATTCTTCGACCACTCAGCGATACCTGGCTGGTGGATGTTTTGTTGCCAGAAATGACTTCCTTGATATAACAGAAATCACTCCGTGTGAAATTCCAGGTAGGCTAAATCGAGACAGGGACAGATGACAGACATACTCTGTATGAGTGTCTTATATTCGCTCGCCAACTTCAGGTGTTGGGATGAGTAATGTACATGTTGTCTATCCACCTCGAGCAGAAGCACCCCCTCATCGGTTGAAAAGAGCCGCGTTGGTCGGAAGTGTTCAGTTTTTTAGTGGCGATGTGGCCGTCACGCGTGCGCTTTCTAGTTGTTCATGAACTAGCAAAGTTCATTTACGACCGAAGGAGCCTCCGTTGCTAAGGAAATAGCGCTATCTCTTGGTCTAACTCGAGACCCATAGCGAGGTGATTTGGCTTCAAGTTAAATGGGGGTCAAAGTATGGGGGTATCGTTTAATGAAAGGACTGTGTATATTAATTGCATCTCAACTTGAAAAATACATATTCACTCCGCTGTATGTAGGTTGGTGACGGAGTTCTTAACGTTGATATTGTTTTTTTTCTCTCTCCTTTACCTGCCGCCATGGGACAGGGGATGACCTTGGCATCGACTTCATCAGTTACTGTCAGGCTGGACTGAGTGCATCCATTTCGCAGGTTGGTTGCTTATGTCTGATTTGCTCTTTGGAAACGCCCGAAGGCTTTTCAAAAATGTATGAAAGTGAGCAAAGACACCGGAGCGCAAGGGTGCAGCTACCTAAAAAAAGGGAATGAAAGCTGTAACAAATAGCGGATCACACAAAGTAAACCACATTTAACCTGAAGTGAGAATCACACTTGAGATTTTGTGTTTTGTTTAAATATTTGTAGCCCATCACTTGAAAGCGTTGTTAAGCTGTTTGGGTTTGTCTGTGACCTTTTGTCTCTTAGGATGCAGAATTACTTCTTGGTGCGCCTGGGAGCTTTTATTGGCAAGGTATGGAATTCAAGGAAACAACGATGTGTTCGGCTCTCCATATCTAACCACCCCCCCCAAAATTGCCCAATTAAAACTGAAATTATCATTCGACATAGTTTTAATTTGATTTTCTCAAAAGTTGTTCGTAGTTAAGATATTTTGTCAGGTTTTACCAAATTATGAGACATGTCGACACATGCATATTTTCCCAAATATTAACTTATTTCATCACAGTGATCGTCGGTTCCTTGTACACATCCCTGACTGGAAGATGTATTTTCCATTTAAGGTCAAGTCATTTCCGTTAACGTCAACGATCCAACGGCAACTCTCTACAGTCGAGAACGATCCTACTCACATGACAACTATTATCAGGGATACGCTGTGGCTAGAGGGCGCTTCGGCAATGGTGGCGTGTATGCAGTTAGTGAGCCTCGCTCTACCGAGTTCCTGGGAATGGTGAGTAAAAGAGGTTTCTGCTGGACCAGCATTTGTGTTGAAAAGAATTTTAACACTCAACCTCAGCCTTACAAATATTCAGTCTGGTTTTGAGTGACTGGATGTGTTATCTCCTTTAAAAAGGCGGATCCAGGATTTTCCAAATGAGGGGCGTGATCCCGGATTTTCCAAACGGGCGGGGGAGGGGGGAACATTAACTAAAAGAGGGGCAGGGTAAATTGCCGTACGGCGTGGGTCCCGGAGCCATTTTGGATTCTAGGCACTCTGTGGTGCAATGTCAGAGAATATGACACCTCTTTTTTCCCTTCTCCTTCCATTTTTCTTCTTTTTTATTTATTTACTTGGTGAAAGGGGGAAGGGGATGAGCCCCCACGCCCCTCTGGATCCAAGGCTGCTCTTATATGTCACCCAAGGAAACCAACTACTGATAGTGTACCAACCTTAAAATAAGATGGTTATTGTGAGGAAAAAACTGTTGTCTTGTTTTGTAATTGCATTCACGCTTCCATCATGTGACGAGTACTACTCGAATCGTATACAAGAAAAAGATCTTTTTAGATTAAGTCAGTCTGTTGGTGTCGCTTAAAAACGAGAGAAGATTCATTAAATCATTGTCCAGTGTGGTATCACGATGCAAGTTTTGAGTATTTTATCCAACCAATCCGAGTTTGGGTTTCCCTTTTTTCTTTTTAATTAATCATTCAGCATCTTGTGCCTCCTTTAGGTATCCATCTGGAATGGAAGTTTCATCTTGGTCGATACAATTTACGGAGAGCAGATGTCGGCGTACTTTGGACATTCCTTGGCTGTTACAGACGTTAACGCAGACGGGTTGGTTTCAAACTACGCCCTACTGTTTGTCTCCACTAGTACCCACCGATAAAACGCATTCCAGAAACCAGCTCAGCTCCTTGGCTGGGTTTAAAGATTTTTTTGTGTTGTCAAGGCAGTTCTTCCATGGGCCTTAGTTTCAACAAATAGCCGCATAATCTCTTATAACTTTTTATTTTATGCCAATTCCAATCTTTATTCTGTTTATTTCAAATAGAATACAAGTACGATACGTAAAGTTTTTATAACTGGCTTCATTTCCAGTTTCCGAATGGCAATAGAGCATAAGATTCCTGTACATGTATTAAGCAAACTGACCAAACGTTTTACATGAGACACTACTACCATCACTTGAAGTTTTTCTTTAACTTTTGATTTGACAGTCTTGATGATCTCATAATTGGTGCTCCAATGTTTGTCGACCCGGACAACTTGATCGACAAGTGGGAGGTCGGCCGAGTATATGTCTACTGTCAGGTTGTTGATGTAAGTTGCAGATCGGAAGACAATTGGTATAAGGCAATACCTTGCGTATTGAAAGACCATTCCTGTATAAAGCAATACCAAGAGGACAAAAATAATTATGAGAACTCTTAGTATTTTATTCCTGGACCAATCGTGAGCGTTTTTACAATTGGTGGGTATCTCAGATTAAAGCATATAAACACAGTTCAAGTTATGTCTATCCTATCTCGGATTTTTTAGGACCTCTTTCGCTACTTGTTCGTTGTTTTAGACGAAAAGATGAATAAGATAAAAATGAAAGCAGTAAATGTAAAATGATATGGTAATATCCTTCCACGTGTGCTTCATTATATCATGCGTTGTTTTATCACAATGCACAATTTCCCACTTACATCAACATTATATGATTTTAGAGAGATGTTTTTCTCCTTTTTTTCAAGGGACATTTCACGAAAACAGACGTCATGACTGGGACGCATCCGGGTGGGCAGTTTGGATTTTCTGTGGCAGCAATTGGAGACGTAAATAAAGACGGATTTAATGGTAAAATCAGCATTAACCAAGAAACATCATCTTTTATTTCATAATGATGACAACTGAGGATGTAGTTATCCAGCGAACTGAGTCCATGATTCACCATGCTTCTTGATATCCATACTAGAATTTGTTTTCAACCAAATGATGATTTCATTTGACATGTTCTTTTGTCAATAGATGTAGCCGTGGGTGCCCCATTTGCTGGCGAGGATGGTTCTGGTATTGTGTATATTTTTCAAGGACGAAGAAGAGGAATCAAACAGACAGCAACACAGGTGTCGTTATCAGCGAAATGAAAAGTTTTAGCAGTTTATCTAAAATTAGGCGTTTTAATATAAAACGTTGTAAAACAACACAAAAAGACTTTTTGATGAATGGGGGCATTGACAGACAAAATTAACCTTATCCAGTTCTGAGTCATATTAAAATTTCAGAGCATTCCCTGGTCAGTCAATTAATCAGACTTCAAATTTATTGCAGACTCAACTTGAGATAGAAGAAGCATTAGCGATACAAAGTAGAACGATGTTTTGATTTCGAGGTACAAAATGAAGGTTAAAATTCTCCTACATACCTTTTGTTCCAAAACCTCGCGAATTGAGAATAGTAATACCTGAAAATGAAGTTGTAATCAACTGAAATATTTTTGCTTGTTCTTTGTTTTTGTCTGATGTGTTTTGTATATGCAGATGTTAAGGCCAGTGGATTTTGATCTAGATATCGTGTCTTTTGGAACTGCGTTATCAGGTGGACTTGACATGGATGGCAACAATTATAATGGTGAGGAAAAAAGAAAAGTACAAAGCCCCCCCCAAAAAAAGGACTAACATCTTAGGGTTTTTGTCACTAAAAATATTGTCGGACAGCCAGCTAAACGTTTCACATTTATTTCAATTTCTTTCCCAGATATTCTTGTTGGAGCTTACAAGTCATCAACGTCTGTTCTCGTGAGGTGAGGAAATATCGTCATTAATTTTAATAAATTACAAACCTACAGGAAACGTTTATACAAAATATCACTTTTCAATAAACTGCTTTGATAAAACGTTAAGCCCCTTTTAATTTTAAAGTAGATTGAAGATTGATAAAGAAAATTTATTATCTCCCTTCAAATCGAAAATGCAGATCAAGACCTATTGTCCGGATTCAGAAATCCCTCACCTTTGAACCAGAGCAGATAAATCTTGACGTCAGAGATTACCGGTTGCCATCTGGACAGGAAGTGTCAAGGTGAGGCCAGATTTCAGAGCAAGCTTTCTCAAGGAAGTATCTGAATATTGTAGCTGTTGGACTGTTGTTTACTTGTTTTGTTAGGGCATCCGCGCTCTATTTCCGCATTTGTTTTATTGCTGTCTTCGTCGTGTTCATGTCGTTTTTAATGAAGACAAAATCTGTCTTGCTCTGTTGCAGTTTTAACGTCACAACTTGTCTCACAGCCAAAGGACAGGATATTCCAGCAACTGTTGGTAGGCACCAGTTCACAATATTCATTTCATCAGTGCCAAATAAATGGAAATGCATGTAAAAATAAACTCGATTCCCGGGATTATTTGGGTGTGTTGTTCCGTTGATTTTGTCACTAAACTGAAAATTGTAAATTACTATGTCTAATGGGAAGAGTCTCATCACACAAAGCTTTGATATTTGTCTAAGAAGAGTTTTATTATTACATTAATTAGTGAGAGCCGATCCAGTTTCAAGACTCTTATCCATCAGTAAGCGGTTCCTGGCCTCTCTGTTGATTGGTATATTTTTATCTAATTATATTTCAAGATGTGAAATACAATTTACAGCTCGATGCTGTGTTACCCACGACCTCACGAGCAGCATTTGTACTCGATACCAGCTTGGAACTGTCAGAGATGACGCGCAGAGTCAAGCTGACAACTGACGCAGAGATGTGTCAGAAGGACCTGGTCTATGTTAAGGTAACCATGCATCCAGATTCGTTTTGGATAGTCAAATCCGAAACCGTCATTTCATGTAAAAAAAAATGAATCCTGACTAGCTGCATTTGTGTGTAAGTCAATTTCGTAATCCTGCTTAAGACGAAACTTTCTTGTGTAAAATTATATTTTCAAACCAAAACTATCGGTTAGCAAAGTTCTGAAACATTTTGGTGCCTTTTCTGATCAATTTGTGACTTTACCTTAACCCGTAGCTTGTGATTGTTGAGAAAAATCTCCCAATTGGAGTCCGTCTCAGCTACGAGCTTGACCCAGCAGATACCACACCTCCTCAGGGATCATCGACGGCATCTACTCCAGTCCCACCCATTCTGAACTCAACCCCTGAACCTGTCCTCTTAAGATCAGTGAGTCCTTGTATCGAAAAAGAGGGAAAATAAAATTGTCTCTTTTACCGTTTTGCAATTGCCAAAATTGCATAGATGTGATGATTTGGAAAAACGTTAAATCTTATAATGTATTTCTGTTGGTTTGCTATCTTTCAGCTTTTAATAAAAAACACATGCAAGAATTATCTCTGTGCGCCAGACCTTGTGTTGACTGCAACTTCGTAAGTTAGGAGAACATTGGTATTTCGTTTAGCATCATGCAGAGTTGGATTTCTTTTGATAATAACCTTTTTTATGGAAATTCTTTATTGTTCTTGGTAAACATTGCATGATTGTCACCTAAATTCCTGTTAGAAAAAGAAATACCTGTTATCAGTCGGCAGAGTTTATAATAGCTAAGACTATTGCAACGAAAATTGGTAAAATGTATAATATGTGTGGTTTTATATCCATACTCGTTCAGAAATATCCAGCGTGTTGCCCTAGGCGATGACTGGGAACTCAGTCTTCAAGTGACGGTTACAAACCACGGAGAGGACGCTTACGAGGCCACTTTTCAAGCCAACATTCCCGAAGGAATGGCATTTATTCGAGTAGAAGGAACCTCGGTAATATAAGTTCCAATTTCGTCGATTTTACAGAAGCGTGCGTTACTTGTAATTGGACAGTTATTATGTACTTGCTAACTACATAGGCCATGCAGTGACATTTAACGAGGGACAAAAATAGTAAACATAGAACCTTGCTGGTTTTAACCTTAATCCCCTGGAGTGAATTTAAACTCACATTGAAATCGGAGGATTTGGGACTGTTAGGATTCATGCAAGGAATTAAACCGAGCAAAAACCCTTTCTCATGGTTTTTCTAGGATCTGTCAGTGACATGCAGCTTAGATGAAGACAGCAGAGTCTTAACGTGCGACATTGGAAATCCTTTACCAGAAGAATACATGGCGAGTACTTTTTCTCAATAGTTATCGTAATGAATGAGTAATCTTGAAAAAGTTACAAATACAATGCGTAATACAGCATTTTGTTCACTATTTAAGAGATCAATTATTCTTATTCTTTCACTAGCACCTATGTCTTTATGAGAACAACTTTAACTTTTTTAACTGCAGGTTAATTTCGGTATAACCATCGGAAACGACCGTTTAGCGGATGAGAAGGATGAATTAATCATAAGTATGAAGGTGGATAGGTATGATGAGACGGGGTCTTAGTAACCATAGTAACACAGCTAATTTATGTGATATTGCTTAGTGATACTATTTATGGATTCATGAAAAGCATATATTGTTATGGCCCAGATGGGATTCAAACCGTATACCCACTCTGATTAAAGTTGGGGAAATCATTTTGTGATAAGGTTTTATTTGATATGATAGGGTTCTATCCGAAAACTGCGTTCAGCATGTCACTTCTCTGTACTGAGGCTATGTAGGGAGTCTTCGAACATACCCTTGGATCTAACTTCGATACTTTAGCAATTTTGACCTCGACTAATTTTTTTCTTCAGTTTAAACTTTGAACCGATGAATCTTACAAATGACAACTATGCCAACGTGACAGTGGGTGTATATGCTACCGCACAGCTAGGCCTTTATGGGTAGGTTTGATTCTCTGAAAAAAGGTATTATTTACTTAAACTTAAAATTTTATCTACGTAGATGTTTTGTACATTAATCAAGACATTGAAATGAAATATTAAACTCAGACGTTTGTGGTATTATTTCAATATTGTATACCACTACAAGCGTGTATATGCATCTGAAGGTTTTATTTAAGAAGCGTACAAACCTTCCATAGCAACAGTTCCCTATGTACTGTTGAGCGCATTGCAAAGACTGTGTGAGCAATAATATGAATACACCTAATGATATCTGACTTGTACTTCCTTAGCGTTTCTACACCAGAGCAGGTGCTCTTTACGCGCTCCAACGGCAGTTATAACCCACCAGACCCTCAAAGAGAGGAAGACGTGGGGGCAGAGGTCACGCACCTATACATGGTGAGGTCAC